AGGTCAGTGCTGGGGCTCAGAGGGTCTCAGAAAAAAGAGTCAGCCTCTGCAGGCTGTGTTTTTTCACGTATCCGTTCACCCAAGGCCGTTTCTTTGTCAGGTTCTGGAGCAGGTGGTAGATACAATGGGACATGGGTATTGAATCCAGGAGTAAATGTAGTCAGAGCTGGTGTAAGAACCTGGAGGAGACAGCCATGAGCCTGGGGTGTGAGGGGCAGCTGGTTTCCCATGGGAGCCTCAACATGTGCAGGGCCCCAGGAACAAGCGTCCAGCACAGCCAGAGGCTGGGAAGGAGGCCCCGAGGCCCAATTGTCCAAGCTGCTCCAGAATCGTGTTGGAGACAGGCTTCTTTCCCTTTCCTTATGGCCTTTAGCACTGAATGAGTAAGTGCTTCACTGCACACAGAGCCCACCTCACAGTCCCCAGTCTAGGAAACTCAGACAGACTTTCTCATGTCCAGGGCTCAGGCGGACGTATTTTTTAGATCCAAGTCTTTTTTATCTCCTTTGAAGTATAAAACTTAGGATACATGTTCATAAGGATATACAGTCCTCAGTTAAAATGTCAGTGGGTTAAGATGAAAATTATTAATGATGAGTATCAGAAGGCTCAAAACCAAGCTGGCATGTGGGGTGTGGTCCCACTAAGGACAGTTGGGGGCCATCCTGGCTCCAGGCGCCCAGAAAGTGCAGGAGGCCCCCGAGACGCACTTGCTAGCATAGTCTCTCACTGCACAACTCGGAGGGAAGGACACTTGGAAACACAGCTATTCTTAAGATGCAGTGGGGCTCGGCTGCAGTGGCCCTACTTTGCACTTTGCTCAACCGACCTTGTTCCAAAGGGCCAACCTGCTCTGGATCCCCTTCCCTCTCAGGCCCCAGCCTCCATGGGGGCTGCCCTCCCAGCCCACTGGGCTTTTCTGACCATCCTGACTCCCTCCTGCAGGCTCAGCCCCGTCAGCCACGGAAACACCATCGCCCTCTTCTTCCGCTCACTGCTGCCCAACTACACCGTGGAGGTACGTGGCGTCAGCCCACGGGGCGCCAGCCTGAGACCGGGTGTTGGGTCTGGAGGCCTAGCTCAGACAGGTCTCATTTCCACAGGGGGAGCGACCGGAGGATGGGGGGCCCGGGGGTCTGCACCGTGACCAGGGCCTGAACAGACTGATGCTGGCTGTGCGGGACATGATGGCCAACTTCCACTTCCACGACCTGGAGGTGCTGCCCGAGGAGCACCCTGAGGGCGACGGGGAGTGGGACTGAGTCCAGCGGGGCGCACGCCCCAGCGCTGCAGTCGTGCTCCGGGTTCTATTCTGGTTGGATCGGCCAGGTCGCCACCTGCTCTGCTCTTCTATAAACTACGTGGGTTGCACTCTGCCGCGTGAACTCTTCTTTCCCAGGGCTGCAGTCGCCGCCCCCAGCTCCCCTCACGGGCAGGACCTCACCGCCACTGCCATGCTGCCCTGGGGCATCACAGGGCCAGAGTCCACGCTGGCTTCAGGGGACTCGGGTGGGTGTGGAAGCCAAGAGATATGTCTTGGGAAGATTGCTCGTCCTGGCAGCTCTGGGGAGTGAACGAGGCAGAGACTGGGGGGCACTTGATCTGGGGGCAAATGGACTGACGGGTGGAGAGGGCGAAGACCAAGGCGCTTCATCCAAGCGCATCCAAGTGCGTCCTAGCACTCTTGAATGACAGCTCAGAACCACACAGGCCACCCGTGAACCGAGGACGCTGTGTGGTGGTGGAAGGATCCAGGCCACTGAGGTTGTGAGTCCCACTGGGTACTCTTGTCTACTGAGCACCCTCCCAGCTCTGACCTCTGCCCACAGAGGCTGCCTGTGTGCTCCAGGGCAGCATCTGGGCCCCAGGCCGGTCAGTGTGGCGATAGGTGTGACCCAGTTGTCTCCCGTCAACAGCCACCCAACTCCTGTCCATCGCCCGTCTTCCAGGAAGTCCAAGGCATCCTAGTGATGTGAGCTCACCCTCCAGCCGTTCCCAGGTGAGGGGCACCTGAACACCTGGCAAGGACAGGGCCCTTCAGACATGATGCTGTGAGCTAAACTTCCCACCATCCACACCTAGCTCCAGAGACCAGGCCTGCCCTGGAGCCATACGGCCCCCACCAAGGTGGGCTGTGGTGGACTTTGGCCAGTAATACAGTCTGCTGAGGATCTTTTGGGAAGGGGCTTGTTCTCTGAAAATGACAGGCAAGCAGGGAGAGCTTGGTGCCCTGCCTCTTTCAACCTTAAATACATTTAGGTGGGGGTGTGATGTATGGAGCTACAGCAGCCATCTTGCAACCAGCAGTCCAACTTTATGATGAAGAGCCAGGGTCCTGGGATAGTGAAGCAAAGACTGGGCCCAGGCCTGCTGCCCACACAGTGCTTAGCCATGCTGCTCTGGCTGCTAGAGTTAGACAGCCAGGGCCCTTACATCTAGACATCTGTGCTATAAAGTCTCACCTGACCACTCACCTTGTGTTGCTCATGGATTGCTGTTGTACTCCTTCCCACCAAGTCACACCACACCTCAGGTCTTCAGCACGAGCACCAAAGAATGGGCACAAAAGCCCCTCCCTTCCCCAAGATCAAAAGAAAATAGACAGTTCTTGAACCAAGACTCGATGACTCAACTCTGGGCCAGGCCTTCCTGAGATCTTCCTGCGGGGCGGGGTGGGGAGTGGGGGTGCTGGCAGCACATTCCCTGTGGCTGCCCTCGGGTGACCCCCTGACGGCGGGCCACTGTGGTGTGACTGTGACTGGATGCAGGCGCCCCTCAGCTCTGCAGGCAGAGGCTCCTCAGGCTCTGGCTCCCAGGAGCTCCCTCATGGGACGAGCCTCTGTGTGCCCAGACCTCTTCTGGTTCCGGGGTTCCCACTCAGCCTCCACATGTGGTCGGCACATGCTCTCACATGGTGTGTCCTCTGAGGGGGCGGCCATACCCTCCCGCCCCGCCTGTCTCCCCTCACTCGTTTACTCCCGGGGACAGAGGCGGACAGGCTGCAGGGCTAGCTGTGGGTTCTCATGGATGGTTCCCAGGACCGTGACCAATCACAGCTTGTCGATCCTGCTGTCCCCCGCCTGCGGGTGAGCACCAGATGTGGAGTCGCAAGGCCTCCCCAGGAAGAGGGCTGTGGCTCCTGGCAAAGGCAGCCCAGTTCTCACGCCCTTTGAAGTCTCAGGCTGGGCGACTGGGGGCTGGAGAGGCACAGGCAGCTCAAAGGCCTTATTTATGGGGCGGCAATGGCATGGAAGCTGGAGGCAGGACGCCACTCACCCAGTGGCCTTGGTTGGTTCCTGGGGAGTCCTAGGCTTGCATGGCTGGTTCAGGACCGAGGTCCCAGCACAGGCCTTGCCGTGGCTCTTGCATGGTCCTCTTCTGGGACCCGTTTCTCTTTTGGGGGCTGTTCACCAGTGGGGCACCCCATGCCTGGTTCCTCTACATGGGGGTGGGTGGCTCATGCTCGGCCAGGAACAGGCAAACAGTCCACCAGCAGGTAAAAGGGTTTCCCTGAATCTACCAAAGCTGAAAGTATGGCTCTGACCAGGTGGCGTCCCAGCAGCAATATTAGTGACTAAACGGGAGCCGCCCAGACGCCCCATGGCCAGTGCCTTGCCGACCACTGAGAGCAGCCAAGAGAGCGTCTCAGTGCTGAGTGAAGAGGGGCCCCGAGTCCTATGGATCAGGCTCTAAAATGGAAAAAACGATGGTCAGGGAGTGGCTGCTGGGCAGGATGTGCCCCGGAGAGTCTGGTGTGGTCGTGTTAGGTTGACTGATTATGGAGTGCTACAGTCCCGAGGGTGCTGGGTGCGGCATGCCCCAACCTACATGTTTATAACTTGTGTACTGTCTCTCACATACCATGTGCTTCAATAAACAGCACCAACAGAGCCACAGAGGAGAAGGCCATGTGAGTCCTGGAAAGGGAAGGGAGGAGGACACGGGGCAGGTGTGGGCCTTGCCCGTCTGGCAGGAGGAGGAGAGACCCTGACATACCAGCGCCTATAGCATACCAACCTCATCGGCCCACCTCTTGACTCCCCCCCTGTCCCCACGGTGGGGCCAGCCTGTCCACCCCACCCTCCTCCTCCGAGGGTTTGTCGTCAGCACCACGCACTCCTCAGTGAGAAAGTGCTGGGGGGCTGGCACACGGCTGCAGACAATGGTCTGTCCTTGAAGTGGTTGCTGGCACTGGGCCGGCTGTGGTGACCTTTCGCAGAGGAAATGGGGGCTGTCAGGGAAGGACTGGCAGCGCGCCCCCCCCCCCACCACCTCCGCACCCCAGGGAGAGGCCACAGTGCGGTGAAGGGGCTGGTAGTCCTTGGGCGGGGTTGGCCTCAGCTGGCCTTTAACATGAGTCAAGGGGAGGGTGGCTAGGGCCAGGGTGGGGGTTCCTGAGGCAAGATTGGACGGCTTCAAGGAGGAGGTAATGGTTTTGTGTCGGGCTTGGAAGAGGGTTGGAGGTCTCATTTAGGTCTGCAGGCGCCCCGCCCCCCGCCCCAACCTGCATTGCCTGGAGCACCGACTGGCTGAGCACCGACCGCTGCTCAGGCCGGACTGCCTCAGTCTGACAAGCCTGGGCTCCGCCTGCGCCACCTGGTGGCGGACCTCGCTGCAGCCGGGCACACGCCCATTATGCGGCCGCCCTCAGGAGGAGGGACTCCGGGATGACTTTAAAGATGCCAAGGAAGGCTCTGTTCTCCCTGGATCGCAGCCCACCACGGCCTGGTAAGGCAGGAGGTCCCCAAGGGCCAGGAGGAAGCAAGCGGCCCAGAAATGTATGCCTGTGGGCAACCGCACCTCCAGGGAAGAGGCGGGGACGCAGACTGAGGGCAGAAGAGCGACGCTACACCCAGAGGGCTGGCCCCACGAGCTTGGGGGCCATGCCTGGGCCAACATTTGTCCAGCCAGGGAGGGGGGGGTGTGAGGCCCCTCCCAGGGGAGCCATGGGTTGAGCAGGACCCCGAGAGCAAGCACCCCTTCCTGCTCCCTGCGGGATGATGCCTGTGCTTGGCTCCCAGAGGCGGCTGCTGGGTTCCCTTAACTGCACGCCTCCAGCCACCTTCCCCCTCATGCTGGCCCCCAACCGGACGGGGCCCCAGTGCCTGGAGGTGTCCATCCCCAACGGGCTCTTTCTCAGCCTGGGGCTAGTGAGTCTCGTGGAGAATGTGCTGGTGGTGGCTGCCATCGCCAAGAACAGCAACCTGCACTCCCCCATGTACTACTTCATCTGCTGCCTGGCCGTGTCCGACCTGCTGGTAAGTGTCAGCAATGTGCTGGAGACAGCGGTCATGCTGCTGCTGGAGGCCGGTGCCCTGGCCGCCCGGGCAGCTGTGGTGCAGCAGCTGGACAATGTCATCGATGTGCTTATTTGTGGCTCCATGGTGTCCAGCCTCTGCTTCCTGGGCGCCATCGCTGTGGACCGCTACATCTCCATCTTCTACGCCCTGCGGTACCACAGTGTCGTGACACTGCCCCGGGCGTGGCGGATCATTGCGGCCATCTGGGTGGCCAGCATCCTCACCAGCCTGCTCTTCATCACCTACTACAACCACACGGTCGTCCTGCTGTGTCTCGTTGGCTTCTTCATAGCCATGCTGGCCCTCATGGCCGTCCTCTACGTCCATATGCTGGCCCGGGCGTGCCAGCATGCCCGGGGCATCGCCCGGCTCCAGAAGAGGCAGCGCCCCATCCATCGGGGCTTTGGCCTCAAGGGCGCTGCCACCCTCACCATCCTGCTGGGCGTCTTTTTTCTCTGCTGGGGCCCCTTCTTCCTGCACCTCTCGCTCATCGTCCTCTGCCCCCAGCATCCCACCTGTGGCTGCATCTTCAAGAACTTCAACCTCTTCCTGGCCCTCATCATTTGCAACGCCATCGTGGACCCCCTCATCTACGCCTTTCGCAGCCAGGAGCTCCGGAAGACACTCCAAGAGGTGCTGCAGTGCTCCTGGTGAGGCTGGCAGTGCCGTTGTGTGCCCCAGGCCTGTGAGGCCAGGGCAGTCCCTTGACAAAGAGGATCGGCTAGGCCATCTCTGAAGGTGAGGGTGCACAGGCCTTCAGGGGCCTGAGAAGGGAATCGCAGGACTCTCCAGGAGGCTGTGCGGAATGAGGAGGCTGGGGAGATGGTGGGGCACGGCCCCCCACACCCAGAAAGGAGGGCCCCCACCCCTCCATCCAGAGACCCACTCCGGGGCCGGTGCCCACACCCCACCCCGCCCAAAGCTGTGGGAAGTGCCGCTCCAAGGACTTCATGACAAGCACAGGAGGAGGTGGGGGCCACAGTGGGGGTTTCTCTCTCTTCTAATGCTCTGTGGTGACTGGGGAGCCGGGCTCAGCCCATCTGTCAGCAGCACATGCATTCGGCAGACACCCCAGCCAGGCCTGCTCTGGGGAACCAGTGGCCAGTATACAGGCTCCAGGGCCAGGAAGCAGTGCAGCAGTATTAATAAATGCGATGCTTGGTGCAACCTCCTTCCCATCTGTCATGCCTCTTTCCAGAAGTTGCCTGAAGCTTGGGGCCAAGGAGTGGGGGTGTGGTGAAGAGGGGAAAGACTTAAATCCCAGGAGCCAGTCAGAAAACATGGCTCACCTGCCCAGGACATGAAACCACAGCCCCCAGTGTCAGAGGACCCACCTGGGGGAGGGTGAGGAGACCCCAGTCACACCCACTCCATCCTGTGTCTTTGCATTCTGTCTGTGGTGCAAACCCCACGCCAGAGGTCCCCCATCCCGAGTCACCTCCATTGTGACAAGACCCTGGCACTCCCCGGCTGCCCTCAGCTGCAACAGAGGCAGGACCATGGTGACCCGTGTGTGACACTGGCTAGAACATGGCCCTCTCTCAGCCTCCTTATCTGCTGCAGGGTGGCCCGGAGGCTGGGGTCTGCTCTTAAGTTCCATCCTGCTGGGAGAAAAGTCAGTGCCCCACCAGCCCTGGGAGGTCTGAGACAAGCTGCCCAGAATAGGGTGTGGCTCTCCAGGGGCTACAGGGATGTCCAAACCCCAGGGGTGTGGGTTGGGTCCTCCCTCTGCCCCCCCCCCCCCCCAATTCCTCCACGGACAGAGCATATGCCCTACTCTCTTGCTGGGACAGGCTTGTGGATGAAAAGCAGGGGTACCAGCCAGCCCTGCTGCCCCCTGGCCAGTCCCCCACCCCAGCAGCGCCACCTGATTGTTGGCCTCAGGGCTGGGAGCTGGTTCCTGGCAGGGCCGGCCTTTGCTGGGAGATGGATGATGAGTCAGCCTCAAGCCAGCCTCAATTCCTCTGGGGATGGAGGGGGAGCGGTCCTGGCTGGGAGCCATCCTGCAGGGTGGCAGGTGGGTGATGGGTCCTGTTCGAGAGGGTGCAAAGCTTCTTCCTTCCAGGGAAAAGGACCCCCTGAACGGGGACAGGGAGGGGCCCCAGACAGCTGGAAACCAACCACAGGAAACCACATCAGAGACACGTTGTGGGGGAGGGGCATCTCTTGAGAACAAAAGACCCTTTCCAGACTTGCCAAGTTGGAGAGCTTCATGAGGGGAAAGAGGGCCACCCCCAAGCAGTGTGAACACACGGGAACAGGCTTCATGCTGTGGCTGAGACCCTTCCGGAGGCTTTTGTCGCTGAAATGTAAGATAGGGCTTTCTTGTAGGTGGTTTCACTCTACCCTCTGACCTCAGGAGACTGGTGGTGTCGACCAGGGTGTGTACCGTGAGTCTTCTTTTCTGACAGTGACCTCTCCCGTCTGCAAACACTAACCCCCTACAGAGCTTCTCCCCATCCACTGAATTTCCTTAGCCTCATTTGGACCAAGACTCCAGGGGTACGAGTGACAGCAAGGAGTCAGACAGACACCACCCCCCAGGCTGATAGTTCTTTGTCTGGCTTGTTTGTGTCCTTATGACAATCCGGGACACCAGTGCTCAGCTACATCCAGCAGCAGCTACATCCAGGGGCGTGTCTGGCAGGGGTACAAAGCACCCAATCGTGCTAGGTCCACCTGGAATGTCCTGGCAGTGCCCTGGGGCAGCAGGGGCAGGTGGCGCCCCACTGCAGAGATGAGCAGTGACAGAACTGCCATAGGAGCCCATCGCCAACTCCTGCAGCCACCGCCCTTCTGACTCAGATGTCTAGGAGCCTTGCCCCAGCTTGCTTTCTTCTGGAGAGAATCTAGTGCCCGCTGCAGCCTTGCCTGCCTCCCCCACCATCAAAGGCTGCGGGCAAAGCTCAGAGTACCTGGTCTGCCCCTTCTCGACAAAGGAGGGGTGCTGGGGGGCGTCCCTTCTGGCCTTCCTGTGTGGGAACATGGGGTTGGTCCCTAATCAGGTGTGCACAAGAAAGACCCTCCTTGCTGCGCCGAGGGTTGAGGCTCCCGCTGGGGAGGGGAGCAGAGGGCAGGCGGGGCGGGGGCCAAGGGCCAAGGAGGACTTCTATTGTCCTCCCTGGATCTCACCAGCCCCGCCTTCCGGTTGCGCGGAGCCCGGAGAACCGGTGGCGGAGGAAGGCGGCGCCGCCGCAGCGCGCGGTCGAGCGGGGATGCGCGGCGCGGATGCTTGCTGCAGCCGGTGCCGCAGTCTTCGGCGGCGCCCTGGGATTGGCCGCGCGAGATGACGCCGGGCCGGGCGAGGCGGGCGGGGCCCCGCCTATAAGAGCGGGCGGCGGGGGCGGCAGAGCCTCCGCAGCCAGCTGCAGCCGGTCCGCTCGCGTCTCGCAGCCGCCCGCCATAGCACCGAGCATGAGGGAGATCGTGCACATCCAGGCCGGCCAGTGCGGCAACCAGATCGGGGCCAAGGTGAGGCTGCGCGGCCCCGTGTGCCGGTCCCCGCACTGGGCGCGTGTCCCGCGTCCCCAGCGCGCCTCCTGCGTCCCCAGCGCGAGCGGGTCCCGGGGGAGGGAAGCAGCGGGGAGGCGTTGTGTGCGCGCAGCGGCACCCCAAGCCCGGATCACCACTGCGAAACCTAGGAGAAACGGATGGGATCGCGCACCCCACCCCAACCCCCCCAATGCCGGCGGGCGGCCGGGACGCCGGGTCGCCCCTCTGCCAGTCCCACCCCGGCCTTTCCGCTGCCCCGCCCGGGTTACCTCGGGCCTGCTGGAGGCACAGCGCAGGTCAGCGGCTCCCCACTCTCTAGCCCCCCGCCGCTGCAGGTGCAAATGGACGGCGCTGGCTGGGCGTGGCCCTCTTCTCTGGGGTCGCAACTCGGCCTCGGGCGAGATGGGTGGGGTGGACAAGCTCGGGTGGGGCTTCCCCAAAAGCCATAACGATTCCCTCTGCCCTCCCACGCCAAGAGCTTGATGTCCCCCGAACGTTCAGAGCCGCCCCCATTTCCCCAGCTAGCTTTGACAACCCTCAGCTCCCTGGCCCCACCCTGTTCTTTTGTTGGGGAAGGAACTGTGCCCGGACTCAGAATGACCTTGCTCCAGGACTGGACTCTCCGTCGGCGTAGCACCGCCCGGGCCACCCCTCCCCCAACCCCACTTAGAGACGGCAGGTCTAGGGGTCGGCGGTAGGAACAAAGCCGGGCTGGAGGGCGCGGTCCAGAGCTGCTTCCCCGCTAGGCCCCTCCCCTCCATTGTTAGCCCCCCTCACAGATGTCTGGATTGAGGCGCGCAGGCCACGTTCCTCCCCCCACTCCCCGCCCCCGCCCCCAACCCAGGAGGCAGGTGTCGTATCCCTAGGTCCAGAGACGCTGTTCCTTGCCCAAGGTCACACAGCAAGTGGAGAAAGAGCCTCTCCGCCCTCCGGCTCTCGGTCCCTGCAGGTGCCCACCCAGCACAAGACTCAGGCTGGGTGGGTGGGGCCTGCTGCCCTTTGTCAGCACCAAGGCCAGGGGCCCAGCGGGGATGGTGTGGAGCAGGCTCCCCAAGGAGAAAGTGGGAGGAGACAGGTCCTGGAAGGGAAGGGACCAGGAAAACCTTCCTCAGGAGGCTGTTGCCATGGAAACCAGGCAAGAACAAAAAGCTAATTACAACAGGGCTGGGGCAGCCACGTGGCTGACATGTAAATTGCAACTTGGGCTCTAGGGTGGTGGGGCCTCATATGGGGAGAGGGCATGGTGGGGAGACACCCTAATCACTGAGGAGACAGCTGTGCCTGCCCGAGGAAGGGAGGTGGGGGAGGGGAGGCCTGGGGGACCAAGGCCTCAAATTAAATCAGGCCTCTGGGGGCTGAAACTGACAGATGCCCTGGCCGGGCAGGAGGGGCCAAAGACTCATTACTGTGGCCACAGGGGCCAGGCCTGCCCTGAGCATCTGCTCCTCTGAGGGTCAGGGGTCGCTGACGGGAAGGAGGGCAACCCTAGTTCCATGGTAAGCCTGGGGTAGTGTTGGTGGGGTTGCTCTGTTTCCTTCTGAGGCTGCACGGGCACCGATCGGGCAAAGGCAGCTTCATGCCCAGCTGCAGCCCCAAAGAGCGGGGTTGGGTGGGGTAGGGGTGGTCAGGGGGACAGGGGCAGCTGCCTGAGTGCTGGGCAGTGTCCTCTGCAGAGATTTTTTTCCTGCTTTAAGTTCCGTGTCCTTTGGGTTTTCCTCATTACTTCTTATTCGTTTGAGGTTAATTTCCTTAACTCTTGTTTGTTTTATAAAGTAGTATCTGATGCTTTTTAACAGTACAAAAGAGAAGTGGATTTGGGAGGAGGGGAAGCAGTGTGCAAAGGAGGCAGTCAAGTGGTTTCCTTCTGGCCCTCCTGCCCTGGAGGACCTCCACAACCAGGCTGGAAGAGCTCAAAGCCCGGCAGGGGCATTTGCCTGCACAGCCGCTCAACAGCGGCCTGTGGACAGGGTCTGGCCGTTTCCTACTCCCACACAGGTGTGGGCTCTTGGCGGAGGGAGACCAAACTTTTCCTGCCAGTTGCCAGCGGCCGCTGACTGGTGCGGGCGGGGCAGGGTGCTGTCAGAATGTTATAGGTAGGCTGTTACCCTACTTGGGGGCAGGCTGCCTGCTATGGGAAGGGTCCTGGCTGCGGGTGGGGTCGGGATGGGAGGGGTTATGTAGGGAGGAGGATAAGTCTGGGCGATCAGGGCTAGGAGAGGCTGCGACAGCATTTATGACAGTGACCAGTGTTGGGCACTGTGCCGGGTGCGTCCCGCACTGCGCCTCTCGAGGTTGCGGTGAGACAGGGTGCTGCCCTCCCGGCAGGGCACGGGTGTGAATCCAGGCCTGTGTAGGCACATCAGGATGGGCGGGGAGCCCCTAGCCCCCACCAAGGGGCGAGGAGCCAGGGAACCCCACCCTCCTCCCCTAGGGGGTAGGGCGGTCCCGGAGCCTTTGTCTGCCCCCCCCCTTGGCCGCTGGGCGGGGCCTCGGAGAGACGGCCCTGGCCCTGACAGCCAATGGGAGGAGGGAGTTTCTGGTTTCGGACCCCACCCCCACATGACCCCTGCTGCTGTGCGCCGGGTGGGGAAGGGCGTGGAGTCCTAGAGGGGCTTAAGCCCTCCTTCTACTGCGCACACTCAGCTTGCTTTGGGCTCATCTGTGTGCGCCCTCTGCGTGCCCGCCCCAGGTGTGGGAGCGGCGACCGTCAGCACCACGGACAGCGCCGCGGGAGCTACAATTGTGCGTGTGAAATAGGAGCCTGGCCTGGACCCTGGGGTCCATGCGCCACTCTCATCTGTGGTGATGATCATAATCATTATTTAATTTATAATATAGTATTTTGTTGTTTATTAATGTTGTATAATACATGTAATATATTCTGCTAAGCTTTTATTAGTAATATTTTAAATTGCAATTTATATTCGTTTTAACTACAAAAGCTATTATTAACATATGTCCTTTCTAAGAAGTTGAAGCATTGCACAGAAGGCTAAAGTGCCTGTTTAAGCACCTCCCCCTGGTGGTCCCCCTCTTCTGGGTGGAGCAAGTTATTTTCCCTTATTCTAATTCATTTTCTGTGTATGTGCACCTATGGGTAAGAATTACAGCATCTGTTGTGAGGTGCCCGTTTTTACCCTGAATCTCTTTGCCATGTGCCTTTCCCCCCAAGGATGTGCCTTGGAGATCTGCTCACACCAGGGATGATCTTTTATTGTGCCACAATATTCCAAAATATATTGATTTTTTAAAGTACTTTTTATTTTATTTATCAGTGAATGTGCGTTGGTTGCTCAGTCATGTCTGACTATTCATGACCCAATGGACTGTAGCTCAGTAGTCTCCTCTGTCCATGGAATTCTCCAGGCAAGGATACTGTACTGGGTTGCCATTCCTTTCTCCAGGGGATCTTCCCAACCTAGGGATTGAATGTTGGCCTCCTGCATTGCAGGCAGATTCTTTACTGGAAGCCACCAGTGAAGTCCTTATCAGTGAATAAGGCTTGACAAATTTAAATAGCAACCTAAGGACTTTTAACTTGGTGAGACCAACATTTGCTGAATGCTTTTATTTGTCAGGCCTTGAGTTGACCACTTGAAGTGAGTACTGTCATCATGTCTACTTACAGATGAGAAAATGGAGGTCCTGAGAGGTGGCACTCTGGTCTGTTGCCTTCTGGAAGCCTATGCATTCTGTACATGAGTTCCAGAGAACTCTTCATAGATGTATTGGTGGCTGGGTGACTGAGTCACTCTCTGTCATCCCCTCACATGCCATCTCAGGCTCATTTCTTCTCTACAGAGGTTGTGGATGTCCCAGGGCTGTGGGGCCAAGGTCCTGAAGCCAAGCAATGATTGAAAGCTCTGATCAGGCCCCAAAAGCCTCAGTGACACCTCTAATTACAGCATTAACACATACCTAATGCAGGGAGAAAGAAGAAGACTTATCAGTGACACAAATCACAAAGACCAGCTGAGAACTGACCTTTGCCAACAGTCTCTCTGGGTGAACTGCCAAGATTCCTCTGTGCATTTGATAATAATTACTCTTCATACTTTTTGGGTTTTAAATTTTTAAAGTCTTTTAATTTTTAATATATTTTTCTATTTGGCTGTGCTGGCACAGCCAAATCTTAGTTGTGGCATGTAGGATCTGAATTCCCTGACTAGGGATCAAACCCTGGGCTCCTTCATTGGGAGTGCAGAATATTAGCCACTGGACCACCAGGGAGGTCTCTAAAATTAAAAAAAAAAAAAAAAGTTTAAAAAATTTTAACTAATCTTTTTCTTTTCTTTTGAGAAGTTAACATGTGCACATGATAAAAACTAAAAACCACCAAAGCGTATGCAGGGTAAAAGCCTCTCCTCACAACCAGAACTGGGCTTCCCTTGTGGCTCAGTGGATAAAGAATCTGCCTGCAATGCCGAGACCTGGGTTCAATCCCTGGGTTGGGAAGATCCCCGGGTTCTAGAAGGAAATGGCAAACCCCTCCAGTATTCTTGCTTAGAGAATCCCGTAGATGGAGGAGTCTGGCAGGCTACAGTCCATGAGGTCACAGAGAGTCAGATATGATGAGTGACTAAACAACAACAAACCCCATATAGCACTCCCCATCCACAGAGTAACTGGATTTATTCTCACAGCACTCAGACTTCATCTTCAGGCTTTTAGGCCTTCAGGCCCAAGGCCCTGAGACACAGAAGCTTCAGGGTTTGGCCAAGGTCACTCTGGAAAGGGGTGGTCCAGCTTGCAAGTGAGACCCTGTCCTGTCTTAGTCCTGAGAGAAGCTCTGTGGGTTCTGCCCAGGACAAACAGGGCAGATTGCAGTGCGGTGAGTGAGCCCTTGAAACTGGGGCTGCGGCATCTCAGCTCAGACAGGCTGGGTTAGCCCAGGTGAGTCACTCCCCATGCAGGGCCCCTGGGGGCTGAGGCTGCTGCTGCGGGCTGCTTCCAGGCCCTGGCACTGGATGGCCTATGCTTGACACTGCGGTGTTTGCATATCCTAGGCTTGGTCTCCATTGCTTACCTTCCTGGGCTTCAACTTTCTCATCTGAAAAGAGGGAAATTAAAAAAAAAAAAATACCCCAGGTGGGTGTTTGTTACTAACCCCTCATGAAGTGGACTTTCAAGGCCCCTCTCAGCAAGTGCAGAGCTGGGTCTGGGGCCCAGGTCTGTGTCAGTTGAGCACTGATCCACCCTGAGGGCTCTGGTCTCCATGGACATGCGTATTTTTTATTATGACAGTTCTCTTGATGACAGAACTTGGGGCTCTTTTTCAAAGTCACTCAAAGGGACTAGTGCAGGCTTTGGGTCCACACCCCTCATTTTGTACTAGGGCCTTGAGGCTACCAGAGGGCAGGCCTTGCCGGGGGTCATGACCACCAACTGGCCCTTCCTTTCCCTGCAGTTCTGGGAGGTCATCAGTGATGAACATGGGATAGACCCCAGTGGCAATTATGTGGGTGACTCGGACCTGCAGCTGGAGCGCATCAGTGTCTACTACAACGAGGCCTCTTGTGAGTTCCCCTCCTTGACTGGGTGGGGATGGGGTGGGGGCCTTGACTGCTGGGTTCCAGCATCCCTGCCTTCCTTCCCTTGGCTGGCAGGTGTAACCAGAGACTCACAGAATAAAACAAGGAATCCTAGTCACCCATGTGAGATACAAGTGTGTTTAGTGGCCATGAGACACACGTAGGGGAATGACCAGGGCTGGGCAGGGTCCCAAAGACCCTTCAGGAGGCCCATGGAGGGTCCAGAGCAGGGGTTATCTGGAGAGGTCAGGCAGGGGCCATTCAGAAGCTGGTGTGAAATGGTGCCCTCAGGGACACCTGCCCATGTCCAGGTGTCACCCATGACCTTGTCACATGTGGTCCCTGCCTCTCTGATCCCAGAGTCTAAGCTCTTAGGTGAGAGCACGAGGCTGGCAGGCCAGGGCAGGATTTAGGAGGCAGAAGGGGTGCCTAGCTTCTGTGACCCATGTAACCCACTCCTCTCCTCTCAGCACACAAATATGTGCCTCGGGCCATCCTGGTGGACCTCGAGCCTGGAACCATGGACAGCGTCCGGTCTGGGGCCTTTGGGCACCTCTTCAGGCCTGACAACTTCATCTTTGGTAAGTTTCCCCTGTCCCCGCCTTCTCATGGTGGACCCCACCACCAGCAAACCGAGGTCAACAGAAACAAGGGCAGAGTCACCTCTGCCCACAATGCTGCAGAGCATCACTGAGCTCACTAATTTGCAGCGGAAGAGTCCCAGAGAAAGGGTTCTGTGCAGGAAACAGACATTTGTGATTTCAGGCAGCGCGGTGTGTGCAACAGAGCTTACAGGATGTCAGAGACCTGGAAGGGGTCTCCAGAGCACACCGGCTCATGAGCACACTGCGTTGCTGTGGCCAGGGGTCGCCAGTCCTCATGCCCATGACGATGACAGGAGGAGGGCCTCACCCCACTTCACCTCCTAGAGCTCAGCACCCAATGCATGGGCATGACCCTCATCCCGACCCTGGGCTGCGAGGCACTCAGGGTTGTAGCTTAGCCTTCCAACACAGCGGGCTAGAGGGTGGGTGGATTGGAGGGCTGGGTGGACCAGTTCCGCTAGGAGGTCCCCTGAGGCAAAGCAGAGGCAGAAGCTCCAGAAGCTGTGTCTGTGTCCAGATCCCACAGCTCTAGGTGCCGGGGGTGACATCCCCAACACACGATGTGGCTGGCATGAAGAGCCATGGACATGAGAATTGCATGCCCCCACTTCATGGAGGGCAAGCAGGCACCGAGCTGCCTCCTCGGCTGCTCTCTGGGGTGGGCTGTTCAGGCCAGTGCTGGAGCTGTGACCCCATCTGTATCCCCCCTGCCCTGCCCACCGCAGGTCAGAGTGGGGCTGGCAACAACTGGGCCAAGGGCCATTACACGGAGGGTGCCGAGCTGGTGGACTCAGTCCTGGATGTGGTGCGGAAGGAGTGCGAAAACTGCGACTGCCTGCAGGGCTTCCAGCTGACCCACTCCCTGGGTGGCGGCACAGGCTCAGGCATGGGCACACTGCTCATCAGCAAGGTCCGCGAGGAGTACCCCGACCGCATCATGAACACCTTCAGCGTGGTGCCCTCGCCCAAGGTGTCGGACACGGTGGTGGAGCCCTACAACGCCACACTGTCCATCCACCAGCTGGTGGAGAACACGGACGAGACCTACTGCATCGACAACGAGGCGCTGTATGACATCTGCTTCCGCACCCTCAAGCTGGCCACGCCCACCTACGGGGACCTCAACCACCTGGTATCGGCCACCATGAGCGGGGTCACCACCTCCCTGCGCTTCCCGGGCCAGCTCAATGCCGACCTGCGCAAGCTGGCCGTGAACATGGTGCCCTTCCCACGCCTGCACTTCTTCATGCCCGGCTTTGCCCCGCTCACTGCCCGCGGCAGCCAGCAGTACCGGGCGCTGACCGTCCCCGAGCTCACCCAGCAGATGTTCGATGCCAAGAACATGATGGCGGCCTGTGACCCACGCCACGGCCGCTACCTGACCGTGGCCACCGTCTTCCGAGGGCGCATGTCCATGAAGGAGGTGGACGAGCAGATGCTGGCCATCCAGAGCAAGAACAGCAGCTACTTCGTGGAGTGGATCCCCAACAATGTGAAGGTGGCCGTGTGTGACATCCCGCCTCGCGGGCTGAAGATGTCCTCCACCTTCATCGGCAACAGCACAGCCATCCAGGAGCTGTTCAAGCGCATCTCGGAGCAGTTCACAGCCATGTTCCGGCGCAAGGCCTTCCTGCACTGGTACACGGGCGAGGGCATGGACGAGATGGAGTTCACCGAGGCCGAGAGCAACATGAACGACCTGGTGTCTGAATACCAGCAGTACCAGGACGCCACGGCCGAGGAGGAGGGCGAGATGTACGAAGACGATGAGGAGGAATCCGAGGCCCAGGGCCCCAAGTGAAGCAGCTGAAGGGGTGGGACGCGGCTGCAGCCAGGACCAAGTGGTCTGTCCCCCGAGCCATGTAGCCACTGACACACCCCCGATCTCACCCCCACAAGGTTCAGTCATGTCACCCTGGGGCTCCCAAGTGTTTGTTCTCCAGTATTTACAGCACCCCTGCCCTGCGTGAGTTCTCTCAGCTATCTTCCGCCTTAGGTCAAATCCGTTTCCTGTCTCTGCTTTATTGTTAGCTCCAGGCCTGATGTTTCATGTTTTTTTTTTTTTTTTTTTTTTACTGGTTTCTGTTTATATTTGGAGGGGGATATTTAATAAATTTATTGCTGTCAGATACCCATGCCTGGTGCTGCAGTTTTCCTCTTTTTTGAGAAAGATGGGGCCAGGAGAGGTAAGGAGGGTAGACGGGGAGGCCTGATGGAGGCAGGACAAGTGACAAGTGGGAGGGGTTGAGACGGGCCTGTGCTTGGAAACTGTAGGTGTCTCAAGGTGCTGCTCATGGCAGGGGAGCTGCTGGCGGTGGTGTCGGGGGAGGCGGCCATGCCTGGAGGAGCCTCATCCTCAAACCCTAGGCGGGCTCTCAGGCAGCTCAGGACAAGCCCTCCAGGGTGACTCATGCTGGAGAACTTTCCTCTGGCTTCTCTGTGTGCCAGATGTTAGAGGCAGGCGGCGGGACCCAAACAACTGTGAGGAAGTGAGGAGCTTGAGGATTCCTCCAGAAAATGTGGTGTGTCGGATGGTGGGGGCTTGAACCCCGGGGAAGGGCTGGTTGGGTCAGCAAGTTGTGGCCACCGCACCTGGGTGCAGGGGTGCTGGGAGTGAAGTTCTGGCCCCATATGCCTTCTGGAGATCATTTCCACTGCTTCAGGGCACCCAGGGTCCCACAGATAGGGGCAAATCTGGCTGCCCCCTCCTCCTACAGAGAGAGAAGTGGAACCCAGAGTTGCTGTCTGCCTGGGGCCCAGGTGAGCATGCACAGAGGTGGATGAGCCTCAACCCTGGTGCCCTGGGCCTCCTCATACCCCACCCCTAGAAGCCAGGACACCCCTGCATGCCCCCCTCCTGGGTGGGTACCTGAGCAAAGAGAGGCCAAAGGGGCTGATCTGGACTGGGGAACAGAAGCCCTGAGAGGGTCTGCATCCCGGGATCAGGCAGGAGCGGATGCTCTGGGCACCTGTTCCGTGCTGGGCGGCTTGAAGTTCACTGCACTGCTGGCCCTGGAGGCTGCCAGCTTTCAACCCTGGAGCCTGTGTGGGTCCCTCTGATCCCACCTTCACAAGGCTGCGGCCTCCACGCCATTGGGGGGAAGGGTGTCCACAGCCCAGATTCTCCAGGCTGTCTGTGATCCCCAGAGGGTTGAGTCACCCACCGAGCATTGACAAGGGTGCCCCAGGCTCCTGATATCCCAGTGCTCACTCTAGGCTCTGGGTCCACGGTCTTGTGGGGTCTCTCCTGAGGGTTGTTTAACCTTCACACTGAGGCCACCAGTTTCCCTGGCGAGAAGTGGGACTCAGAGGAGCAACTGCCAGTTGGCAGGTAGCACAGTGGCGGGCCAGGCCGGGCCGTGTGTCTCTCCTCTTTGCTCAGACGGCCGCAATCACACATCCCTCCTGAGCCCCTGCACGGTGAGAACTTCATCCTGGCTCAGGTCACATAGATGAAGCTGGGTGAGAACTTCGTCCTGGCTCAGGTCACATCGATGAAGCTGGCCTCCCGGGGCCACCCTGCCTTCTCCCCTGGACCACACCCACTCCAGCCCTTGTGGGGGAGAGTCCTCGCTTCCCTGCCTAGTCCCTCAGCCCCACCCCTTGAGGCTCCAGCCCCCTTTCTGATGAGAGGCCATTTAGTTCTCTCCTGTGTTCCTCAGTCATAGGCTCACTCCTCACCCTCACAGCATGGGCATGGTGGAGCAGACACCTCCCTGAGCGAGGTGAATGGCTGTGCTCCACATTTCAGAGTGGTTCACTGTGCCCCTGCAATCAGGAACACACATGGAAAGTGGCTGCGATGACAGCATGTGGCCCGTAACAAGAGCCCTAAGTGTTAGCACTCATTTACCTGTGACTGTTGCTGAGGGGTGCGTGTTTGCAGGCACACCTGGAAAAGAGGGGGGCAGCCCACTCAGGGGGTCCTCCGTCTCACCTGAGTCTCCCTGAGGGCTCTGACTGGCTCAGCACTGTGCAGTGTTGACGGCGGGCACTCTTGGGCAGCCTTTGGGGCCACCTACCTCCTTGGCTATTTGCCTTCAGATCAGTTCGTCCCTTTCAGCCTGGTAATGGACCAGGGGTGTCCAGACCTGGGCACACTCCTGCCCTGGCCCGGCACCCTCAGCCTGGAATGCAGAGCTGCTCAGGGGCCAGCAGATGGACTCACACCCAGGGGCAGGGCGGCCAAAGCAAATCCAGGATGCCCAGTCACACTGGGATTTCAGATGAAGAACAAATAGCATTCCTTCTGGGGACATATTTGTACCAAGAGATTACTCAGTTACAAGACTGGGGTAATCCTAGGCTGGGGACTGGGCAGCCCTGTACTGGGCCTGTTCTGGGGGCCCAGCCGCCTTGAAATCATACATCATCCACTGTGTTACACATCCTCACAGACTTGTGAGGTGGGTACTTCCAAGGAAGAGGCTGAGGCCTGGAGATGGACAAAGCTGCCTCAAGACCCCAGCTGCCAGGGGCAAAAACACAGGAGGATACTGGAGTCATCACTGCTCCCACCACCCAGGGGACCACAGCAGATGTGGAGGGGACAGTGAGTGTGGGATGCAGATGACCCTCAGCTCTGCCACACCAGCTGGCAGGGCACATCCCCTCTCTAGGGAAATTTCTCCAGTGGAAAAGGACATGTCCTGCTCATATTTTAGGACTTGTAATTCCAGATGGACTCGCTGGAAAGAAAACATCTTGCTTAGATAATAATAAATGAGCAGGTGCACATATGAGTGTGATAAAACCCAGCATGCCCACTGGATGTAGAGTTCTCTGCCAGCACAAGTGTGGGTAGGGATGGGGGTGTTGGTTTCCCCAAAGAGGATGGACCAGAATTACAGGGGGTCCGAGACTGGATAGAGTCAGGCAGAGCTGAAGGGAATTGAGTCACCATGGGCAGGGTATGAAGGCACCCTCCTCGGACCAGGACCCTGACACAGATGGGGTCTGCTCCCTGGGGTGCTGCTGAACCCAGGTGCAATGGGGGCATGGGTGTGGGTGCTTATGGGTGTTTCCCTGTCTCCTTCTCCAAGGGCCTTTGGAGGAAGGCTGTATTCTTCTCCAGCAGGAGCCATTTATAAGGTAGCTTAGTGTCTCCCCGAGATTCCCACATTTTCCAGCATGTTTAAAAGGGCCGCTCCTGAACATGTCCCCAACTGTCCCCCACCTTCCTCACTCTTACCCTTGGGAGCACTGGGGATTGAGATGTCCTCCTCCCAGAACTTTTCGGCTACCTCGTCATACTGTTTATTTTCTTGCTGCGTTTCACGTCTCTTACTGATGTGCATCTTTGTTTACTGTCTGGCTCCTTGCATTCTGGGGCTGCGCCAGCCGTCTCCCTGCTGAGTCAGAGTCGGGCTGGGCCCCTGTTGTTGCGGGGGGTGGGGGGGTGGGCACAAGTGAAGTGAGGCCAGCCCTTCCTTAGTCCCTGAAACTAAGCACCTATGTGCCTAGGAACTGTTCTAGGCCCCAAAGCAGTGAAGAAAGCAAACAAAATCCTTGCCTGCAGCCTTTAGTTTCTGGTGCCAGGTGGAGGTTGGGGGTGCCCGTGGAGAAAGACAAAAATCAAGTGAAAAAGTACAAGATGCAGGACGTTGGACAGTGACAAGAATTATGGAGAGAACCATAGCAAGGGGCCTCTGGAGAGCAGTAGGCTTCTCCAACACCTCTCCCATCTGCGCTGAACAGCCCCTTGTCTCACAGTGGCTCAGTTTCCTCCTCTGTGAAATGGGTAGCATTGCAGTAACCTCTCCCTCACCAGTGATGAACATGGTGGAGGCAAGCACAGCTGCTGCTCCTGCTCAGCGATCACCTATTCCATTTTCCCTGCAACTGCTGGAGTTTAAAAGAAACTCAAACACCATTTTTTTCTTCTCTCTCTCTCTCTGTATATATATATTTTATTTGGCTGCACTGAACCTTAGTTATGATGTGTAAACCCTTACTTGCAGCATGTGGGATCCAGTGCCCCAACTGGGGATCAAATCTGGGCCCCCTTCATTGGGAGTGTGGAGTCAGCCAGTGGACCACCAGAGAGGTCCCACCAATTTTTAAAAGAGTGTTTGGTTTTGATTTGAATCAGAGCTTTTGTGATTATGAAAAATCTAGTCAGTGCTGCCTCACCCCCACTCCTACCACTCCCCACCCCCCTGCCCCAACCTTACCATTGTGGGAAAAAAATCAATCAGGTGACCTAAGAAAGAAATGGAAATTTTTATTCAATCCAAATTTGAGGATTATAAGCCAAGAACAGCATCTCAGAAAGCTCCAAGGACTGTTTTGCCATTAGAAGTTAAGTCACAGCTATACAAGTTTCTTGAGACAGGACAGGAGTGTTATCCACAGTTTACACAATTCGAATCTAAGCTCATCATGGCCCCTCACAAGATCAAGAAACTGTTCAGTTGCTAAGTTGTGTCCAACTCTTTGCGACCCCATGGACTGCAGCATTCCAGGCTTCCCTGTCCTTCACCATCTTCCAGAGTTTGCTCAAACTCATGTCCATCGAGTTTGTGATGTCATCCAACTATCTCGTCCTCTGTTGTCCCCTTCTCCTGCCCTCAATCTTTCCCAGCATCAAGGTCTTTTCTGATGAGTCAGCTCTTCCCATCAGGGGGCCAAAGTATCAGAGCTTTAGCTTCCAAGGAGCATCAGCCCTTCCATTGAATATTCAGGGTTGATTTCCTTTAGGATTGACTGGTTTGATCTCCTTGCAGTCCAAGGGAGTCTCAAGGCTCTTCTCCAGCACCACAGTTCAAAAATACCAATTCCTTGGTGCTCAGCTTTCATTATGGTACAACTTTCACATTGGTACATAACTACTGGAAAAACCACAGCTTTGACTATACGGACCGTTGTTGGCAAAGAAGTTCAGGAAGTGACCTTATCTTTTAAGCAGCTGTGCTGAATTCCAGGAGGCGTTTCTGCTGATGGGGGTGGTTTGGCAGATGCATAAATGCAGATCAGATGCACAGCGAGGAGAGAGGCAGGTAAAGGGCAGAGAAATTTTTCGTGTTTAAATTTTCCTTGTCTTCCATGAAGCGTGAATTTTATTTCACACCATCTTCAACAATTGGGATGAAGGGTCTCGCGTTTCTTGGATTGGGAGGTGGAGGCCTGGGTCCGGGGGTGGAACGCGCAAACTCCGCCGGTGTCATGAGCCTCCCGACCGCAGGAGGCAGCAGCGAGCGAGGCGGATACAGTGTATCCAAAGCGGCGGTGGATACGCTGTAACAAGCCCGGCGGGGAGGATACAATGTAACCCGGGCGGCGGTGGTCAGGTGAGCGGCGGGAGGGAAGCAGACGGGGCTCTGGGTGGCGGGGACTCGGACGCTCGGGCCGCCGCGCCCCGGAGCCCGGGGAGCCTCTCTCTCGAAGCGGACACCGGGGCATAGGGGGAGAGAAACCCGGCCGAGGCCCAGGCCCGGGCGCAAAGCAGGATTCAGACTCCCGGGCGATCACCTGGGGGCAGAGGGTCTTGGGGACCTCAGCTGCCCCCATCCCGCTCTGTCAGGGTCTAGCTAGGAAGGCTGCCCCCGGGCACACTGTCACCCCTTCCAGCTGTCACCGCGCGCGTCTGTGGGATGCGAGAGGCCGGAGGGGTCCCCACGGCTGTGCCACCCTGTGCTGGGGCTGGACCACTCTGAGCCTGTTTCCTCATCTCTGAAACGGTCAGACCCGGTGGAAGATACCTGGCCCCGTGCGGAGCCACTTAGCAAGGGTCCCCAGAGTGTATGTTGCTGTTGTTGTTGTGGGTGAAGGTGGGGGAGGCCCTTTTGGGGTGGCGTCACCCAGAGGCGGGGGTGGACGCTGCCAAGCTTCAGTGGCAAGAAATCCTTAAAGGGACAGTAGCGGCCCTGCTCCCGGTGGGGTTCTGGAGGCCTCCTGATGGGCGTGAGCAGCTCGGGTGCACCTTCACCCTGTCCCCCCTGGGGAGAAGTTTAGGGGCCTCTGGTGGTAGCTGGGTGATGACAGGGCCTCTGGTGGCTGTGTCACAAGCAGAACAGGCAAGGCTGGTTCAGGCACATCTGAGCTTCAGCCCTGTGTTCCTTGGGGCCTGAGAGATGCTGGGCTTTGTTCTCAGGGTCCTCTAATCGCAAAGTCCTGGGCTCCTCACCCCACCCCAGTGAGAGGAGGTCTCTGGAGAAGGGGAGACAGTGGACTAGTGGGTTTCCTGCATGCCGCTTGCTCAAGTGTCCACCTTCCAGCCTGCACCTCTCTGAGGTAAGGCCTGAATTTGGGGTGCAGAGCTCTCTGTGGGGTGAACCTGGTGGGGTGGTGAGGGTTGCTATCGCTCCCCTCTAAGCCAGTTGCTGTGCACTTTGTCTGCTGGGCCCCTGTGTTAGGACCCCTTCTGGCTGCTCCTGGCACCCACTTCTCCCTGGGAAATGGGATTCTTTTAACTTTGGCTGGAGGGGAACTGAGGCTGAGAGAGGTCAGGTTACCCCAGTCATTCACTCACCCGTGGCCTCTCTGCCTGGCCTACCCATCAGGAGCTTAATGAGAGATGCGATTTCCAGGAGGGCTTGTATCCCAGAAAAGGGCAGCTGAGCAGTGTTCCTGCCTTTGAGCTCCTCAGGCCATATTTTATTTTCTTTCTGACTAAGGCCTAAGAACCTGTGCATTTTATGTATTTTTAAAAATTGAAATGTAGTTGATTTACAATGTTGTGTTAGTCTCTGGTGTACAGCAGAGTGCTTCTGTTATAGATATAGATATCTTTTTCATGTTCTTGTCCATTATGATTTATTACAGGATGTGGAATATATTCCCCTGTGTTATACAGTAGGATCTTCTTGTTTATACATCCTTTATATAATAGTTTGCATCTGTTAACCCCATAACCCCAATCCAAACCCCACTCCCAACCACTTGGCAAACTCAAGTCTGTTCTCTACATCTGTGTGTCTGTTTCTGTTTTGCAGATAGGTTCATTTGTGTCATATTTTAGATTCCACATTTAAGTGATATCATATGGTATCTGTCTTTCGGACTTAGGGTGGTAATCTCTAGTTGCATCCATGTTGCTGCAAATGGCATTATTTCATTCTTTTTTATGGCTAATATTCCATTGTGTATATCTGTACCACACCTTTATGCACTCATTTGTTGATGGACATTTAAGTTCTTTCCATGTGTTGGCTATTGTGAATACTGCTGCGATGGATGCTGGGTGCATGTATCTTTTTGAATTACAGTTTTCTCCAGGTGTATGCCCAGAAGTGGCATTGCACGATCATATTGCAAGTCTATTTCTAGTTTTTTTCAGGAATGTCATCCTGTTCTCTATAATGCCTCTGGCCATGTTGTAAAATGCTGGGAGGTTTCTGAGGAGAGACCCATGGGGGTGGCTCCTGACCCTCCAGTCTTTTGGGGCTGGACTGATTGGCATGGGATGTCACTGCCATGCACCTGTGCTTCGTCTCCACCCCTCCCCTGCCCCCACCCCAGGAGGCAGGCATTCTCCCTTATTTATGTGCAAGAAAATGCTCATGACCAGGAGAGGCAGCGTTGTATCAGGCCTGTCTGATTCTTAGTAGTTGCGATGATGACTGTAATGTGCACCTGATATTTATTTCTGGCCAAGGGACTCAGAACTTTGTATTGACTCGTTTAGACTGTAACTCTATACAGTGGATACTATTCTTGTCCCTGTTTGAAACATGACAACTCAAAAGCACAGAAAGGCTTAGGCATTTGCCCAAGGTCACACAGCTGGAGCTGGTAGAGTGTGGATTTGAGTAGGGCCAATTTGCCTGCTGATCACAGTCTGTTGGGGGTGATTAGTATGGATCTGTTTTGGCTGCAAGAGACAGAAATCCTCCTCCTGATAACAGTAGTTTAAACAGAAGTTTATTTGTGTCTCAGTTGAATGAAGCCTGGGGGTGAGCAGCCCAGGGAATCCTCACCACTTGGGAAGAAGGGGCTGGTGAGTACGGAGACAGCTGGGTCTCCCCTGCATTCTGGAGGCTTTCTTGGGTGCTGTCATTCCTGTCATCTGGGGAGGCGCTGGGCATCAGAGCCGAACACAGTGTGTGAGCTTCCCAGAGACCTCAGGTTATAAGGGAGATAGGGGTTTGGGCTCATGGCACCATGTCCTGCCCTGCTGTGACCAACAGGAAGCTGGTCTGCAGGTGCCAGTTCTACCGGTCCAGAACTTCCAACCCCCATCCTTCCAGAGGCCAGAGAGGCAGACAGGTCCCACAGAGGTGTGGGTGTCCCTGTCCAGGTGCAGGGCAGCACTAGGGGTGGAGGGTGGCCTCGGGCCATCTCCGCTGGCTCAGTTTTCCTTTCAGTGTGTGTGTGGGCACATAGGAATCATAGGATTGCCTTTTATAATTATAGACTATTTTAGACTGCAACCAGGTGTCAGCAGAGCATAGCCAACATACATGTCCTTCCTACAAAGTTTTGAAAACATCGTTCAACCGAACTCATTTTGTCCTTGAAGCAGAAAGAAGCTAAGGAATGTGGGTCAGCTAGTTAAGTGTGGGCCTCTGTCTCAGGAGCCACCAGCCCTGTGTGTCTGTGGTTTGCTGAACTCCCAGCTGTGAGCTCAGCCCTTGCTGTCTGTGTCCCTGGGCCCGAGGTGTGGGGCCAGCCGTGGGCTCAGGCCACATGGTGGTCATACAGCATTCAGCAGGCCTCTCCACAGGGCAGTGTTAAGGTGGGTCCTGCCCTGGGCCACACTGCAGGTGGCAGGGCAGGCCTGAGCCCTGGCATCAGCACTGAGCCTTCTGCTGGCAGGGCTTTCTGGATGCTCTGACATGAAAGGAGCACCCTGGGTCCTGGGCGAGAGGGAGGCATTGAGTGTTGGCTGGCCAGGCGATGTGAGCGGGACCAAAGGGGCTCCATGCTGGAGGTCTGGCTGGGCACCCCCAAGCCCTGCCTGCCCCATCGGCGACTTGGGCATCACTGTTCTCACTGAGGGGCCAGCCATGGGGGCTGGGTGAGGGGGCTGAGATGGCTTGGGGAGGGACTGAAGGGAGAGGCCGTGGTGTGCGGATATTTGGCCTGGACCCTCCAGGGGAAGTGAGAGGTGCCAGGTCTCCCCTCTGATACCTTAAGCACTGGAAAAGGGAAGGGGACCCCAGTGAACCTGGGTGCTGGATTCTCACTTCTGCTCTGCCCGGCTGTCCACAGGTGGGGTGCTATGGAATATGACGAGAAGCTCGCCCGGTTCCGGCAGGTCCATCTCAACCCCTTCAACAAGCAGCAGCATGAGCAGGGGGCTGGCGAGGAGGCCCTGGACATTACTTCTCAAGGTGGATGCAGGGGGTGGGGTTGTATAGGTGGTCTGCCCTGCTCATGCCAGCCCCCATCTTTTTAGATGGTTCCTCCCTGGGGGCATGCAGGCGGCTTCTTCACAGTTTAGACTGCTTCCCCTGGTCCATCCTCAGGAGAATGAACACGCCCCTGGGCGGGGATGTGTCACTATCTTGTCTGCGTGTCCCAGGGGCCACACACAGCAGGCGCTCCCTCGGGGAACACTTAGGCCTGGAACTCAGAGCCAAGACCTGCAGGGTGAGAGGTCAGCAGGATGTGAGCCCTGAGACTGCAGACCGAGCCCAGGGGGTGCCCGAGTCCACACAGGGGCTCCCATGTTCTGGTGTGTAGCCCTCCAGACGTCCTTCTCCAGTCCACAGATGCACACACAAGCTGTGAGCCTTAGAAACTGGTGTTTCTGTAACCCTGGTTTTGCACGGCTCCTGTCGGCACAAGGACACAGGGTCCTCTGCAGGTGCACACAGGGCTCACGCCAGAGCAGAGCCCTGCTTCCCTGGGCACCTCTGTGGGCTCCCTGTTCCCCGAGGGCCCTGTAGCCCCCTCCTGGGGTGGCGGGCCGACTCCTCTCTCTGCCACCCTCCCCACCTGCCCCGCTGCAGCGCGCCTGCCCGAGCTGCCTCCCGGGGAGCCAGAGTTCCGCTGCCCAGAGCGTGTGATGGATCTTGGCCTGTCTGAGGACCACTTCGCTCGCCCCGTGGTAAGGTTCAGGGTCTGTGGGTGGACGAGGTGACCCTCCCCCTCAGAGTGTGAGGAGCTGGCCACATCCATCTCAGCCGGGCCTCCTAGGCCTGGAGTCTGAGGCCTGCATAACACCCAGATCCCACCCTATACCTCTGTGCTGGCCTGTGGGAATGGGTTGGATGTGATGTTTGGGAGCCTGGGCTCTGTCCTCCTGGGCAGCCATTCTCTCCCCTCCACACAGGAGCCTACAAAGCAGATGTGGGGGTTGATTCCATTTGGGGACCTAGGGAATCCTGTCATCTATTGCGGGGTGAAGGCAAGGGTGGCCCCTGCCCACCACTACCGGCTCAGCTAGGCAGGGCCACTCCTGTCTGAGCTAGGTTTTGTTCCATGAAAACCTTGTGGGGTGTGTTTTGTTTTGTTTTTTTAATTAAAGGGCTCTAATGATTCCTTTAAAGTTTCAAAATCTTTGCAAACTATCTCCAGCTGTTTGAGAGAGATGTTATGGTAACATTCAAATAGGACTTTAAGATTCGCCTGAGTCCCCAGTTCTCTTTTGCTGGTCATGTGGCCTTTAACTTTACATTCTGTTGGTACATACACTCCTCTCAGTTATGTGTTTAACCCTTATTTTGCACTCCTGCAGGCAGTGGCACCCCTTTTTTGGGGTCTCAGCCCCCAGCTCTGAGACCTGGCCTGTCTCCTTGCCCAAGTTTAGGGCTTTGCTGGACCCGAGCCCAGGTCAGCCCGTGAGGTGCTGGGCCTGAGGGCAGGTGGCAGCCAGGGGTGTCTCTGAGCTTGGCGATTGAACCAGAGGCAACTTCCTCTCCTTCTTGACAGACAAGTGTCATTTCCCCTGCTTTCATCCAAGAGGAAGTTCTGTAGAAGCAAGTGAGATAGCATAGCCAGAAAAGCAATTGGATTTCTAAAAGAGGGAAGTTCTGTTTTGAAGAACACCGTGAGTTAGGTCTCCAGAGGCCCATGGGTGGACAGGTCCAGAGAGTGGGCAGGTGTGTCGGCTGGGGCCTGCCTCTGCTGCTGATGGTCCCGGGCCTTGAGCAAGTCAGAGATCGAGATGGGTGGGGAGATCTGTTCTGGGCCCAACGACACACAATCTGACTATCATTGTCTCTAAACTGCTCCCCACCATGTGAGCAGGGCCTGTTCCTGGCCTCTGATGTCCAGCAGCTGCGACAGGCCATCCAGGAGTGCAAGCAGGTCATCCTGGAGCTGCCAGAACACTCGGAGAAGCAGAAGGACGCCGTGGTGAGGCTCATTCACCTCCGGCTGAAGCTGCAGGAGCTGAAGGTGGGTGCTGGCCCACCCCCAACAGCAGCCAGAGCTGAACTGGAGGCTGGGGGAGTGATGGGTCCTCAGCCCAGCTCTGATCCTGCCTGTAGTCCTGGGTCATGTGTCCACCCACTGAAGCAGGTGGGTGAGTTAGTCCCACCTTGAGCCACGTGACCCAGAGCGTGGGCTGGTTCCCTGAAGATGACAACAGAAGGGGTTGTGGATCCTGGAAGCCAATAACCACTGGGGTCTGTCATATAGTCCTTGAGTCTGGTTTATGAGTCCATGGGATTTGGACAGTGGTAGGTTCATTAGAATACAGGTAAGGCAATGGTATGGGCTCAGACACCCTGAAAGACAGTGGCTTAAAAGAGGCGGTTGTGTAGATTCACTCATGTGGAAGTGTTACGGGTTCCCTGGGCCCATCTGGCAGCTACTGGCACTGGAGGCCGCAGGTCCCCCTTTTCTGTTGCTTTGCTCTTCCCTGGCAAGTCCAGGACCACCTCCACCAGTCTGGGTCTGCTCTCAGCCAGCAGAAACAAAGCAGGGAGCACAGCGAGCACCCCTCAGTACTGCTCACATGCCCTGGGCCCTAGTGTGGCCCTGGAGCAGCATCTAGGTACAGAGGTGGTCTTTAATCTCAGTGGACCAGGCCTGACCGGGCACCCTGTTCTATTGTAAAGGGAGGGGTCTGTGGTAACCTCTGCTATGTGTGGTGCCTGGGAGATGCAGTCAAAGGGGCTCATGTGCCCAGAAGGGGCTGTGACCCCTCCCAGGTCTCCTCCCTAGGACCCCAATGAGGATGAGCCCAACATTCGAGTCCTTCTTGAGCACCGCTTCTACAAGGAGAAGAGCAAGAGTGTGAAGCAGACGTGTGACAAGTGTAACACAGTCATCTGGGGCCTCATTCAGACCTGGTACACCTGCACAGGTGGGCGGAGACCAGACTGCCCTTCTGGGCTGGCAGTCTAGGTCTCCGGGGAGAGGGGTTCTCTATCGTGTCTTCAGTATTTGCAGAACCCTGCAGTGTGTGGTGGGTGTAGCAAGAGATGAGAGACCCAGGTGTCTGCCTTCCCTGGGCTCAAGTCCACTGGCCACATGTGACTCTTCAAATTTAAATTATTGAACATAGATAACTAGCTCCTCAGCTGTACTGTGCACGTTCCAAGTACACAGTAGCCATGCAAGGTTGGTGGTCACCCCGCTGGACATTGTAGAGACACATCACTGTATTGGAGGTGCTGCTCTGGATGAGAAATCAAATGAGTCAGTGATATGGTGTGTTAGAAATAGTGAAGAAGGCCAGGGGAGGAACAAGCATGTCAGGGAGTGGGTTGCTGCTATTTTAGGGTGAAATGAAAAGGCTTCATGTGACATTTAATAAAAAAAACTTGGAGGTTAGGGGCAAACCAGGAGCATATCTGGGAAGGAACATTTCTGTAGGGGAGCTGTCTGAGCAAAGGCCTGTGGTCAGTGTGTGTCCAGTGTATCTGACGAGGAGCAGAGAGCAGCGTGGCGTAGAGGTGCTTCAGAGGTGGCAGGGGGCTTTTCTCTGAGTGCACTGGGGCCATGTGGGTGGATATACTTAGGTTTTAACTCCAGCTGCTGAACTGAGTGTGGCGTGGGGGAGGGAAAATGATGGCCTTCTGGCCAGGGTGAGACTCTGACAATCGGATGAGAAGGGCCAGTGCAGCTGTAGCTGAAGGACTGGACATGGGTGTAGGAGAGGAGCTGGGATGACTTCCCAGTTTGTAGTCTCAGGAGGTTGAAAGACAGAGTCCCTGAAATCTGAGATGGGAAGCTGGGGTGGATTTGGGTAGGAAGAGCCGGGTTTCACTTAAATTGCTTGGCCTTGATCCCCTTGGGTATCCCAGGGGGCATGGCTGGTAGGCCCCTGAACTTTTGAGTCTTAAATTGGGGGAAAGGTGTGCATGTACCTTCAGGGCAAGGCTTGGGGTGGGGACATTTGGGGACCTGCAGTGACGCCCGCAGAGGCTCTTGGGTTGATCTGGGAAGTGGAGTGGAGCCCCCTGGGTGTCCCAGAAGCTGAAGGTCAGCCTGGGCTGCAGAGTGGCCCCCCTCCTAAGAGGCATGCTGTTGGGCCCCCATCCCAGGGTGTTATTACCGCTGTCACAGCAAGTGTTTGAACCTCATCTCCAAGCCCTGTGTGCGGTCCAAAGTCAGCCACCAGGCTGAGTATGAGCTAAACATCTGCCCTGAGGCAGGGCTGGACAGCCAGGATTACCGCTGTGCTGAGTGCCGAGCACCCATCTCTCTGCGTGAGTGCACCCCGGGTTGGGGATGGGAGTGGGGCAGGGCGCAGGGCTGAGGGGAGCTGTTCTGGGCAGGGTGCCCTGCCATCAGCTGCGTGAATAAATGGGAGGAATGTGCAGTTGAGCTCCTCTCCTTAGGAAGCCAAAAAGGACTGCTTTTGGTGCCTTTTCATGCCCTGCCCAAGCTGACTGAGGTTCCCCTAGGAGTCCCTGCAGGGCTGGGCTACAGACAATCTCCCTCCTGTGACCGCATCGTCACAGAAAACCCACCCCATGGGAAGACCACGCTACACTCACGCTGTATGTCAGGCCTTCTTCCTAGAAACATACTGAGGTTGACTCGAGGGATTCCCTATCTACTGTCCCATTTTACTGATGAGAAACGGAAAGTGGGGCAACGTAGAAGAGGACGAGTCAGGGGCGGGCCGGGCGGTGGGGAACCCTTGGTGCAGCTCGGGGAGGGGACCTCTCGGGTCTCCCTGACTTTGGAACATCTTCTCCGCAGGGGGCGTGCCCAGCGAGGCCCGGCAGTGCGACTACACTGGCCAGTACTACTGCAGCCACTGCCACTGGAACGATCTGGCTGTCATCCCAGCGCGTGTGGTGCACAACTGGGACTTCGAGCCGCGCAAGGTGCGGAAAGAGAGATCGGGAGCCGGGGGCAGCCCTGGGTATTGGGCGGGGCGTGGTGTGGCCGGGGGTGTGGCCGAGCGCTGGGGGCACTGGAGGGTGGCTGCGGGGGCGGGTCAGGGCACAGGCTGCGTGGGGCGGGGCCTCAGGGTGGGGCAGAGTGGGGCGGGGCCGATACCGGGCGGTGCTGCTGGGGAGCGCAGAGGCGCCATCTTTCCACCCCTCCCGCCCAGGTGTCCCGGGGCAGCATGCGCTACCTGGCGCTGATGATGTCGAGGCCAGTGCTCCGGCTCCGGGAGATCAATCCTCTGCTGTTCAACTACGTGGAGGAGCTGGTAGAGATCCGCGTAAGACAGGGGAGGGACAGGTGTGGGGCAACTCTGCTCCCCCTTCGCAGCTGTCTGAGAGGAGAGATGCCACCTGTGTCGCTGGGTGCCCCCCTCCCGTACTGTCCTTTAAGTTAAAGTCGCTAGAGCAACTGTCCAGTCACAATATGAAATAGGACGCGAGGCTCAGAGGCAGTTTGTAATTTTCTAGTAGCCACAGTAGAAAAATGAGGTGAAATTCATCTCAGTGGTGTATTTTATTTCGTGCACATTATTGAGATACATCGCGTGGCGTTTCTGTCTTGCATTAGTCTGCGTCCCAGTGTGTATTGTCAAGTGCAGCCTCACATTGGCCCAGCCACATCTGGTTGGTGTTCTGAGGAGCTGTGTGTGACTGGGGGTCCTCTCTTTGGCACTCAGCAGAGGGCGGGGTGGGGTGTGCCTCGGGCCTGTGTGGAGAGGAATGGGACTTGTTGAGGAGGAGCTGAGGCACAGGGCCGCTGGGCTGAGGAGGGGATCTGGGTTCAAATGGGCAGTCTGGATGTGAGCTCAGGTGCTCCTGGGGTGTGTGTGCATGTGGAGTGGGGCGGGGAGCAACTATGCATGAAGGAAGCTTAGGGTCCTGCCTGGTAGGGAAGCTGTGGCTTGACCTTGAGCTGAGCTGGAGGGCTCAGATCTGGGACTGTCCTGAGGGGACGGGAATGCACTTATGGTCCTCTACTGACCCAGAGTGTAAAGTGACAAAGCTTCCCACAAAGCCAGCCCCGCCCCACCCCCTGGCCATGCAGACATGCCCAGCACAGCCCCTGCTCTGGCCAGAGATGCCCACTTGCCCGTCTTGTCCACAGAAGCTGCGCCAGGATATCTTGCTCATGAAGCCATATTTCATCACCTGCAGGGAGGCCATGGCAGCGCGCCTGCTCCTGCAGGTCAGCCCACCCACCCCCGGAGTAGAGGAGGGGTGGGATGGGAAGGGGTCCTCCAGGAGGGCAGGAAACAGACCAGGATCGTGAGGGGAAGGCTTGATACCGTGCCTGTGCTGTCCTGTTAGCAGAGGGTCTCCACACTGTCCCAGGGAGCACCAGGGCTACCCACAAAAGCGTTCTACCCACAAAAGCATTCTACCCACAAAAGTGTTCTACCCACAAAAGCGTTCTACCCACAAAAGCGTTTTCTGCTTCCGTCAGTATGAGAAGCACTGAGAGAGTGGGTTGCCCTGCAGCCTTCATGGGAGCCTCCACGGAATGGACCCAGGGAGGGCTGACCACAGAACACTCTGAGGCTCACCCACTTACTTGTTTGCAAGCACTCACTGGGTGCCTGCTGTGTGCCGAGGGTGTTCTGGGTCCTGGGGAGCAGAGAGCAGGGCGGGCGGGACCTGGCCCTCACCTAGGAGTGCACTCTCCGGGTTGGCCCAACGGGAAGAGTAGGAAGCAGTGCATTGGGTGGTGAGATGTGTGGACAAGATAAAGCCGGGAAGAGGGCTCTGGGCAGGCGTGGGCCCCAGCCTGGTGGCTCCGGGCTCACATGGCTGCGCCTGCAGCTCCAGGACCGGCAGCACTTTGTGGAGAATGATGAGATGTACTCGGTGCAGGACCTGCTGGACACGCACACGGGCCGGCTGGGCTGCTCGCTGGCTGAGACCCACACGCTGTTTGCCAAGCACATCAAACTGGACTGTGAGGTGGGCCCCCACAAGCCAGGTGGGGAGGCGGGAGGGCGGCTTGGGAGGGTGTGCCCCCAACCTGGGAGTGGGCACTGACCTCCCCGCCTTGCCTGCAGCGGTGTCAGGCCAAGGGCTTTGTGTGCGAGCTCTGCCGGGAGGGCGACGTGCTGTTCCCCTTCGACAGCCACACGTCTGTGTGCGCCGACTGCTCTGCTGTCTTCCACAGGTGTGAGCGACTGCCTCCGTAGACGGTAGACGACAGGTGTGGGAGAGACAGGTGCTGGGAGTGTCAGGTGGGGAGAGGCTGGGGCTTGACCTTTGCCACCTGGTTTCAAATCCTTGTGCCTGGATCCTGAGGTGTGAATTTAGACCCTGATGTGCAAGACTCAGCTGTAGTTCCACTGGGGAGAAGCCCCCAGGGCCTGGGGAAGGTGCGCAGCCCAGGCCCCCATGTCCAGCTCCTTCCTTTCTTCCTGGGACTTTGGTTTACTGAGGCTGAAGCTTCCTAAGTTCTCTAGTTTTTATGATTTTTTTTTCAAACATCCCTAGGCCACAAGAAATACCCAACAGTTTTATTTATTAAGTACTTAGGTTCAACAGTGGAAGCATTTATGTCCTAAAGACTTGTGGGTGTTTGGAAGAATGATACACAGAAGTGGGAAGAACATATTTGAACTCTTTAAGTACACTTACCAGTAGGCTTATGCCTATGGAGCCCACACGGCTTGTCACACTGGGCTCAGATGGGACCCCACCACCCCGTTTCTGTCCACATTGGATTTTCCTGGCACTTGCTGTTTCTCAGAGTGACCCGCAACCTCATAGGTCAGCAGAGCTGGACTGCAGTCTCAGTAAGGACTGTAGCAGAGAGTGTTGTTGAAACTCTGAGCTCCTTTGAGCTGGCAGTTTGTGTGGTATCCTGTCAAATGTTGCTGTGCCCCCTTCAAAAATTTAAGCTGCTATGGGGACCGTGTGCACCTCCACAGAGCCCTTGGCCGGGGGGCGGGGGGTGCTTTACACGGTAGTGGGAACAGGTCAGGGAGGGGAGTCACTAAGAGGGTCAGAGGGTACCAGGTGATAGGTGTGGCCCCTTGGGGTGTCTGTATGGAGGAATGGGATACAGGCCTGGCCAGCATACCTGGGTGAGACTGCTGCAGGCTCCTGTCTGTTCAAGGAGTATTGTGAAGACTCAGGGTCACAATTCTACTTGTGGAGCCCCCTCTTCACGGCCATTCCTATCTCCCCCAGGGACTGCTACTACGACAATTCCACCACGTGCCCTAGGTGTGCGCGCCTCACCCTGCGGAAGCAGTCGCTCTTCCGGGAGCCTGGTCCAGACCTGGACGCCTGAGCAATGGAAGCTCTTCTAGGCCTGTCTGTCCTGCTGGTCGTTGCCACAGTGAAGGTGTTTCCTGTACTCTGGAGACCTAGGGTCTGGCCCCTGGAGCCCGCCACTGCTGAGCCAGCACCACCAGGACCATCGTCCCCCGGCGTGTGTTGGGGCTTGGGGCGGCTGTTTTTTGGGTGGGCTGCTGTGAGGGCCAGGACGTGCACCCTTCCTTCACTGCAGAGCTTTGAGGGTCAGGTGGGGGGAGCATTCCTCACCTCCCCTTTGGCCAAGAGCCCCCCCACCCTACCCCGCCCACCTTGGGACCAAGGCTGCTGGGCCCTGGCTACCCTGGAAATCCTGGACGCCTTCCAGGGAGTGCTGACAAGACTGAGGATGCAGTCTTAGCCTGACTTTTACCTGTGGTGGACGGTATGGGTCCTACTTGGAGGCCCCTCCCCCAGCTCCTTGCCTCGTTGAGGTCCCCTGGTTGCCCCTGGCTGGGGCTGTGTTCATCACTATCTCCTGAGGGCCCTGCCCCCACCCCCGGGTTCTCTCTCTGGGGCCTCCACCGGCAGGACCATTCCAGGGGCTACTGGCTGCCGTGGAGATCTCACCTCCTAACCGCCCCTGCCTTGGCCCAGCCCAATTCACTCTGGTGTTTCATCCAGCGAGGATGTGTGCTTCCAGTTATCTGGCAGGGCCGTGCCCCTGGCAGGTCAAGGTTAGGTGGGAGGGCTAGGGGACAGAAGACCTGGACCGAGTGTGCCTACGGAGGGCTCTGGATCACTTGGAGACCCCCCAACTGGGGCCTTCTGTTTGGGGAACTGAGATCAGGCACTAGAAATACTTGCTTGGGGGAGCACCAGGCAGGACTCATGGGGTATGGGAGGTCCTGCCATCAGTGGGCAGAGGGAGCTGGGCATGGAGGACTGACCCAGTGGGGAAGATGCATTTGTGGGGACCATCCAAGGGAAGGCTTCCCTGGCCTTGCTGGCCTTCTCCTTGCCCTGGACTGTGCTTGGCTGTTGACATCTGGGGCTGACACACACATGTGGCGGCTGGTGGGCAGGAGGCAGTCATCTGGACATCCATCACCTTTGACTGGGAAGCACAAGGAGAGGCTTGGCCAACAGGGAGGCCAGCTGAGCCAATGTGGGGGGTGGGTAAGGACAGTGCTAACCCCTCCTTGCCCCTCTGCACCCCAGGGAAGCCCTGCCCAGGGGCTTTAGGCCACCCTCTGACTGTGCTGGGCTGTTCAGCATGTCACTGTGGGGGATTGGTTTACATGGGGCCACCCTGCTTCCCATTCTTGGGTCTAGGGGGTTAAAGGCTAAGTGCCCTCTTCCTATGCCTCCAATCTGTACATCTCACCGCGGCATCGCATTTCTGTCGCAGGGATCCTGGCTTCTCCCAAATGGACTGTGTAATCAGCACTGTGTTATTCCAGTTGCAGTTACGGTGTCCATAAGAAATGTCAGTAGCCATTTGTTGGGCAAGGTTGGCTCTTTTTTTTAAACTTCCTCCCACATCACGTCTTCTTCTCATCCCCCTTCTGGGTGACAGATTCTTGAAACAGAATCATGTGTAGGTCTTTCTGAGACCAACAGTAGCCAGAACCCACTGAGGAACCAGTTAGCATGGGCAGGCCTCCCAGGAGAGCCGTGTGGGCTGAGCGCTGGGGACAGGGTGGGGTTTGCTGCAGGGTTACTCAGAGCCCATAGGCCCCCTCCCATATGGTCAAGTGTAAATTGGGCACCTGATCTTGGCATCAGTGTGCTGACACCTCTGTAGGCTGTGCTAAAGCACACCCTCTGGGGTTGTTTGGGTTCCAGGAAGTGCTGGGCCCAGCCTGGCTCTGTAACAGAACTTATGTCTTCTCTCCTGAGTCCTCCCAGAGGGAAGACTGTCATGTTAACTCAATGTAAGCAGTGCTGGTCCCAGGTCTAGCTCCCAGAAGCCCTAGCTCCCAGAAGCCCCTCTGGTCTTCAAGTTTGACTCACTGAAAGGGCCCTTGGAGCTCAGGAGAACCCAAAAGCTCCTCCCAAATGACATTCAAACCTGTGTGTATGTACATTTCTCTCTGGTTTTGAGGATGATCTCAAAGAAACATCAGGGGTGTGCTGCACAAGACCAGTGGTGGGGGAAGGGTGTGTGTGGGCTGTCTGTGGGCCCATGCTGGTGCCTCCACTTCAAACAGCTAAAGCCACACTTTGGTATCAGAGGGAGCATGCAATCTCCACCCACCCACTTCAGGTATGAGGATGAGTTTTTCTTAAACTTTCAATTTTAACAGCTGTAGGTTTACAGAAGTGCTACAAACACATTCCCAGGTACCCATCTCCTGGATTCCGTGAATGTTAACATTTTCCCCATTTGCATTACTCTTTCTCCACACACTTTCTTTTGAACCATCTGGTGGAAGTTGCAGATGATGCCCCTTTGCCTCTAAGTGCTCCTGTGTTACCCCAGCAAGGACATGCCTCCCACAATTACGGTGCGGTCACTGACATCAGGATGCTCACATGGATGCTGACCATAAAGCCTACAGCAAGCTGTGTTCAGATTCAGCCACTTAGTTGCCATGTCATTTTAGCCTTTAATCTGGAAGCGTTCAGGACTCTGACACAAAATCACAGATAAATTATTCTGAAGACTTTCCTTCAGTGAGGGTTTTTCCAACTGGACTTGGGCTTTGCCCTTTTGGTGGGAATTTCACAGAAGTGACACTGGGTCCAGTTTGTCATCTGTCCTACTCAAAATGCTCTGGTCCACTGGTCTGTCAGCTGACTGATATCTTCCTGGCACTCTTTAGGTACTTTCTTACTTTCTAGCACAGGAAAGTGTTCCAGGCTTAGTTAGTAATTGCCCCAGTCCCAGCCCTGACACCAGTCATTTCTCTGAGGAGCCCTGGAACCTTCTGGTGGAGGGCGGACGTGATAGTTGGGTGTGCTCACTTCTGGGCTGATCACTGCCCATAGGTCCTTTCAATAGTGTGGAAATAGTACTCCTTATCTATTTCTTTTCTGGTCTATAAGCATTAAAAACCATGAGTTCACAGTGAAACTTCCAATTTCAAAACAACACGAGTCATTCTTTCCCTTTTTCATGTTTATTACTTCCTTGCTCGACAGTGAGTGAAAAAGCTGGCTCCCTTATCCAGAGTACATGTATTTGCTCAGTCCGACAGTGCATAGAAAGCACCTTTGGGACTGCTCACTTATGCTGGTGAGAAACAAGGCTACTCATGAGCCTTTAATATTTGTCTATAGCCTGAGTGCATACAGTCAAAAAGTACTTGCTTTTGCTTCTTCATCGTGGGTGTGCAGTTCCTGTGAAATATGGTTCTGTTCAGGTAGTCCACTGCTTTATTTTCCCATCCTTGTTTACTTTTGTTTGTGCAGTATATTAACATGGTCCCCAAAGTCAGAACTTCACAAAAGGTACAAAAGTTACATCTCATCCCACCCCTGGAACCAATCTCTTTAGTTTGATTTCTCCCACCTTTGTTTCTTACTGTACAAATGAGTACGATGTATGCATATTTTCCCACTTCCCCGTCTTCCTTCCACAAAAGGTAGCATACTTTACTCCTGATGTTGCTTTTTTTCTATTAACAATATATCTTGGAAACCACTCCACATCAGCTGAGTTCTTCCTTGTTCTCTTATTATTGTAGTTATCATCACTTACAACTGTCTAACTCTCCATTGTGTGCAAGCGCCATTTCATATTTGACTTTTTACATGAGACTCTTCAGGCTGTTTCCTAGGTTTTGCAGTTGCAAACAAGGCTGCAACAAAATTCATGCATCTGTATTTTCTTTTGTTGGAAGTGTATCCTCCTAAAAGTGGGATTGTTAAATCAAAATAAATATATTTTGTATTAGTGCTTGATGCTCCTCTGTAAGGGATGTACAAGTTTGTGTTCCCACCAGGAGTGAACAAGGGTGCCTGTGACCCCACAGCCTAACCAGTGGTGTGTAGCCATACTTTTGATTATTGCTGATCTGAATAATGAGAAATGGTATGAGTGTTGTTTCATCTGCACTTCTCTTATGTTTGAAGAGCTAATTTACTTGCTTATGAATTATATCTTCTGTTTACTTTTCTATGGGGTTTTTGTATTTTCCTCTCAATCTTTAAGAGTTCTTCACATATCAGAGATATTAACCCATTATCTGTGAGAAATTTTCTTCCAGTGTGTTGTTTGCCTTTGACTCTGTTTGTAGTGTTTTATCCTCATGGAAAAGTTTTTATTACATTTTCATATCATCAAATTGATTAATCTTAAATTTCATCTGGACTCTGAGTTACAGAAGATCTTCCTGATCACCCATGGGGAAGAGGCATATATCCATGGGTTGTGTAGCACCTGTATTGTTTCAGCTTTTACATTCAAATCCCTCGTCTGTTTGTTTATTCCTGTGTATGCTGTGAGGTGTGAACTAACTAGCTTTTGCCAAATTTTATCTAGCTGTCCTGCACTATTGAAAAAAAAAAACCTATCTGTATCTACTTCTGGACTCTCTATTGTATTCTACATGTTTGAGTACCTCTTTGATTCAATCACAGGTTTTATAGTGTGTTTCAATGTCTAGCAGGGCTGGTCTCCTCATTGTGTGTTTTAAATAACTCTTCCTGGATTTTCTTTCAGTCTTCTTAAAGCACATATTTAAGCACAATTTCAGTAACAAGATGTGATGCTCTTTAGTGTCAAAATGAACGTACCAGAAGCAGGGTTTTCAAGGATGTTAAACATCTGGAAGCCGAGACTTGGTCAAGTGTCACCCAGGAGGTTGCCCTGTTGTGTCTGGTCTTCCTGCTGTGGAGGGTGTTGTGTACCGAGGTTGCCTAGGAGAGCTGTTTGGAGCGCTGCTCCTTCTCACTGTACAGCTCCCTGTAGCAGCTTATTGCATCATTGATTGCTCTTGAAACTTGCAGTTTCCATGCGGCATCAGGGCTGTTACTGGTAAGGACCTGCAAGCCGGCCTCAAAATGTGAGAAGGCTGCTGACAGCTCCCGTGTGGTTAGTTGGCGCAGGGCAGGGGCAGCCTCTTCACCCTCCTCCTCCTCTCCTGCGGGCTCCTGCTCTAGCTGCATCAGCTCCTCATTTGAGAGACCCTCTTCGTGGGACTGCAGCAGCTGGTCCACATCAGCTTCTCCCACCTCTCCAACAGCCACACTCTTGGCAAGGATCACAATATTTTGTTGAAGCTGTGCAATGCCATCTGTTTGGGAAGCACTCTGGAACTGAACACACTCAGGCCAAATCTTCTTCCACACACTGTTCATTGTTGCTGGTGTGAGCTCCCCCCAGGCTACTGCGATGTTGTCCACAGCGTCCACAATGCTGTAGTTTCTCCAGAACTCCCTGATCTCTGCTGTATCCTCCCCGTCTGTTGCTTCTAGGATGTGCTCAAAAGTCCTTCTTAGGTAATGAGCTCTGAAGGCAGAGGCTACACCTTGACCCATGGGCTGGATCGAGTCAGCTGTGCTGTCATGAAGATATTCCACTCTTACATTATCAGACAGATCGCTCAGATTGACTGGGTGGCATGGTGCCTTGTCTAAGATGAGCAGGGCTTTGTTGGTCAGGTTGTTTTGGGCACAGTATTTCTCAATGGCAGGGCAAAAAAAGTATGTGAACCATTCATGAAAGATGCTCCTGGTTGCCCAGGCCTTTCTGCTTGAGCGCCAAATCACGGGCAGATTGGGCTTGGAGTACCCCTTCAGAGCCTTGGGGTTTTCTGAGTGGTACACCAATAGGGGTTTCAACTTGAAGTCCCCAGCTGCGTTGCCACCAAGAAGCAGCATCAAGCGATCTTTGGATGATTTAAATCCTGGCTCAGCTCTCTCTTCTACAGAAAGAAACGTTCTTTCAGGCATTCTTTTCCAATAAAGACCTGTCTCATCCACATTAAACACTTGCTGGGGGGTGTACTCACCTTCCTGAATGATGCTTTTCAGTATTTCTGGATATTCCTCCTGCTTGGCAGGAGCTGAGATGTTCATCTTGAAGTGGGGCAAACAGTGGCGTTCCTTGAATCTCACAAACCACCCTTTACTTGCAGTAAACTTCTCTGTTTGAGAGCTTTCACCTTGCTCACGCTGTAAGTCATCAAACAAACTCTTGGCCTTCTTCTGAATAATGGTGACACTCACGGGCACGTTTCGCTGGCTCTGGTCTTCGAGCCACACGCGCAACAACCGCTCCATGGTCTCCATGACTGCACTTCGGTAACGAGTCAGCCGCGAGGCTCTCAAAGGAGTGGCTATTTGTGAACTCGCTTTGATTTTGTCTTTATTATCTCTGATGGTCGCCACAGTAGAGACAGCAAGGCCTAAGGCCTTTGCGATCTGGCTGAGCTTCTCACCCACTTCAAACCGTCTTAACACTTCTAACTTCACGTCGAGGGTGATTGCTTTCCGTTCCCTTTTGGCACTCCGGGTGACTGCGGCGTTTAGGGACCTTTTCCCAGGCATCTTTGCCGCCGGTATGTACTAACCACAGCAGTATCCGGGCGAGAAAGCCTGTGGTTACTCCACGCCCCCTCGCAGAATTTGGGGAAGAGAAAGTGGGTCTTCCCGGAGGCGCAGGATGACGACACGGGGGATGTGACCGGGTCAGCACAGGTCGGCCCACGACACAGCCCAGGACAGGGCCGGTTCCTTCTGGGTTCCTGCGAGTCGATCAGAGCGGCCAAATCCCTGGACAGCAGGACTGGGTTTCCGTGATGCAGAAAACACAACTCCGTGAGGGGCGGTAATACCGCACAGGACACGCCGCCCGGGGGTCTTCGGTTCCTTAGTAACCGGTTCCCAACGCTGTACCTGGACCACAAAGAGTCGGCGGACAGGGCGGGGCGGTGTACGCCGCTCCCCAAGGAGGACTCCAGATTTAAAGTAAGTCTAAAGGCTGTCTCCTCAGCACCTCGCCCGCGTCTGCCACCGTAGTGAAGGTGGCGCAAACGTTCAGGTCCGAGTCAGGCCGGACAGCAGACACCTGACACGAGGTCCCCACGTAAGCGCCTTGGCCTCACCGCGCATGCGCGAGACTCCGAGGTACGCTGGAGGTGTGGTGCCCTAGGACCTACTCGCCGCCGCACTGCGCGTGCGCGCGCCGGAGCGGCGCGAGGTCTGAGGGGGAATGTCGCAGCGGCTGGTGGCGGCGGCCGGCAGCAGGGCGGTGGCGGGGCCGCTCGCCGTGCTGTGGCGGTGCGGCCTTGGCCCACGACGGGGCAGGACGTTCGGGGCAGGCGTGAGGGCGCTCGGAACCGCTCAGCAGGTGAGCGGGGAGGCGCAGCCGGCCGGTTCCAGGGGGCGGTGGTCGCTCTCGACGCCGCAGTGACGCCATCCACGTGCGCCGCCGGCGCGGGGAGCGGGTGAGGAAACCAGGTGCGCGAACCCGAACCCCAGAAGCGGAGGCGTGTCGGCGGCGGCCACAGTTCCGGCCAGCTGGCTGGCCCCGGGGCTCCAGCCCTTCCCAGCGGCTTAGGCGGCTGCCGCTGTCCCGAACAGGTCGCCGTCTGCTTTCCTTCCTGTGGCCTCTTTCGCCCTTTTCTTTGAAAGTTCCCTCAACCTCTCAGTGCCCCGCCCACTGCCCCTGCAGACTTGTTCCCCGCTCCCAAGAGCCGCATTGAGCGAATTGCGTTCAAGCCTTGTTCGGCTGTGAGCCTACATTGTCTTCTCCGACTCTCGCTCCGACTGCGAGGGGGTAGCCTCCTGGGCTCAGAGGTGATACCACTTCTGCTCAGTGTCACAGGGTTGTTCTCCGTCATGATACAGTTTTGTAAAGTGTTAGGTGTTTTTGATTCAGACAGCATTCGTCGAGCCCAGTTCTACACTGTAATCATAGCTAACGTTGTTTGAGGGGTTTCACGCTGAGGGCTTTACAGGGACTGTCTCATTTAAGTCTTATACCCGTCCGGCAGGTAGGAGCTGCACTAAACCCTGTTCTATAGGAGAGGAGACGCTAGAGCATAGCTAGTCGGATCTCCGCTTTTAGATACTTCTGTATTGTACGCCTTCCTCTGGGTTAGATTCTCTGAAGTAGACCATATTTTCAGGTTTATTTTTGTATTGAGCATCCCAGGGGGACAGTGATCACGTTGATTTCTTTTGTGGCGGACTGATGTGGAGCCTCTGGATTCTGGTCAGAGAAAGCTGTCTTGGTTTCAGACAGTATTGAAAGAGGAAGAAGGGGGCCCATGCGTTTGTTTTCTGTCCTGTTTCCAGGAGTGAACTTTTCCTTCTTAGCTCTTCATTTTGGGGACTGTGCACTGTCAGTTTGATTGTTTTTGGCAGTATCAGTGAAAGGAGAGCCCTTCATCTGTGGCCACGTGGCAACTCAGCATTGTAGGGGACTGTTCAAGTTGTTAGCTGGGTGGAATGCAGTGATTAAGGGGTGCAACACAGGTATGTCATGAGGCACTGACCTCCATGGAGCTCAGTGGTTTTAGTTAGGAAAGGAGGAAGTTGGATGATTTTTGAGTTCCTTCCCAGACAGAGCTGTTCCTCTGTGGAGTCTATTAGCCACGGCATCTCATCTGGAACAGATGTGCACTCTCCTTTGAGGGACTTGAAGGCTTAGACCGGGCGTGGGAAGGCTGGGGATGAAGTCGCAGTTTGCCTTCTGTTTAAAAGACATGCCGGAGCAGTCAGCACTCCTCAAGGGGAAGCTTATGTTTTGGATGCTTCTCGCAGTTACGTTTTCATTGACTGAGCTTCCTACATTGTACATTCCACTCCAGAAGGAGAACCAGACAACAACATGTAAGTAGCATGTTAGGAGGTATGAAGGAGAAGGAAACAGAACAGAGGGAGTATACAGTGAAGAGAAGGGTGGAGGAGGATGAGTGCCACCCTATGAGAGGTGGGGTAATTGACTCTTGAAGGATGTGAGGCTTGAGCAGGAACTGCCAGCAGATTTGCAAGCGCCTGCTGGGGCTGCATCTGTGTGCATCTGAGACACAGGCTGGAGTCACCTGACTCATGACCTGACAAAGAAAGGACAGTGGCACTTTGCCCGTTATGGGAAGACTGCTGTGCACAGCTTCACATGCTGGCTTTGTATATCCAGACACCAAGAATGGGTGGTAGACCCCTGTCTTTGAGAGCTGCATCTGACCTACTGTGGTCCCCTAAGCAAATCAAAACACTAAGTCATGAAATAAAGGAGTGGGATGGTCCTCAAGATTTGAAGGCCTGAAGATCATACTTTGTCTTTCTAGGGCTGGAGACCTCCTAACACTTCTAGGAGCCCCAGCTCCCTCTCTGGGGAGCTGCTGGGGAAACTTGGGGGCTGGGTGCCAGAGCACTCATCACATACCACTGGCTCCCAGTCACCTTACCTCAGGCCCTCGCCATCCTCTTCAGACTTCTGCGTTTTCCACCCCACACGGGAGGGCCTCAAAGAGCAGGGGGGCCCAGGACTATCTTCTTCTGTGGGCCTTTGTCTAGGCCTTCCCTCACGGTGACAGCCTTTGTGACATTACGTTCTGGTCCCCTTGTGCGTGGTGACTTGCTATGTGTGGGGAGGGGACACTCATGGAGCAAAGGCTCCAGGAGCCTCATCACCATTACTGCTGTGTCTCCTTCCTGAGCCCCTTGTTTACGGTTTTCCCAGATTTCAGTATCATTCTCATGGCTTACCTGAGTTTTTAGTGCTCTGTGGCCTCTGGTAAGGATGTGTGAACAATCCAAATCTTTGGTTGGGGTGTTTTTTTAAACCATTTGTTAACAGACCCTTTTAAAAAAGAATTTTGTTTATTTTTAATTGAAGGATAATTGCTTTATAATAATGTGTTGGATTCTGCCCTGCATCAACATTTAAAACAGTTTTTTAAAAAGTATTTATTTCTATTGGCTTTGCTGGGTCTTCATGGCTGCGCAGGGGGCTACTCTCTAGTTGTGGTGCAAGGGCATCTCATTGCAGTGGCTTCTCTTGTTTCAGAGCATGGGCTCTAGAGTCAGGTCTCAGTAGCTGTCCTCAGGCTTATTTGCCCTTTGGCATGTGGAATCTTTCTGGACCAGGGATCAAACCTGTGTCCCCTGCATTGGCAGGTGGACTCTTAAACAGGGGACCACCAGGCAAGTCCTGGTTGAGGTTTTTTTGACTACAGTTAATACTAAGTGACTGGGCTTAGAGCTGGTTTTTTTTACTGTGATGGCGTCTGTTGTGCTCGTTTTTCCTATAATGGCTTTTGACCTATGATAGTGAGAAACCAAAATTGTCTTTCATCCTGTCTTTAACTGATGTTAAGTATTGTTAGTAGCTTATGGTAATAAAAACTGTCATTTTCCTTTTTAAGAACTCAAGAAAATACAGGGTTTCTCAGGTGGTGCTGCCTGCCAGTACAGGAGACATAAGAGATGTGGGTTCAATCCCTGTGTCAGAAAGATCCCCTAGAGAAGGAAATATGAACCCATTCCTGTATTCTTGCTTGGAGAACCCCATGGACAGAGGAGCTTGGTGGGCTACAGTTCATAGGGTTGCAAAGAATCAGACACAACTGGAGCAAGTTAGCAAGCAGAAAATGTTTGCTTTCCTAACAAAACTGCTAACCTGTGGTTGATCAAAGATAAATCATAATATCCTTTGGTTTTTAAATTTCACATGATTTTAATGTTAGAATAATGTTTGTTTTTAAGAATTATTAATGTTTGTTTTAATAGCTTCAGTGACAAAAATTGCCTCAGGCAGGAAGTGATTACTTTGCAGTATTTTTTTTGATAGCCATAGCTATAAAAATTCTTCATGTATTTCTGCACTGAATGTAGTTTCTGTTTCTCCTGCTTGAATCATATTTGTTTTTAAGATTTTTTTTTTGATGTGTATTGGTTTTAAAGTCTTTTTTGAATTGGTTACAATATTGCTTCTGTAGTTTATAGTTGGGTTTTTTGGCCACAAATCTTAGCTCCCCAACCAGGGATTGAACTCACACTCCCTGCATTGGAATGCAAAGTCTGAACACCTAGACCATCAGGGAGTCACATTGAATCATATTTTTAATGAGATAAAGCAGGTAAGGCCTCAGGTTTATGCCTCCTCTTGAATCCTGGTCCTTTCCAGCCTGGAACTGCCGCTGTGAGAAGAGGCTGCATCAGAATTTGTCGACGCTAATTCTGTCTCCCGTTTCAGTGTCTCCAGGGAACCCGCTCTCAGCAGTCGGCTCTGCAGATAAGACTGGTGTCAGTTTCCCAGTGGCTGTGTTCAGAACCACCCAAAGGTACATGTCTTTCTCCTGCCATCGTTAGCAGCATGAGGTCGCAGGACCTGAGTGTGGCTTCCTTGGTGTCCTGTGTTGTGGGGAGTGGGGACAGGGTGCGTGATGGCCCAGCAGACCCAGCTGCCCCTCTTCTAGCTTCTGTGTGTATTGAGTCACACCTAGCTCGTCTCCCGTTTCTGGGTCACCTGTCCCACGTCTTTGCAGTGTTAATATATCAGTGAAGGTGGCAAAAGAGAAGGTGTTCCAAAAGGAAGTGGTGGGTGAATCTTTGGGGATGCCTGGGAGCAAGCCTTTGTTTCTGCATCTCTGAGGGTTAAGCTGAGTCTCATGTTTGGAAGCCAGGACAGAGACCTCATATCGACTGCAGTTAGTTTGGAGCACATGTACTCCTTGAGCACAGGCTGTGGCCTGTGCAGTGGGTCTTGGCTTGCAGAGTTCGGACTTGGAGATGCATGTTGATTGCACCAGGCTGCAGTCAGGAAGAAAATCAGCTTCTCCCTTACGCCTCCTCATCTGTCGGACAGTCTGGCTGCTTGTGTGAGTGTGGTATGTGCTTTTAAAGTGGCAGAATCTCATTGTTTGTCCCTATGGGTTTGAGAAATTCTTTAAGAGGAGTAGAAGAAACACAGAATTAGAAATGCAACAGCTTATAAAGGAACAATTTGACCAATCAGACTGTCAGAGTTTTACATTTGAGAATTTTTTTATTTTTTTAAACTTTAATTAATTTATTTTTGGCCATGCCACACAGCATATGGGGTCTGGGTTCCCCAACCAAGGATGGAACCCAGGCCCCCTGCCGTGGAAGCACAAGATCCTAGCCACTGGACCACCAGGGAAGTCCCACATTTGAGAATTTTGAAGCATTCATTAATTTTGGGTTAATCTTGGGAGGTGGTGAGCAGGTGGGCCGTTGTGCAGGTGGTCTCAGCACTTCCTTCCTGTCACTGGTTTGTGGACATGGCCTCACTGCCTTCCTTTGCACCTGCATAGCTTGTGTGGATCCGAAGCCTTGACAAACCTGTCTTTGAAGTCATATCACAGTTTGGTGACATGGGGGGTGTGCAGTGGTGTCTTCCTGCTTGGGGAGCCTGGAGCAGCGTAAGAGAAGAGGTGTGCAGAGCTCACTGGAAGTGATTTGCTGTGACTGTAGGACTTCGTTTTTTGTCCTTCATGTTTATGCATGTGGATCTTCACTCTACCCCATCCTGAGTTTGGCCTTTCCTGGGGTCTTCTGGGCTTTGGGGCTTTGAGTTAATGGTTGTTGCAGTGGTGCCTGTACGTCAGGGGCTGCTGTGGCCCAGCTTCTCCTGGAACTCATGTGAGTGTCGTGCTCAGGCCCTGTGTCTGCTGCTGTTGACTGGGACAGAAAGTGATTTTTGTCTCACACCTGTCTTTCCACCTTTTCTTTTCTCAGGGGAATGATTTTTTTTTTTCTGTTTTGGGTTATTTTCCTAAGTTCATATGGGAAAACACATTCCTGGGTATTCTCCACTCTCAACTCTTTCCGTCTGGTTTTGCACCAGAGTAACGATCTTGTGTTATTTCTCTTTGTCATTGCGTGTGTGCTGAAATGCCTTCTGGATGTTTTAATGGGAGGAATAGTTAACTTAGTTGCCTGGCAAGAGGAGGGTTTCTCCTTGTATGTGCCCAGCTTTGCAGGACGGTTCAGGCCACCTGACCCTTAGCTTGTACTTGGAGGTAGTGGGAGCTTTAGACCACAGATAGGTGTGTCCTGAGTGAGACCCATCCCCCCAGTACATTCTTGGCACCTGATGGAAGGGTGGGGGGCTCCAGGAGTGTTTCTGGGGCTTCCCTGGTATGATTTAAGCTGTTACTACTTTACATGCACACGTTAAGAAAGAGGCTTGGGGACTGGGTTCAGTCATCTAGTCTGTGCGTCACAAATGTTCTGAGGGGCGGTGACGTGAGTGCCAGCCTGAGGAGTTCTCTGGTGGTCCCGTGACTAGGACTTCACGCTTTCAGTGCCAAGGACCCAGGTTTGGAGAGCTAAGATCCTGAAAGCCATGAGGCTCAGCCAGAAAAAAGCAAACCGGAAGGTAACACCTCCTAGATCTCACCTGGCACACACATACAGTCACTCATGATTTCAGAAAGCATAAGAAACTGTTGCAAATTTCCCTTCTTGTCTGGAACTGTCTGGGATTGGTGTAGGCTTGCAGTCTCCACTACCCTGGCCCCTGCCCCCTGCAGCTTTTCCTCGGACCTTGAGAAGCTCTGCTCCTTGCCACACGCTGCACTTCCTTTACGTTCCCTGTTTATCTCCAGAAGGCAGTAGTGTTGGGGAAGTTGTGTTTTGGAAGCATTCTTCTTTTCTCTGAATCCTCCTCCTCTGGACAGTTAGGTGTGACCGTTCCCTGAGGTCAGAGTTTGTTTTTTCTTAGGAACTAATGAACCAAAGGATGCTGGTTCTGGAGCAGACAGAGGGAAGAGAAGAGGAAAGCAAGATGACTTTGCCTGGTGGAAACGGATGCAGAAGGTTTGTGTGTGTCCAGAGGGCCAATTCCAGATGGCCTGTCACTTTTCTAAGGAAGTAGTCACTGCGGGCTTGGGCTTGGTACAAACTAATTCAAAGATTCTAAATGGTGGATTTAATTTCTAAAACTAAGATCTCCATCAGAGTTTTTAAAGACCCAGAGAAGCGATGGTTTCAGGAAGGCCGCTGCTTTTCCTGAGTGGCCTGGGAGCTGCCATGGCCTTACACGCCGGCAGAGGCTGCGCCCATGGAGGCTGGTGGGGAGGAGGTATGGTTTGGGTGGAGGGCTTGGTGACCTCTCCCTTGTCTGTGGAAGGGCATTTTTGTGAGAGAGCTGCTGTCTTTCAGTGTAGCCCATGTTGTGTTCTCTCCCCGCAGGGGGAGACTCCCTGGGACGACAAGGATCTCCGCAGTCTGGCTGTGCTGGGGGCAGGTGTTGCTGCAGGATTTCTCTACTTCTATTTCCGAGATCCTGGGAAGGAAATCACTTGGAAGCACTTTGTGCAGTATTACCTGGCGAGAGGTCTGGTGAGGGGATTTGCATGCTGCCGGCCTTGGAAGGAGGTGGCCTGTTGGCCTCGGGGTGCAGATGTGACTACCCTGCTGCACCCCCACACCTGCCCGCTCCCTGAAACACTCACTCATTGTGTGTGAGCTCTGGCTTCTCCTTTCACTTGGTTCTATTTGTGAATCTTGACACTCTAGTTGTGAATCTGACTCAGAGCCTTTCTCCTTGAGGGCACCCCTGGCCCACTGCTAGGCCCTGGACAGTGGGGGCCAACACTGGCTCTGAGTCACACCAGTGGAGTCCCCCATCCTCCCCGCACTCAGGTTTGAGCGTACACCTTCACAAGCACAGTGACTTTGCTCCCCGTTGCGTGAGCAGCGCACTATGAAGGCTGGGCTTTCCTGCTGTGTGGTGACATCTGCAGGGAGTTCTCGTTTGCCCTGCGGTCTGTCCACACTCTGTCCTCAGGGAGGCCCGTGGTGATGGTCTCTACGCGGTGGGGGAAGGGCTGCTGTCGTCCCCTCTGCTGAGGACCCGTGCCCAGCAGGCGTGGCTAGAGGGGCAGGGGGAGACAGGTATCCTCCTGTGCTTTGGCCTGGACTGGTTCCAGATGTTCCTTGAGGTCTACATGGCTGACAGTGACATGCTTGTCCTGGAGCACAGCACGGCCCGGAGCACAGAAGGGTGACCTGTCCATCCCCCACTCAAGCACACCTAATGCAGCCCTGGCCACACCTGTGGTGCCTGATTGGGAGCTGACGCTCGCCTGGCCTACCTAGACAAGGACCAGATCCCCTCACGTAAGGGAACTTCCACATCCGCTGGGAGGGTCTAACACCTGAACCTGAGGGCTGCGTCTTGTTCCAGCCCCTCTGAGCTGTCTGAAGAGTCTGATAAAATCTCAGGGTGTCATAGAAATAAGTGAACTTATGTGCAGAGGTCCCTGGCCTGGACTGGTGGTTCTTTTGTGAAAGGCTTGTTTGGGAACAAAAAGCTATAACAAAACCTCAGTAGCAGTCTTCGTTTTATTCAGTTCTTTACTTATTGGCTGCGTGGTGGGACATGTGGGATCCAGTTCCCCGCCCAGGGATGGAACCCACTCCCCTGCAGTGGAGGCTCACAGTCTTACACTGCACTGCCAGGGAAGTCCCTGCAGTCTTTGTTTCAGGCAGTGTCGTCGTTTTTCCTGGTCACAAGTATAACATGTGCTTGCTGCAAAGCATTTGGGGAAATAAAAGTATAAAGCAGGAAGTCACTGTCTGTGCACGCCCAGGGGCCTTTTTCTGTGACCCCGTTGGCCGCAGTCTGAATGCAGGGCTGCTCAGCTTCTGTGCCCTCTGTCCCGTTAGCGCACTGGCAGTGAGCACTGCGGTAGGGAGGCATGAGGGGTCAGCTGGCAGGAGTCTAGCAGGGCCAGGAGGACATGCTGTGCCCTCATCTCATGAACCTGAGAGCTGATGGGCCTGGCTGGCTGGGGCTCTGCATGTTGGCAGAAGAGAAACCAAGGGGGCAGTCGCCTGGAGTTCTCTCTGTCATGGTTTCTGGAGTCGTGTTGGGTGGCGGTGAAGTTCCACATTCAGGATCATGTCCTCACCGCGCAATCCTGAGTGTTCCAGTGTTTTCCAGAAGGAGCTTTGTCATCGTGGTTAATGAGGTAGTGACAGCAGGCCATGTCTGAAGCTCCCCAGAGGGTGTGTGGCTTCCAGGCAGTGGGCTGTAACCTGATGGACTGAGTGTTATGGGATCAGCTCTCCTGTCAGTACAAGACTTTCATTTGTGTTCCTTTTGGAGTGTTTTTGAAATTTTTTGTTTTGTTTTTTGGCCATGCTGCACATTTTGCAGGATCTCAGCTTCCCAACCCAACCAGGGATTGAACTGGGAGAGCCTAAGACTTATTTTAGGATCCTACTCACAGGGAACTCCCCTCCTACCCACAGGGAACTCCCCTCCTTTTGGAGTTTTAAGCCAGTTTGAAGGCTTAGTGCTCAGATGTGCCACATTTTAATTCCTCTTCTTGAATCAGTTCCTGTTTATTGCCATAATCCCAGGCTAGAATTGTCCATGTTGGTAGGAAGACAGAGCCAAAACTGTCCTGCAGAGTGTGAGCTGCGCTGGGACAGGTGCCACCTGTGCGTGTGGCGCTTGGCTGAGACCGAGGCCCAGGGTGCTGTGCTGGTCCTTAACTGGCTGTCTGTCTTCTAGGTGGATCGGCTGGAAGTCGTGAATAAACAGTTCGTGCGTGTTATTCCTGCCCCTGGGACATCACCCGAGGTGAGGGCTGGGTCAAGGCCAGCCCTCCACATGTAGGTTTCGGTGTCAGTGTAAGGTGTAGTCTTCTGGGATCTCCCTGGTGGTCAAGTGGTTAGTACCAGGGGCCCTCATGGCCAAGGCCTCTGGTTCAGGAACTAAGATCCCACAAGCCGTGTGACCTGAAAAAGAATACGTGATAGTTTTTTGTTTTATTGGAGAAATGCCTCTCCTGGCTTCACTTTCCAGCACCCACCTGTGCTCATGTGCCTGTAGAGAACAGTCTTCCCGGTAGCATAGGACTCTAATGAAGCTGTAACTCTGCTTCAGTTTTGCCCAATACCATGGACAATCACCAGCTGAGCTCTGAGAGGAGAGACTAAAATGACAGATAGGGGACAGAAGCAGACTCAGCCATTGATAGACATTTGTACTTTGACCTCAAATCTAAGCCTATGGTTTGGGGCCAGGACAGGAGGCCCATCAGAGCCACTCAGGACCTTGCTGTGAGAGAAGCTGGGGAGCGGGTGGTGGCCATAAGGGGCGGCCCCCTACATCGCTTGGCACCTTGGTTTCTGCAGAAGCATGCATGGTTCAGCATTGGCAGCGTGGACACCTTCGAGCGCAACCTGCAGACTGCCCAATGGGAGCTAGGCATTGAGCCCCCCAACCAGACGGCTGTGGTCTACACCACTGAGAGCGATGGGTGAGTGGGTATGGTCGGGCCCCGGTGCTGGACACGCAGCGCTTCTTGCTGAACTTGTTCAGGCATGTTGTAGGTGTCTGCTGGTAGTCAGTGTCTGTGGTAAAGACAGGTTTGTTAGCTGTGTTTTTACTGGGGAAAGAACTGGTGGGGAAATGTTTAGCTTGGTAGCCTGAGGGCTGTGGTGTGGCAGCAGGGCAGAACTACCTGGGAGGAGGCTGGGTCAGGGAGTTTCTGGAGGCAGGCCACGGCTGCCCTGCACTGCCCTGCCCACAGGGGAAATCAGACAGACAGATTCGCGTGGACAGGACCCTTTACAGTGGGTGAGGCTGTGTGTCCAGATGGATGGTGCTTGCTTTTGTGTAGCAGAGTCCACTGTTCACGGCCTGTCTCTCAAGGGAATGTGATGGATGGTTTTCTTGGCCTTTCTAGGTCTTTCTTGCGAAGCCTGGTGCCCACCCTTCTCCTGATTGGCATCTTCCTCTATGTCATGAGGAGGGGTCCGATGGGGGCTGGGCGTGGTGGGCGAGGAGGGGGCCTCTTCGGCATTGGTGAGACAATAGCCAAAATCATCAAGGATGACATCGGCGTGCGGTTTGCAGACGTGGCTGGTTGTGAAGAAGCCAAGCTGGAGATCATGGAGTTTGTAAATTTCCTGAAGAACCCCAAACAGTACCAGGACCTTGGGGCCAAAATTCCAAAGGTACTGACTTGAGAGAGCACAGGCAGATGCTTTACCACTGTGCCACCAGGAGAGCCTTTGTCTATAGTGTTGTTTCTCTAAATTGAACTGAGAACTTCGAAGCAGTTCTAAGGGCAGAATCATGTATTTTTATGACATTTTCTTACTGTTTCAGTTTTTTGTCCGTTCAGCATTTTTTTCTCTAAGAATTTGCCTTGATTGCTTTATTATATAACAGTTTCAGCTTCGTTTTTGAAGAAACGACTTTCTATTCTGTTATTTATTGTTGAAGTATATAATTAAAGCAAGTGCAGGGAATTTTCTGATCCAGAGGCTAGGACACCGCGCTTTCACTCCCGGTGCCCAGGTGCAGTTCCTGGTTGGGGAACTGAGATCCTACAAGCTGTGTGGCATAGCCAGAAAACCCCAGAAAACAAAGAACCAACAAGTACAAACCACCATGAACCGGTCTGGGGTCAGCTGCCTGTCAAAAAACCTACGACCCAGCAGTGGGACAGGTGTGCAGTATGGATACGGGTCAAGGCTCTGCACATAGGAAGTGGCACTGTGGAGATTGTGGCCGCTGTCTTTCCCTGTGGGTGCTTCTAGGTGTCATGGATGTTTGGAGGGCCTGGCAGTAGCTGAACCCCCTTCACAGAAAGGTCTGTGTCTCACATGGAAGAGGCTCACAGACTGCGGCCCCCTGCCCCTCTACCCCCCCACACCCCCCTGCCCCAAGGTGTCTCTGGGCTCTATTCCAGGCTGCAAGCTCTCCAGGGTGGAGACTCAGTGCACTGACTTTCCTGGTAGCTCTGTGTGTTTCCCTGAGACTGTCCTGAACAGCAGGAGAACGTGACTGACCTCTGGAGATTAGTGGGCAGGAGACCTGTGCTTCTCTTTGGCCACCTGGTAAGGTTGGCTGGAAAACTCGGGTGTGGCAGGCCCAGGGGGTCCCCTGGTTCCATGACCCACTGCTTTGTGGAGACCCTCTGTGAGTCCATATCCATGTTCATGGGGACCTGGGGTCCTGGCACCTTGTGAGTTTGTTTTGAGGCTCCCTCATCCTCCCCACCTTTATATGTTTTGTTTTTATTTTTATAGACTTAGGAAAAACAACTTTTTGGTCTCTTTTGAAATAAGTAGATATTAACCCATACTGTCAACTAGAAATAAAGTAGTGTAAGCCCCCCTTTAAGTCCCTCCTCATGAAAGGAATACTGAGGTGTGTTACTGGGGTGTGAATTTCAGTGTTGAGTCAGTGTAGAACCAGGCAGGTTGCGGACAGTACCACATGCAGGTGCCATTGTCGGACGTGCTGAACAGAATCACAGGAGCGAGTGTGGGGAGGACCTCTTGCTCGTCCTGGTGTGAGTCGGTGTGTTTCATAGAGCAATTAAAGTAAATGTTGGGCCGTGAGATCCATTGAGTCCTGCCCTGGGAGCGTCACTTGAAGAAATAACCTGCTTGGTTGGACTGGGGCTTTGGGGGCCTTTCCTTTACCTGCAGCATTTGAACTTTTCATGATAAATGTGCCTTTGTCTTACAAGCAGGGTTTCAAATGGAAGGCACACCTTGGCCGAAAGCGTGGAGTAGGCTGAGGAGTCAGTTGAGTGAGACTCTGCTTGGCCCCATCTCTCCCCTTTCAGAACCATCTCTCACCTTTCTGTTTCAGGGAGCCCTGCTCACAGGTCCTCCCGGTACCGGCAAGACACTTCTCGCCAAGGCAACCGCGGGGGAGGCTGGTGTGCCCTTCATCACCGTGAATGGGTCTGAGTTCCTGGAGATGTTTGTTGGTGTTGGCCCAGCTCGGGTAGGTAAAGGCACCCTTGTCCTTGCCCTGGCCTTTGGGTGGGACCCTGGGGACGGGCGCAGAGCACAGCATGGATGTAAAGACAACCTGGCGGGCAGACAGAGCAGCCGAGATGGGAGTCAAGCCCCAGAGGTGGGGCCTCAGCCCAGGGAACTTAGTCCTGTCCTGGCGCCAGTGACAGAGCACACTGTGTATGGACTCCTGTTTCAGGTTCGTGACATGTTTGCAATGGCCCGGAAAAATGCTCCCTGTATCTTGTTTGTTGATGAGATTGATGCAATTGGCCAGAAGCGTGGGCGTGGGCATGTTGGAGGCCAGAGTGAGCAGGAGAATACCCTGAACCAGCTGCTCGTGGAGATGGACGGTGAGCGGGCTTGCTCTCTGGGCAGAGCTCCCCAGGCAAGACCCCTGCTCGCACAGTCTGAGGAAGGCTGTCCTCAGGACCCACAGTGCAGGGAGCTGCCCTCTGAGCTCAGCGGCTGGATGAGGGCTGATGCCCAGGCTGTGTCCTCACCGCCTTTGTCCTTCTGCCTCCTGCTCCAGAACCCTGTCTCCCCGTCGGGACTCCTGCTCAGGCAGGGTCTGGTCCGGGTGACAGCCATGGGCCTGCTGCCGCCTCTCGGGGAGGGTCTGGGCATTCGTGCCACGTTCGGATTTGGAGAAGCTTTGACTGGACCTTTGGCAGGTCCTGTGCTCACTTGGCTTTGGAGTTGAGTCAAGGTACCCAACGTGACCCCAGGTTGGTCATTTGGGAGGAATCCGTGGGTCCCTGGATTCATAATCACAGTTGACTGCCAGGCCAGGACCTGGGAGAATCATGGGGAGGAGGTGCCTGGGCCGGGAAGGTGGCCATGGCCTCCAGAGCGCTCTGCCCACGGAGTCCGGGTCGCAGCTTCTCCCTGGCAGCCAGTTGGGTGACACTCAGGAGTGTCATCGACCAGGACAGGGTTTCCCCTGGGGCTAGTCACATGGCACTCTTTGCCCAGCATGGGTCACAACCCCAGCCTCCCAGGAGGAAATATCTACTCAGACGACTGAGGCATGGGGGGCTCCTCCCTGAATCCCAGGTCCTAGGCTGGCTCAGGGGCCCAGCAGGCTTTTCTGAGGAAGAGTGCTGGTGAGTCAGGCCCTCATCCTGCTGGGCACCCCTATCCTCTCCCCACTGCATCTCCCCTGCTCTCGCCCAGCCTGGCTTCCTGGGGCCAGCAAGCCATCCAGGACCTGGGTGGAGGGGTCTGCGTGGTTCCGGCAGCTCGCTGTGTGGTGTGAGAGGTTGGCAGGGATCTGTAACAAATTAAGATGGGAGCTCACACCCTGAGACTGGGCCATGGGGCTCCCAGTTGGTTGAGGAAGGTCGGGTTACAGCCAGAGCTGTGAGGACTGTGGGGACCAGAGCCACCGTTTTCTGCCTGTGACGGCTCCCGGGGTGGGCAGTGGTCCTGGAAAGTGGGGGCCAGGTGTGCAGGGGAGAGAAGACAGCTGCTGGCCGGGCCCTGCTTGGGCTCACCTGCTTCTCTCGTGTCCAGGATTCAGCTCTACCTCAAACATTGTCGTGCTGGCCGGCACCAACCGCCCCGATGTCCTTGATCCAGCCCTGATGCGGCCAGGCCGCTTCGACCGTCAGATTTACATTGGTGAGTGTGCTGAGGGCTGAAAGTTTGGTTCGATCATTAGCTATGTATTTGGAGGAGGTTTTGAGGTGCCTTAAAGCAGCTAACCCCACTTGTGAAACAGTAGAGGTGCAGGACTGGGCCCCACTTCGGGAAGAACAGGTGTGGCTGGGATGGGGAGAAGGTCATAGCAGTCCATGCAGCTGGGAGTGATGTGACAGTGTTGGGTCCTTCAGCTTTTCTTTTTTGTGCACTGTTTACAAGATAAGCATTCACCCTGGCCTTTCCCACTTGTGAGCAGATCCTTGAAACTTAGGATCTCAGTCCTGCCCAGGTCCCCTGCTGCCAGAGCAGTCATCCTGGGGATTGAGTTGTGTGGACTGGAGGTCCCACGGTGAGGAAGGTGTTTGATATGTTGGAGAGCTGAATGGATGTGACCTGTGGGTCGTTTCTGCCATGGGGAGCTCTGGCCCTGGTTGGGTAGTCAAGTGTGCAGTGCAGACATGCAGGGGAGGGTCCTCCTGGCCCTGGTGAAGCAGCTACGGGTGACCCCGCCCTGGCCACCTGTGCCTTTCTTTCTCAGGGCCCCCGGACATCAAAGGCAGGTCGTCTATCTTCAGGGTCCACTTGCGTCCACTCAAGTTGGATGAGAGCCTCAGCAAGGATGCCCTGGCGAGGAAGCTTGCAGCCCTCACTCCAGGCTTCACAGGTGAGTGATGGAGGCCGGGCGGCTGCCCTGGGACTGGCCACATCATCAGCAGGTAGTTTCTGGTTGTGTCATTTGGTCCTGAAAGTGAGCCCTTGTCTTTAGGACTGTGAATGTGGTGGGCACACCCGAGGCCCCAAAGCTGGCTTTTGTCAGCTTGCGCTGTGCCCCCCACCACCCGGCTCCCCCCACTGCCCCAGGAACGTAATGTGGTGACGATGGTGATAAGGCCCCATCCGCTTGGGTTGCTACCCAGGGAAGAAGTCCTGGTCAACACTTCCCACAGTGCATAAGAGATCTGAGTCTGCACATCCAGGAAGTGGGATAAAGCCTGAGATGCCCACACTGACAATATCATCCACATTGGTCAGATGTAGGGAGAGGCCTTGAGACAAGCAAGACCAAAGGGTAGCAGCTGACTTCTCTTGGAAATGGAGGCCAGGAGGCAGTGGGTCAGGCAGAACTATTCTTCCACAGTGAAGGAGAAATTAAGGCATCCCGTATAAAGGACAAGTGTGTAAAACCATAATGACATATCTGTGTTAATGGGCACACAGTGTAGAAAGATGTAACCTGTGAAGATGAGAGGGGCTGCGTAGGAGCAGAACTTTTATACATATTGTGAAGCTGGATCCTCAGCTTCACATGGAGCTGCCAGGGGATGGAAGAGCTGCACAGCCTGTAAGCACAAAGTGGTGGACACTTCCCCAGTGTGGGGCTTCTGAGGGCAGATGCGGACCAGTAGGATAAAAGTGAGAGGCCAGGTGTGGGCCTGTTCATCTTGGTCAGTTGTTTTGTCAAGGGTGTGAAGACCATCCAACGGAGAAAGAATAGCCTGTTTGAACAGGTATTTCCACAAGCTAAAGGACATAACTGGACGTTAGACCACATATAGCAGTCAACTCAGAGTGGATAAGAGACCTGAGCGGTGGAGTGAGAACTGTAAAAGGTCTTAAAATCTTTAGGACCTTGGATTTGGCAATGGTTTTTTAAAGCACAAACAGCAAGTGAGAAAACTATAGAATAGATTTCTTCAAAGCTAATCTTTTGTGCATCGAGAGACATTATCGATGTGATGAAAAGAGCCCACAGAAAGGAAGAGAATGTTTGGAAATTATGCACCTGGTAGGGTCTAGAATCCAGAATATATAAAGAACCCAATTTAAAAATGGGAAAAGCGTTTGAATAGACATTTCTCCAAAGTATACAAATGGCCAGAAACCATGTGGTTTCTGGTGGTCATGATATTAGTTATTAGGAAAATGCGTATCAAAAGCACAATGTGACACCACCTCATGCCCACCAGGATGGCCGTAAAAGACAGACGGAGGGTTGGCAGGGATGTAGGGAGATGAGCATGCTCGCATGTTGCTGGTAGGGATGTGAAGTAGTGTGGCTATGGAAGTCGGCCTGGCACTTCTTTTAGAAGTGAAGTACAGTTAGCATATGACCTCCAGTTCCACTCCTACCTAAGAGAATTGAAAACATTTGTCTGCATAAAGGCTTGCACGTGGATGTTCACAGCAGCGTTACTCATAATAGCTAAACAGTGGAGACCACCCCAGTGTCCAGCAACGATGTGTCACCAGTAGTTGTGTGTATGGTGGGCGGAACCTGCAGATAGAGCTGACCATGTTACATGAGTGACTTGAGCATCTGTGGAATCTGGTGTCTCCTGTGGCTGCCTTAGGGCAGATGGAACCTTATTCAGCCATGAAAAGGAATGAAATACCAGGACATGCTCCTGACAGTGGATGAACAGGAAAACACTGCCGTGTGAAATGAGCACACACAAAAGACCACATAGTGTGATTGCACTTACGTGAGACTTCCAGGATGGGCACGTCTGAAGACGTAGAAGGTAGAGTCATGTTTGGCTAAGCCTGGGTACAGGATCTAGCCCCAGACAGCACCTTCATGATGGGGATGTCTAAGATGAGATGACAGCAGTTGTCACACATCTTGATGAAATTACTGAAAGTCTTTGAAATGTACACATTTTTAAATGGGTAGATTTTATGTTAAATGAATCACACCTCAGGAAATCATTGAGCCAAGAAACTGGCTGAAAGCAGCAGTGACAGAGCAGGTCCTGTTTTCCTTCACGCCCTTGACCTGTTTTAGCTCTGGCTCCAGTGCTGCAGAGTCCCTGTGACAGCGTGCCCTGGGCCCCTGACGGACGGTTTCTCCTTCTCCCGGTCAGGTGCTGATATTTCTAATGTTTGCAACGAAGCTGCCCTGATCGCCGCGCGCCACCTAAGCCCCTCTGTAGGGGAGAAGCACTTCGAGCAGGCCATTGAGAGGGTCATTGGAGGTAAGCCGGGACACCATGGGTGAGTTTCCACCCTGGGACCCCAGGCTCACTTCAGGGTACTCCGCTTGGGCAGCTCTCCAGACCCAGATCTGGGATGTGGGACCTGCCAGCAGCTCTCCTCCTCTTCCTGGAGCAACGTTCAGAATCTCAGAGAATTGTAACCTCCAGGGTGCTGAGTCAGACCCAGGTCTGGGTGCCCACTGTGGCCTAGAGGACGGCCTGCTGGGTGCTTCCCTGGGAAATTTGCTGGGGTCCCCAGTGCTCCCAGTGGCCAGCATACCCAGAGCGGGTGCAGGCTTCAGCCTGGGGGTCGAGGTCTCTGGAGTGCCATCCTGGGGACAGAGGTCAGGGAGGCATCCGTGTGGCCAGCAGCCATCCTTACCCCGCCCACGGCTGTGAGCACTGGCCTGTCCAGGTGGTGGGTAGCCAGAGCTGCTTTGTCTGCGTCACTTTGTGTTGAGGTGTGACACGTGCACAGGCATGTAGTGTCAGGAGCCCAAGGCAGTTGCCACAGCCGTTCGGTGCTGTCATGGGCCATGCTGGGCTGAGCTGCCGTGAAACTGACTCACACTAGTCGTCTATGTCTCTCCGTGCCCTGTTCTCTGCCTGTGACTGAGTGTACAGGGTGTAGGGAACGCTCCTGTCTCCCTGCTTTGGCTTCACTACCACTTGAGCCATAGAGTAGCTAACCCTGCTGCCTAAGAACAGGTCTCCCTGAGCATATGTTGCTTGCACGGGAAGTGGAGTGGGGTGCAGGATGTCTGCAGAGCAGAAGGCAGCTTAGCATCTGGTTTGCAGGGACAGACCCCTGTGGGCCTGAGCAGTGTGTGTGGAGCCGACAGGCTGCAGGTCTGCTCTGACCAGCCCCCAGCACGCCGGAGTGGGGGCTTGGTTCCCACCTCTCTGCTGGCACTCCTCCTGTGCCTCTCACCAGGAGTGTGACTTGCAGGCCTTGAGAAGAAGACACAGGTCCTGCAGCCCAGTGAGAAGATGACGGTGGCCTACCACGAGGCTGGCCATGCAGTGGTGGGCTGGTTCCTGGAACACGCAGACCCCCTGCTCAAGGTCAGTCTGGCCCCTTACACATCTGCTGTGGGTTCAGGGCCTGCTCCCGCCCTGGGGGCCAAGGGATGGAACTGTCTAGAATGTGTCCTTGAAGGGTGGGTGGGAGGGCAGAGGCAGGGGGCTGGTTCCAGGAGGGGTCTGGATCTGGCCACCTGACACCTGGAGGTTCCTGGTTAAACTCACCTCACTGTAAGCTTCTCCCTGAAGGCAGACCCCTCCACAGCTTCCTGGGGACTGTGAGACAGAGGGTATTTCTGTGTTTACCCTCAGGGTGACCCCCTGTGAGCGCTGGGGCCCAGGGTCTCCTCTCCTCCCACACTTTTGTGGAGATGCCCTGGGGATGACGGGGCGCCCTGCTGTGTCTGCCAGGTGTCCATCGTCCCCCGGGGCAAGGGGCTCGGCTATGCCCAGTGCCTGCCCAGAGAGCAGTACCTGTACACGCGGGAGCAGCTCTTTGACCGCATGTGCGCCATGCTGGGTGGCCGCGTGGCTGAGCAGCTGTTCTTCGGGCGGGTCACCACGGGGGCCCAGGACGACCTGAGAAAGGTCACCCAGAGCGCCTATGCCCAGGTAGAGCAGCAGCCATGGGGGGTGGGGGGCGGGGGGCTCTGCACCGGGCTGACCCCGGCACTTGCCCGCTGCAGATCGTGCAGTTCGGGATGAGCGAGAAGCTGGGCCAGGTGTCCTTCGATCTCCCGCGGCCGGGCGAGGCGCTGGTGGAGAAGCCGTTCAGCGAGGCCACGGCCCAGCTCATAGACGAGGAGGTGCGGCGGCTCATCGGCTCCGCACATGCGCGCACCCTGGACCTGCTCACCCACTGCCGCGAGCAGGTGGACAAGGCGAGTGGGCGGCTGGACCCCGGGTGCTGGTGGGGTTCTGCAGGCGGGGCGGCCAGCTGACAGCTGCTGGGTGTGCAGGTGGGCAGGCGGCTGCTGGAGAAGGAGGTGCTGGAGCGGGCTGACATGGTGGAGCTGCTCGGGCCACGGCCGTTCGCCGAGAAGATCACCTATGAGGAGCTCGTGGAGGGCACGGGCGGCCTGGAGGAGGACACGGCCCTTCCTGAGGGTCTGCAGGGCTGGCGTGGGGGGCCGGAGGAGGGCGGCTTAGGGCGCCCGCTGCAGGAGAGCCCAGCCTAGCACGCCTGCCTGAAGAGCAGCCTCCGGGACCCCCAGGAAGCAAATTAAAGCACATATAACAGGCAAACAGCTGTCTTCCGATCAGGGCCCTTGAAGCACGGGCTTCCTGCTCTTTGCAGGCACCCTTCCACCGAGGGGGCTGGGACCCGGCCTCTGTCTGAGTGGGGGGCTGGGACCTGGTCAGTGCAGGTGGCTTCACCTGCCCCAGGGAGAGAAGGCCCAGTTCAGAAGCACTCACAGGTCAGCCCACTGTGAGGTTCAGCAGAAGAGGTGTGTAAGCCCAGAATCTAGGGAATGGCAGTTTGGGTAGCGGAAAGCCAGCTGGTCCTCAGGGATGGAGCTCACCACTCCCATAGGCATGTGGCCGGGGTTGGGGGGCCTTAGGGGCCTGAAACTGAGAGGGAGGGGTTGCCCTTTTCTCAGGGTGGGGCCTTGTTGATGGCAAGTCTCTGGGAAGCTGTTCCTGGTGGCCTGGTTTTGTTAGAATCCAGAAGGCGACTCTGGGCTGCTCCATGTGACAGGACAGCCCCTGAGGGTGCAGTTGTCTGCACCCTGCTGGCAGTTGTCTGCTTGGACCCGGAGTGAGACTAGGGCCCGGTCCCAGGGAGCAGGGTTTAGTGGAAATGGCCTCATGGGTCCCCAGCACACAGACAGAGGGCCGGAGTCATCAGAGTTGTGACAGTAGAAGCAGTTCCTGCCTTGAGGGGGTCGGGGGACAGGCTTTCTGGGCTGATAGTGGGTGAAGGGGTGCCCCCCTGTTGCCGGCCTGGCCCACACACGGCCTTGGGGATGAAATTTTCCACATCATTTGGTATGTTTGCCTCAAAAATAGAATTTCCAACTTGGGACAAACACTTTCAGCTTTGCTCTTTGTAGAACATGTATTGTTGATTTTCTTGTCTCTGGGGCTTGCCCTGTATTGCAGCCTCCACCACTTAGCCTTTGTGCTGAACTGCTGGGGACCCTGCAGGGGCCTGTTCTGGGACCTTCCAATGTAGGTAATGCTCCCTCACCCCAGGAAAGCCCCATGTTGTCCTGAGCCTGGGCTGCTGCCCCTCTCCAGGTCCAGGGCTCACCCCTGGTGATAGTGCCCTGCATGCGTGCCCTCTCCTCTCACCCGCTGCTGCCTGCTCAGCTCCCCGCATCTGGGCTGAGGCCTGGCTGAGTGTCTGCTAGGGGAGGCTCCACCCCTTGGGAGGAACTGCTTGCTCTCTTCTTACTCTTCTGCTCACAGACTGGCCCTCCCTGCCGGCTGCCTCCCCAGATCCTGCCCTGGGCTGGGAGGAGCCTTTTGGGGCTGCCTCTTCCAGCCTGGGCTTGTGGGGACAGAGCCAAATGCTAGCCCCCAGTGTGTCACAGTGGAGCCCCCAGAGGCTTCAGCTGGGGGAGGACCAGAGCACAGAGCTGGAGGTTTCTCGAGGAGCCAGCCCCCTGCCCCTGCGCAGCCCCCGCCCCTGAGCGCCGGTGTCAGTAGGAAAGGAAGACAGTGGTCCGCGAGACTGAGGACAGGGCGACGTTTTAATTGCGCGTCTTTGAAACGAGGTCACAGAAGCTGCAGCAGGAAGGATGGGGGCTGGAGGGAAGACCCTGGGGTGGGTGGGGCGCGGCAGCCCTCTTGGGGCCCCTTTTCCATTAGACTCTTGGAAATCACCCCAGTGCAGCTGCCCCTTGTGTGCAGGAGTGTTGCCCCAGTCCTGGTGCAGCGGCGACCCTTCCTGGCAGGGTGTGCCCAGGGCTTCCACAGAGGAGCCTGTTTTTCTTCCCCAGAAATGTTTCAGTGAAGAAGGGATCAGGACAGGTGGCCTTGGGGACAGAAAGCAGACTGGACTTGCTGTCAGACTGGAAGCTGGTCCTGTCCTCAGCACATAAGCAGCATTGGGAGCAGTCAAGCTTGGCATCCCTGAATTGGGGTTCAGGGGCTGTGCCCAGGTGCCCTCATGTCCCCACCCCCTCTGACTGCTGCACCCCAGACTGGGACGCTAGCCAGGGACACAGACCTACACGTGTGTGCACGTGTGTGCCTGGTGGGCTTTGGAGACTGGGCAAGCCCTGCCTGCCCTGCCGTCTGAGGCCGTCTTGATTGACTTGGCATTCCACGCTTAGGAAGGTGGGTCTGGCTGACGGAGGGAGGAGGACGAGCAAGTTGCTGGGGGTGTCTGGTGCTAACAGTATTCCCGGGCAGCAGCAGGGAGCAGGGGGGAATCAGGTGATTTTGGGGACTCACTCCCCTATCCACTCTCTGGCTGGACAGCAGACTCCTATGGGCCAGAGTTTGGCATGGTGATTCACCCCCTCTCACCAGCAGATCCCCACTCACCCTGGCCCCACCCAGGATTCTGGTGACAGATGACAACACCATTCCTGCAAACAAGTCTCATCTCATCCCTGGGCCTTGTCCCTGATCCAGGGACCAGGAAAGAGCTGATATAAGGCCACTGGGCTGTGCTTATGCTGAAGTGCCTTGAGACCCCAGCCCAGAGCCGCAGTGGGGAGGGCGGGCAGTGTCCACGTGGCCACGGTGGTCCGGATCTGCCCCATCTTGGCCCCAGGCCAGCCCGTCTAGTCCTCCTTGGGCCTCTCCACAGTAAGAATCGTGTCCACAATGGCAGGCTGCCGCTCAGGGTCGCCAAAGGGCTGCTTCTCACGGTTCTGCTCTGCCCTGGTGCGCGTCCAGGAGGGTGAGCGCAGACAGCCGGCTCGGGGTAGTGGGTGTAGGCCTGGTGGGAACATGGGCTGGGTCAGTGTGGCTCACCAGTCACTTCTGCATCTACTGTCTGGCCTATTTGTGCCTCCAGCATGGTGTCCGGCCACACCTTGGGGGCCCCCTGGTACCAGCAACATGTGCACATGGGTCTGGATGCAGCCTGGGCACTGGCTTTCCTGATGCTTCCAGAAGGGTCCCCATGCAGCCGCCCTGGTTGTGAGCCTGGCTTGGAGCCCATGTAGGTGGGCAGTAGGGAGGGAAGAAGGTCTCTGGGCACCCACACTCCCAGTGCCTTGCATGCCATTTCTTTGGTCAGTGGGGTCCAGTGCTTCCCAGGAACTGAGCTGAGGAGCAGCCAGGGCTGGCTAATGCCACCCCTTTTGTACTCTGCCTTGTAATTAAATCCACATAGTGAATTCTACTACTGGGGGGGCCTGTGGCTGTGGCCTTTTGCTGGTGTTTGAAAACTGAAATTGAGGAGGGGCAGACAATTCCTTAAAGTTAGCAGAAGGGTGTGTAAAGTGCAGAAGCAGTGAGTGAAATGGTGCCATGTCGACAAACATGCATTAGAAAGGAAATCATTTTCTAGACCAGGTCTTCAGGGAGTGGTGCTGCGTGGTCTCAGGCCCTGGGGCCTCCCCATAATGCATGCAATCCCACCTGCATGCGAGTCACTGGCCACATTCTCGTCGTCCGAGTCTGCAAAGACCTCGGCCAGCTCCTGGTCAGACATGTCGGTCAGCTCGGTGAGGTCTAGTAGGTCGAAGTGCACCTCCAGGGAGGAGACGCTGCTCAGCGGCTCTGGGGGCAGAGGGGCACGTCAGTGGGCCTGGTGATGGCCAGCGTGGGGGAACGAGGTGGTGGGAACAAGGTGGGGCCGACCCATTCCTGGCGCCTGCTCCTTGGGACACAGCGGGGCCCAGAGACCCATCCCTGGTCCCAGGGGGCTTGTGGAGCATGATGGGTGGATGGGCCATACTTACGCCGCCTTTCCGTGACCTGCAGGAGCCCTGGTGCTGGTATTGGGACGCCCAACTCCTCCTCAGCCACGGGAGACTGGCTACCGGTCCCTGTAACAGGGACGGGGGTGCTGAGAGCAGCCTGTGGCACGTCGACCTCCTTAACTAAGCCTGCAACAGAGAGGGCGTTACCCGGGAGGGGCTGGGGTCTTCCACCCCCACTGCCAGGATGCAGGCTCGGAGGACCTGAGAACCTGGCCCATGGGGCTAGCCCTCAAGGCTCAGGTAGTGACGGGGTTGGTCCTGGGTCAGGAAGGCAGACAGGGCGCCGGGGGCTTCTCTTGAGGAAGCTGACTTTCCCTGGCTCCTCATTCTCTAGTTTCCAGACCCTCTGCCCTCCTTACTTGAAGGGGAATCACTGCTGGTCTTGCAGGGACCCTTGCTGGTTCTGTCAGAGCTCCCAAGACCCCAGTACTGTCACCTGTCTACTTTTGGTCCCACTAGGGTTTACTAAAGAAGACCATCTTGCAGCTGAAGGAGCTCTATACAGGCAGCAAAAATTAGACCGGGATCTGGCTGTCGCTCAGATCATGAACTTATTCCAAGAAGAGCCTGGAGAGTCCTTTGGACTGCAAGGAGATCAAACCAGTCAATCCTCAAGGAAATCAGTCCTGAATATTCATTAGAAGGACTGATGCTGAAGCTCCAATACTCTGGCCACCTGATGGGAAGAACGGACTCATTTGAAAAGATCCTGAAACTGGGAAAGATTGAAGGCGGGAGAAGGGGATGACAGAGGATGGGATGGTTGGATGGCATCACTGACTCGATGTACATGAGTTTGAGCAAGCTCTGGGAATTGTTGATGGACAGGGAAGCCTGGTGTGCTGCACTCCATGGGGTCGTAAAAAGTTGGACACAACTGAGCGACTGAACTGAACTGAGGGTCTAGTGGACGGTCATAGATTTGCTTTAATCCAGCCTGGTCCCGGCTCATGTGTCCTATGTTGTGTTTGAACTCAAAATAACACATTTTCATAGTGAAAGAGTTACTAGACGGGGCACGTGGCAGACCTGTTCCCCGCCAACCTCACAATTGGGGATGTTCCCCCAGGGATTTTTTTCTGCTCAAATTTCGTTTTCATGTAACAGCTTGTCTCTGTCAGACGAGAGCCGAGGCCCCTTGGGGATCTGCTTGGTGGGCACTGCCACTCAGAGGTGGGGCTTCCACCCCAAGGAGGGCCCTGTCCATCCACAGCTCACCCATTCCTCCCCTCCAGAGTGCTCTAGTGTCCCTCCCCCCACAGCCGGGGTCCCAGTTGTCTGTCAGGCACATGCCCTGAGGCAGCTGGACCCCTCGGCTCCCCTGAGACTCCTCTCCATAGTGACCTGCCCTCAGCTTAGGGACCCCCAAGCCGAACAGGTGCCCAGTACAGAGTGCAGAGTCCCCCGTCTGTCAGCAGTGGGGCCTTGCCGACCCGGCGGGCGAGTGGAGAGTGGGGTGTGGACGAGGCCACAGGAGCAGCTGCCAAGGGGGATCAGGGGGGCCCAGCACCAGCAGCTGCCTTTGAGGGGTGGACCTGTGCGGCCAGCAGCTTGGACGTGCCCGGCAGGCCGCGTAGGTCCGGAAGGTCCTGGCTGAGTGGGAAGTGGGACATGGATTTGAAGCTGCAGAGCTGGCTGGGCTGCCCCAGCCTCAGAGGGCACCCCTCCCTGGGAAGCGTGACTGAGGGCAGGTGGGCCTGCTGACTGGCAGGGCCTGTCCAGCTCTGCCCTGTGCTGTGTCGTCACTGGGGCCCGGGGCCAGCCCTGCTGGATGGGGCTCAGGATCTGGTTTCCACCTTGCTGCCACATCTGGCACGTGGTGTCTGAGCATCCTCGGAGGGCAGAGTTACACCCGCTGGCGGCCCGGCCTGCCCAGCCTGACAGGGGCACCTTTTCTGAACCTCAGAGTTCCTGCTGCAGCTTGAGGCCCAGGAAGCCCTTGGGGTCTTTGTAGGACATGGTTCTGTTTCTTAAGAAGAGATGGCACAGCGGCCAGATCACCCTCCCCAAGGGCACACGCGTGCCTGGAGTGTCCTGCTCCTCTTCCGCACACGTGGCCCATCCTGGTGGGTGAGCAGGGTGGCCTCTGTTTGGCTGAGGGCTCCGGCCAGGTGCTGCCATTTCTGTGGAGCCTCCACATGGGGCAGGTGACTCTGGGTTAAGAAGAAGAAGAGTGACAGTGGCTCCTGGTTTTCTGTGCTAGACACAACCCCAGCAACACGGTTTTCAGCTAATGTCACAAGCAGCTACGAGGGAGGGACTGCGAGTTTTGTCCTATAACATGGAGAGGATCAGCTTGTCACAGGCACGTTAACACAGGGGCTCTGGAGCAGGAACTCTTGGGCCACCACCTGCCAACCCATGGAGGGAGGGGAGACCCTGATCTTGTGCCCACAGGGAAGCTAGGGCCTTGCCAGGCAGAAGGGGATTTAGGATCAAAGGTGGAGTGGAGGAGCAGGAGAAGGCCCTGAGGGAGTCTGGCTGCTCTGGGTGAGCTGGGTAGGAAAGCAGCTACCTGCATGTTTATGGAATGGGCCTCAGTCCAGGTGGAAAGGAGGACGTCTACAGCTTCTGAGATGGGGGAAGGGCAAGCAGATGCGCCTCCTTATAGACCCTGAGATCCAGGGGTCCCTCCAGCCCCCACAGGCACAGTGGCCTGTTGTATTGATTCTAAGAAGCACATGTTAACAAATTTCAGTGTATCTGAAACAGCACCATTTAGCTGATGGTGTTGCAGAGCCAGTGGAATATGTTATCCGTGAATTTTTAAGTCACCTTCTGTTGACTTTTTTATTCCTTCTTCTCCCTTTGGCAGTGCTCTGCTCTTTACTTTGTAAATCCTGGTGTCCAGGCCTGTGTCAGAGCTTTGGGAAGGGGGAGGGAGCAGCGGAAGACACAACTTTGGCATCAAGGATGCTGATCTTTCAGCCGGAAGTGAAGGAAACAGGACCTTGGCTTGGTCCTCGTGCGCAGCAGGTTCATCGTAAATGCTGGTTGAACGAATGAGCCCAAGACCCCACCCAGAGTTCCTAAGCAGCTGTGCTACCTGAGTCTGTCTGATACCCTCTTGATAGACTGCTGTAGGAAGAAGGGACAGGTTCTCCATGCGTGAGACCCCCTGCTGTTCCTGGGGTGTGAAGCAGAGCAGTGACTGATCACACAGGTAGATGGGCAAGGGTGCTTGCCTGTGGCCCAGATGTAACCCCAGGGTTGCCCAGGCCAGGGCAAAGGTGAGGGGTGTTTCTAGTTCCCCAGGAAGCTCAGCATGGCCCAGCAGCCCAGCGCAGGCCCCATTGAAGGAGTGCAGTCTGTGGTTCCTGCAGGGGGACCTGCTGCCCTGACATGTGGAAGCACTGAGGCAGTGCCTGCATGGGGAGACTGGAGCTGGGGGGCCACAGTCCTGCCCTGCCCATGGTCTGTTGTGAACCGATATGGTAGGGTTACCCTGTGCTAAGCTGCTGACCTATTTTCCAACACATTTGTGCCAAGAACTTGGCCCAGATCTCAAGTTCCCTGCTGTGTGCCCAAGACTTTGCCCCAAGCCTGGAGGAGGGGCTCTGCACATACCCACCACGAATGAGTGAATTAATGAAGTGAATGAATGAACAGCATAAAACCAACATGGCTGCAGCGAGGGCGGCATGGGCACCATCCCCTATGTCAAAGATGCCTGGTGGGCACTGTCTCAGCTCAGCCCCCAGGGCTGGGCCCTGGCCCCTCTCTCAGATGGACAAGACTTGGAGGTGGGTGTACTAGACGCTTGGTCTCCCAATGGCACTTTCCAGAGTGCACCCCCACCTCTCGCCTCCTTGTCTGTGCATTTGATATTAAATTATTATTGATTCATTTAGGTTTTAATTACAAGACCTTATAGAAGTAATTTCAGAGATACTTAAGGATGAAATAATACATCTCAATTTGCCACATTAGTACTGAAGGAAGGCTGGTGGAAGCGGGTGAGCAGCAGGCTGGGGGCACACAGGGGGCCTCAGCATTCTGTCCTACTTCTCTATGTTTCCCTCTCTCCAGTATAAGTTCCCAGAAGTTGGCAAACTCAGAGAATGACAGTCACAGCCACCCACACATGGCCTTTGTGGGGTAGGATGTGTCTGTGGGGTAAGAAGTCTGTCTGCCGGCTTTGGCCCCAGACCCACTGTGTGCCTGCACAGAGTAGGCACCAGGTGAATACAGGTCTCTGGGGCTCCAGAACACTCCCTTCCCTCACGCCTGCTGTCTGCGCTCTTGATCTACAGGGAAGGGGGTCTGTCTCCACTGAGAGGAGTGGTCACGGAGCTCAGACAGGTCTGGTTGCCAGCATCCCTAAGCTCTTGCTCGCCAAGCCTTCCCCATCGAATCATCATATGGCCGCACAGGAAGCTGCGGGGTCCTGGTGCAGCCCACAGGAATACAAAACAAAGAAAACCACACCCACTGTCCCCCACCCTCCCCAGTGTGTCTCCTGGTGCTCAGGAGGAGGGTGACAAGGGCCCCCAGAAGGTGTCTGGGACGCACCTGCCCAGCTCAGACTTCAGACAGCAGTGAGTGGCCTGACTGCTTCAGGACACTTCCACGGCTAGCATTTGGGTCTCCAGAGGCAGCCCTCGTGGGCTACGTGGCCCCCAGCGGATCGCTGTGTGCTCAGGGAGTGGCTCCTGGGGAAGGGACCTCCAAGAAAGCCTAGGTGTGTCTGGGGTCTGGCCTGGTGGGTGGAGGAGCCCGGCAGTTTGCATCCAACTTCCTAGGCCGACGACACAGGAAAACCCTTCCTGAAAGAGGACGTTCCTAGAGTTTTCCTCTCACCACCGGGCCAGGGTCAGGCTAGGGCCAGACTCCCAGGGGAGAGACCCCGAGTACATCTCCACCGTCTGGACAGCTAACAGAAGCCCTGAGGAGGGGTCACTCCGTGCACCCCTGGCCTCCCAGGTGTGTGCGCTCCTGGCCGCGTCAGGGCAAGCAACCCCTGCAGGCGTGAGAGCCCCCGCCGGCCGAGCCCAGGGCATCATCCGCCTCCCTCGCTCCAAGCCCGAGCCCGTATCTCAGCCTGGTGCCCCGCAGCATCCCGGCTGCCGCCTCCCCGCCCAACCCCCAGAGAGGTTCGGCAGGGCCGAACAAAGCAGATGCGCGGCTAGGAGCGTAGCCTCTCCCCTACGCCTTGCTGACTTGGACCCTGACTCTGGTCCCGGCACGCCCCCATCTCCCGGATCCCCGGCTCGACTGGGAGGGGGCGCAGGACCAAACTGTGCGCCGCCCACTCAGGAGCGCGCCAGGCACCGCTGCCCGGGCCGGGAGCGCGGAGGACGAGGGGGCGGGGACGCGGTCCTTGCGCTTCTAGCCCAGCGCGGGGGCCGCTCCCGGAGGTTCCCCGGCCTGGCTTCCCCAGCACGGCGGGCTTAGGCTTCCACGCTCCGGCCCGGCATAGGGGAACTCGGAGCTGCCTGCGGGTCCTGGCGGCCCTGGGGCGTGGTCGGTGAGAGGGCCGGGGGAAAGGACTGCGGGGAGGCGCAGATCTAGGGCTCAGGGGGGCCACACTCACCTCCCGGGCTGGCGCCCTCCGGGGGCTCCATGCGGCCGGTAGGGCCTTGGAGCCGCGCGCGCGGCGGCGGCGGCGTCACCCGGCCCCGGCCCCCCTGCAGCTGCGGCGGCGACTCGGCCCCGGCTCCCTGCGCAGCGCATCGGGGCAGCAGCCGGGGGACCGCGGCGGCTGGGAGGAGCCCGCGGGGCGGGGCGCGCAGCTGCTCCGGGGCCGGGTCCCGCCCCCTTACCCCCCCGCCAGCTCCTCCTCTGCCCCCGCAGCACAGGTGCGGCCCCGCCCCGCCCTGCGCGCGCCCCCTGTCGGCCCCTGCAGACCCTTCCCCGCCGACTGCACCCCTTCTGTCCGGCTTTCCACCCGGATCTGCCCGCGGCCCCCATCCCTGGCCTGGTCCCTGCGCGCACCCTCACTGAGCAGCCGCGCCACCGTGCGGGATCATCCTCATGCATCTGTGGGACTCCAACGACGTGCCGGCGCTCCGCGGGGCATGGAGGGACGGGCACAACATCCTAGGGCCCGTAAGCCGAGAATTGCAGACCGTGGCAAATGCTATGGAGAGACGCGGTGCGGGGGTTGGGGTGTGGGGGGAATGGGGAGGGAAGAGGGGAAGGGAGGTAAGGAGAGGGAGGCGGGAAGAGAGGGGGCGTCCCGGAAGGCAGGCAGGCAGCGTTTGGGCGTGCCGAGAGCTCCAAACAGTTCAGAGCTCCAAACAGTTCAGCGGAGTCCCACTTCCAGTCTCTGGTCCCCTGCACAAGGCCCGGAATGCAGCCTTGTGCCAACCAAGCCCTTGATGCACAGTATTGCATTCATTCTCCTGGGGAATCCTTAGCAGACGAGGCCCTGATTTTCCATGTGAAACTGAGCACGGCGGGGGTGGGGGGGTGGTGAGGGGGTGCAGGGGAGTGCGACCAAGGTGCACAGCCAGTCACAGGAAGCCAGAGGAGCCAAGTGCAAGCCCCTGGTCTACACAAAGACAAACCAACCAAAGAAGAGCATCAGGGAGACAGACTTGTTCCCAGCTGGGAGTGGAGAAATTCGCAGAGGAGGAAGATGTGAACTTGGTGTTTGCTGGAAATGTACCCTCCTAAGGCATCTTCAGCCATTCGAGGCCTCAGTCAACTCCAGTCACCCTAAGCCCATAGCTTTGTTAACTGTCAGTCACTGAGAGGCAGGCTAACAGTTTGTATTTCTCTTTAGCTTACGAAACAAAGAAAAACTGCTAAAATGATGTCATGACCCACTGGGACAAGCCGCTGCAGTTTGCACTCCAAGAGGCAGGTCAGCCCCTCTGGGACAAAGCTGAGGGTGGTGGGGACCTTGAGAGGTCAGAACAGTAGATGGATACTGGCTACTGGGGTAGAAGTTTGTATTGTCTCACAATGGTCAGAGCAGTGTCTCTGATTCCCCATGTCTTCCAGGTCCCATCCAGCCATACCCTGCCTGTGCTCCTGCTCACACCTGGGCAGCTCACACTTGTGCTGCTCTGACCAGTGGACTGTGTCCAGCTGATGCCATGTGACTCCAATGCAGGGTCTTAAGTAGGATTCAGGCCTTGATCCCCAGGCTCCCCTGGAATTCGGCCACCCTGTGTAAGAAAGCCCAGGCCATTTGAAGGGCCACTTGAGTGTTGTCTGGCTCACAGTAGCCAATGAACCAGGTGTAAAGTCTCAGCCAGACCCTTCCTTTGAGCCACCCTCCCCCGGGTGGGGGTAATACGTGGAACCAAGGTGAGCTGTCCCCACAGGGTCCCAGCCAAGTTGCAGATTCATGGGCAAAACAGATGTTGTCACTATGTTAAGCCATTTCACTTTGGGGCCAACCTGTCACACAGCCATCGTAACTGTAACAGTCTTGGTGTTTAATAATTATCCCCATTTGACAGATGAGTAAGTGGATACACAGGGAGTCTTGTCCAGGGCACCAACTAATCTGACTCCAGAGGCCAGGGTCAAACTTTTCATTCAAAACATTTTCATGGAAGTCAAGTATACTTCAACTTAAAAAAATTAAACTAATAAAAAGAAAAAATCAAACAATAGTAGAATAGCATAATTATGGGTTAATTAACCCACTTGTACCCATCATTCAGATTCAGCGATTACTGACTCATGGTTGATCATGTTTCTTCTCTGCTTTCAATGCCTTCTTCCACTTCTGGGTTGTTTTGAAGCAATCCTATATGTATTATGTCATTTCTTTTGTAAATACTTCGCTGTTGATCTCTAAAAATGTTTAGTCTTCTTGAGGACTCTGTTATGCTAACATTCAGGTCGCCATCGAGTTGCTGTTGTGATCTGAGGCAATTTACCTGGATGACCATGTACGTGGGTGTTAGGAAGAGCCAGATATTCACCATAGGTCATTGGGTTTGTATTAACATTTGGTCTGTTATTTTGTAGGAAACTCAGATGTCATTTATCTGGGTTTCTGAGATGCTCAGCTTGATGCCGATTAAAAGTATCTCAAGCCACCTATGTGAAGAAAGGCTCTTTTCTATAAATCTGAACTCAAATTCAGTATGAAAAGCACAGGTCGCCATGGGCCTTGCGGGGAGCCCAGAGAGCTGGCAGCAAGGCCTCCCTCAACTCTTCATCTCTGCAGTGCACACTGATAAACCGTGCTGTGCTGTTCATTTGTGACAAACGAATACCCTGTCTTGTTATCCTGAGCTAACCCTCCTATTCTTGTCCTTTTTGTTGAAAGGAATTATTGTTAATGCATTCGTTTAATTCAGGACTCCCAGCCAGAATTCTAAAGCAAAAAGCCAGTCAGCATGAGGCACCTAGCATACTGAGTCTGCAAAGTAAGTGTTAAATAATAATTATTAGCACTCTGTGCTATCCGGCTGCATTGTCTTACTTGCCAGAACCCCTGTGGGAGGAGCCTACCTAGGGGAGAAGACCCCTATCAGACCAGACGTGTCTGACACAGGCTCAGGCTCTTGTCAGTCCAGGCACAGTGACACCATCAGACCTCCCAAAGGCCATAGGGCTGCTATAAATGTCACTCTCTGTGCAAGTCCGGTTGATACAGTACTTCCAAGGGGCCATTCCTCTCCAGGAACAATCAAGTCTTGGGTGGGCAAACAGGAACCCCCCCCCCCCACCACCCCCGGCTCATTGCTGTGGCTCTCTTCCCCGACCTGAGCCTTTCTCCACTATTCACACTGTGCCCAAGGCAGTTCTCCAGGGAGAGAAGATTCCTCTCCATCCCTAAACTGACAGAAAACCTTGACCTGCTGCAAAACCACTGTTTAGTAAGATGCTAATGTTAAGAGTGTAGAAAACAAGACAACACATGGTGTTGTTTTGGGTGTAGGTAGCTGGATGGTAGGAGGGATAAGAAATTCTCTCTGCAATTTGTAAAGTAGTTAGCAGTTTTCAGAACAAGAAGTTAGAGGGAAGAAGACCCCTGAAGACTTTTTTTTCCTGCAGGGCGCGTCTGAAAACCCGTAGCAAAGGTTTCTAGTTTTTCCTCACCAGGAGGACAAAGTCTCTTTAGGAAGAGCAGTTAGTTTTTGTGAAGGGGAGAGTTGCTGATTTCAAAACTGCGGACCCCGCTGGAACATATTTTTCTCGCCTACTTTTGCTTCCTCTAAGGCTTTGTGGAAATCCAGCTGTCTTCCAGCCTCAGGTGGGAGGAATCGTCAAAGGGGGGGCAGGGTGAGGTGAGGCCCAAGGGCAGAGGTTCCGCGAGAATTTGAATCTAATTTGGGTAAAGTCGCGGTGTGGCCGCTTCCCCTCCCTCCCTCTTGGAGTTCATGCATTGGAGGTCCTGTACCCACGTAGAGTACGTAACAAGTGGACGGAAACCGTTCCTCCAGCCACCGTGGAGCTTAAGTTTTAGTGGGGAAGACCCGCGGTAAACAAGAATTGTCCCGAAAAGAATGTGTTCCCAGGCGTCTTGGAGAGGTAGCTTGTGAATAATGCCCAGCTTCGGCCCAAATCTACAGACTCTGCCTGATTAGTTGCTAAGGACTCCCGCCGTTGCGAGGCACCAGCCCGGCCGGAGGGCTCTCGCGATGATTCTCGAGACTTCGCGCGGGACCTTGCAGTCGTTGCCTGGAGACGGCGCATCCTGGGAAGGCCGGACGCTTTGGTTTGCTAGTCCAGGCAGGCGGGAAGCAGCAACCATGGTGAGGCGGTCTCGTAGGGTCCGCGCCGGGGGCCTGGGGCCTCAGGGCTCCGCGGGCCTTGCGCGCCGGGAGTACCCGGGACGGGAGATCTGGAGCTTTAGGGTCCTGGAGCTGCGGGCTTGTTGCTCTGGGCGGGCGGGGTGGTCCTCGCGGGGAGGGCCCAGGGTGCTGCAGACGCCGGACGCGGCTCCCCCGTGGAGCTGAGAGACCTGGTCTCTCCAGGATCCTGTGCACACCGGGGTGGGTGGTCAGAGAGCACCGTCTACCCCGTCGCCAGACCTAGGGCCCGGTGTGCACGTGTCCGGACTGGAAAACCTGGGTCGAGTGGCTTCCCTACCTGGAATGGAAGGCTCATTGATCAGATCCTTGGGAAATAGAGATCCTCCAGCCTCTGGGATCGAGAGCCTAGGGTATACCAGGGTGGCCAGAGGGTCCTGACAGCGGTTCCAGCGCACGTAGAGTCTCCAGGGCAGAGCCCCGTCGTACAGGAACTGCAGTTTCCCGGGCAAACCTGCGAGGAGTAAGGCGGGGACTGAGCAGAGCAGAGCGGAGCTTGCTGCCTCTGGGGCTCTCCATCCCCGCTCCTTCTGTGGTAGGGCTCTCAGCTGCGCACTCCCCTCTGTGCCGTATGGGCTGTAGGTCACCCAGTTTCCAGCCAGGTGTGGCAGGGTGGCCATCAGTGTGGGGACCCCTCTGTGTGTGGGGGCCCCAGGGGCTCTAGAGGCCCCAGCCACTGCCTTACTCCCAGATGCTGAGTGGTGACAAGCCCCCGGGCTCTTCTGATGGGTTGGACTTCTTGGTGTAGTGGGTTAGGAAGAGGGCAGTGTTTTAGGAGTGAAGATTTCAGCGGCTCCGTCTTTTGCAAATCAATTGGAAAAAGACCACCAAAATACATCTACTTTCACTAACTTGTGGGAAATATGTGTGATTTTCTTTTTTTTTTTCTTGTTACTTTGTGCTTTCTAACATTTCCTTGTAAACTTTTTTGGTAATAAAAATGTTACAGAGACGTGTAGATGCTTGCATACATACAGACAAAAGTATGAGCCACAGAAACCTGGGAGAAGTGAGGGCAGAGGATAAGTTGTTAGTTTTCTTTCTGTTGAGTGGCCCCAGGAGAGGGAGTGGGGCGGGAGGTCCCCCCTGGCACCTTGGAGAAGTGGTTAAAAGCAGGCATCACCCCACTGACAGAGCCCACAGTGTGTGAGTGCCAGTCTGTGCCAGCACTCTTCACCCCAGGTCTCTGAGGCACCCACCTTGCACCCATGGAGCGATATATTGCAGGTTTCTCTCTGGCACTTGCCAAGCACTATAGTCTGTGCTGCTGGGAGTACTCCTTTTTGAGGCTGAGTAGATTTTGCTCCACGCCAAGGAGGTCTCTGCTATATACAAGGAACAAGTTCTCCCTCTTTCTTTCTGAAGGAAAGCAACATTCTCTTCTGAGAAGGGAGATTTCTCCTTGCTGTTCCAAAGGTGTCAACAGAATGTGCCCGTGGATAAGGATGGGAAAGCTTAGGGCAGAGTGAGGCGGCCCGGGTGGAAGCCTGAGACAGTGGGCAGTCAGATGGAGGTTCCAGGCAGAAATTCCTCTTCCAAATGGCCCTGAGAGGGAATGAACCAGTCAGAAGTGAACCCTAACCCAACCATGTGTTTTTCAATCCAAGGCGCCCAAAAAGAAAGGGAAGAAAGGCAAAGGCAAAGGCACTCCGATTGTTGATGGGCTGGCTCCGGAGGACATGAGCAAGGAGCAGGTGAGTGGGCTGGCCGGGCCGTGGCCCCATGCTGGGGCGGATGGGATGGGTTTGCTGCCCCACGCTGGTCCTGGGAACTTCTTTTAGACCACAGCACCCCATCTCCTTGTCTGCCTTCCCCTCAGTCTGGCTCCTGCTGTCTGTCCACACCAGGACATGTGAAACAGTGCAGCATGTGTACATGGATAAACTTTTCTCTAGGGTAGTAGGAATTTGGAAGGAAATGTTTTTCTGATAAAAAAGCTGTTTTAAGTTTTCTTTCATTCTTACCCTTTTTAGGCCCCTGCTGTTTACAGAGATGTTAATCATAGTACATACACTTACAACATTCTCATTTATTTGATTTACCATTACACACTGTGAATTATTTTAGGCTGCTTGTTCATTTCGATGACATTAAGAGCTAGGGAACATGATTTGATTAATTACAGTTCAATTGAAAGGCTCCCAAAACCTATAATCGGTACAACACATGAGAGCAAGTGTGGTCTGGAAGTGTTCATGACCCTTACTTACTTTTTTATTTTTATTTTTTCCTTACTTACTTTTGATGGTTTTAAGATAACAGAAATCAAAGGAGACTGATCAAAGCATAAGACCTGAAGATGGAGAGCTGGGCGGAGGCCCTTGAAAGTGGTGAACAGGCTCTGTTTCTCACACAGGGAAGCCATGGGCAGTGTCTGCAGAGGGTTAATGAGGTCAGGTTGTGCTTTGAGGGGGTCATTGGGGCTGCCTCATGGAGGTTGGCTTACCCACCATGTTGCCCCAGCAGTCAGACTATTTCCTGCCTACGGGTTTACTTCCTGTCCTGTGACATGGCAGGGGTCAGTCTGCAGAGCTTGGAAGCTCTCAGGGTCCAGGCAGGAGTGAGATGAGAGATTCAGGGCAGCTGTGGCCAGATCTGAGTTTGGCAATAAGGAGTTTATGATCTGAGCCACAGTCACCTCCCGGTCTTGTTTTTACTGACTGTATAGAGCTTCTCCATCTTTGACTGCAAAGAATATAATCAGTCTGATTCTGGTGTTGGCCATCTGGTGATGTCCATGTGTAGAGTCTTCTCTTGTGTTGTTGGAAGAGGGTGTTTGCTATGACCAGTATGTTCTCTTGGCAAAACTCTTTTAGCCTTTGCCTTCCTTCATTCTGTACTCCAAGGCCAAATTTGCCTGTTACTCCAGGTGTTTCTTGACTTCCTACTTTTGCATTCCAGTCCCCTATAATGAAAAGGACATCTTTTTGGGGTATTAGTTCTAAATGGTCTTGTAGATCTTCATAGAACCATTCAACTTCAGCTTCTTCAGTGTTACAGGTCGGGGCATAGACTTGGATTATTGCCAAATTCAGACTTAAATTGAGAAAGTGGGGAAAACCACTAGACCATTCAGGTATGACCTAAATAAAATCCCTTATGATTATACAGTGGAAGTGAGAAATAGATTTAAGCGACTAGATCTGATAGAGTGCCTGATGAACTATGGACGGAGGTTCATGACATTGTACAGGAGACAGGGAGCAAGACCATCCCCAAGAAAAATAAATGCAAAATAGCAAAATGGCTGTCTGAGGAGGCCTTACAAATAGCTGTGAAAAGAAGAGAAGTGAAAGGAAAAGGAGAAAAGGAAAGATATTCCCATTTGAATGCAGAGTTCCAAAGAAGAGCAAGGAGAGATAAGAAAGCCTTCCTCAGTGATCAGTGCAGAGAAATAGAGGAAAACAATAGAATGGGAAAGACTACAGATCTCTTCAAGAAAATCAGAGATACCAAGGGAACATTTCATGCAAAGATGGTTTCAATAAAGGACAGAAATGGTATGGACCTAACAGAAGCAGACAATATTAAGAAGAGGTGGCAAGAATACACAGAACTGTACAAAAAAGATCTTCGTGACCCAGAAAATCATGATGATGTGCTCACTCACCTAGAGCCAGACATCCTGGAATGTGAAGTCAAGTGGGCCTTAGGAAGCATGACTACAAACAAAGCTAGTGGATGGGATGGAATTCCAGTTGAGCTATTTCAAATCCTGATAGATGATGTGTGAAAGTGCTGCACTCAATATGCCAGCAAGTTGGGAAAACTCAGCAGTGGCCACAGGACTGGAAAAGGTCAATATTCATTCCAATCCCTAAGAAAGGCAATGCCAAAGAATGCTCAAACTACCACACAATTGCACTCATCTCACACGCTAGCAAAGTAATGCTCAAAATTCTCCAAGCCAGGCTTCAACAATATGTGAACCATGAACTTCCAGATGTTCAAGCTGGTTTTAGAAAAGGCAGAGGAACCAGAGATCAAATTGCCAATATCCGCTGGATCATCGAAAAAGCAAGAGAGTTCCAGAAAAACATCTATTTCTGCTTTATTAACTATGCCAAAGCCTTTGACTGTGTGAATCACAATAAACTGTGGAAAAATTCTGAAAGAGATGGGAATACCAGACCACCTGACCTGCCTCTTGAGAAATTTGTATGCAGGTCAGGAAACAACAGTTAGAACTGGACATGGAACAACAGACTGGTTCCAAATAGGAAAAGGAGAGGCTATATATTGTCACCCTGCTTATTTAACTTATATGCAGAGTACATCATGAGAAACGCTGGACTGGAGGAAACACAAGCTGGAATCAAGATTGCTGAGAGAAATATCAATAACCTCAGATATGCAGATGACACCACCCTTATGCAGAAAGTGAAGAAGAACTAAAGAGCCTCTTGATGAAAGTGAAAGAAGAGAGTGAAAAAGTTGGCTTAAAGCTCAACATTCAGAAAACTAAGATTATGTCATCTGGTCCCATCACTTCATGGCAAATAGATGGGGAAACAGTGGCTGACTTTATTTTCTTGGGCTCCGAAATCACTGCAGATGGTGACTGCAGCCATGAAATTAAAAGACTCTTACTCCTTGGAAGGAAAGTTATGACCAACCTAGACAGCATATTAAAAAGCAGAGACATTACTTTGCAAACAAAGGTCTGTCTAGTCAAGGCTATGATTTTTCCAGTAGCCATGTATGGATGTGAGAGTTGGATTGTAAAGAAAGCTGAGGGCCAAAGATTTGATGCTTTTGAACTGTGGTGTTGGAGAAGACTCTTGAGAGTCCCTTGGACTGCAAGGAGATCCAACCAGTCCATCCTAAAGGAAATCAGTCCTGGATATTCATTGGAAGGACTGATGCTGAAGCTAAAACTCCAATACTTTGGCTATCTGATGCGAAGAGCTGATTCATTTGAAAAGACCCTGATGCTGGGCAAGATTGAGGGCAGGAGGAGAAGGGGATGACAGAGGATGAGATGGTTGGATGGCATCGCCGACTCAATGGCCATGAGTTTGGGTAAACTCCGGGAGTTGGTGATGGACAGGAGGCCTGGCTTGCTGCAGTCCATGGGGTTGCAAAGGGTTGGACATGACTGAGCGACTGAGCTGAACTGAACTGTCACCAGGTTGCTGCAGGGTTACCCTGTGGGCGTTGGGCTCCAGAGCTGTTTTCTGATTTTTGGAGACAAGTGAGAAATCCAGATATTTATAAGAAGTCTACATATCAAGTGAGGGAACATCCAGCATGAGCCGGAGTCAGGAGGAGCCTGGTTTAGATGATTCATTTGAGTGACACGAAGGCAGCAGGCCTGTGGGGTCAGGACTTTTCCTGGGGAGCCAAGCCCCACCCCAGCCCTGGTCCTCCCAGTCTCCTGGCTGCCCTTCCTTGCTGAGTTGTTGTCTTGGCCCTCTCTTGAAGTAAGACATCTGGTTTCCTTGTGGGGAACATGGTTATCATAAGAGGGAAACTTTACAGCCTGGGCCTGAGGTTATGCTCAAAAGATAGCTATTCTTGCAAGTGAGAGTCTCAAGAAGCTGGAAGTCTGTCCTTTTTCTTTTTCTTTTACCTATATGCAGATTTGCATTTGGCTCTGGATCAAACCCTCTTCACTGTTTCAGATCTACTGGTTTTGTCTGCTATTTTTTGCTTGACGTGTATCTTTAAAGGTGAAAGGTTTTTACATTTTATATCATTTGTATGAAAATACTTGCATCATTTTCATATCTTTGTATCATAGGCCCCTGTGACCTTCTGGCTGATACACTTTTGTTTCTCAATCATGCTATTTAGAAGCAACTTGGATCATGTCCATTTTAGTTGTTTGCTGTTTTAATAATGGTGTTGCTAATACCTTTAAGTGGAACGCTCCTGTGTTCTTTTGAGAAATTTCTTTAGTGTAAATTCCCAGGGATGAATAAAAGGATATAATCATGTTATGACTCTTGGCCAAATACAAGAGATTTCTGCTGTCTGCGGGATGTCTCCTGTCCCCGAGCCTTCCCGGCCCTCTGTGTTAGATTCTCTCTTTTCACTCATGGTTTACTTTGAGATGAGAGTGGCGCCCCTCACCGTCTTCCTGGCCTTTCTGTGCCAACTCTCTCCTGGCCATCGGTGGGCCTTCTGGCTGCCTCACCCCGCCCTGCCCTCCAGGTGGAGGAGCACATTGGCCGCATCCGGGAGGAGCTGGACCGTGAGCGAGAGGAGCGCAACTACTTCCAGCTGGAGCGCGACAAGATCCACACTTTCTGGGAGATCACGCGGCGGCAGCTGGAGGAGAAGAAGGCCGAGCTGCGGAACAAAGACCGGGAGATGGAGGAGGCCGAGGAGAGGCACCAGGTGGAGATCAAGGTGAGGGGGCCAGTCTGATCCCATGGGAGTCGCCGCGCGGCAGAGGAGCTGGCCTGAGGTCCAGGGCGTGGCCATGCCTTGCTTTGGGCGGTCACCGCCCTTTGTGTCCTTTGACATTGGGAACTCGAAGGTATTTTTTAATAACAAAGCAGGTGTGTCCAGGTGAGCATGTGAACCTATGTGTGCAGGTTGAGAACTGTGTAGAGGTGTGCAGGTGGGCACGTGTGTGCAGGTGAGCCTGTGTGTGCAAGCGAGCCTGTGTGCACAGGCAAGCATATGTGTGTGCAGGTGAGCAGCGGCCCTCCCCCACCCCCAGGTGTATAAGCAGAAGGTGAAGCACCTGCTCTACGAGCATCAGAGCAGCCTGACGGAGATGAAGGCGGAGGGCACCGTGGTCATGAAGCTGGCGCAGAAGGAGCATCGTGCACAGGAGGGGACGCTGCGCCGGGACATGCGGGCGCTGAAGGTGGAGCTGAAGGAGCAGGAGCTGGCCAACGAGGTGATGGTGAAGAACCTGCGGCTGGTAGGTGCCAGGGCAGCTGTGAGCGCGTCGGGACTTAGCCACACCTGGGAATTCATGGTTCTGTATAAAAAGCCTGCTGGTAGGCAATTAATTGAAATGTTCAGCAACAACAACTGCATCAGCCAAACAAACCCCTTTGGGGCCAGGTGCAGAGTTCTGTCTCAGACTTGAGCGACCGGTTGACTTCCCAACAGGGAGATCCAGCCTGGGCTGCTGTCCACGTGCTGCTGATCCTGGGCCCCTGCAGTGAGCCGCCTGCCAGCCCTTCAGCTGCTGCGGCCTTTGTCCTATGAGCTGTGCTGACAAGCACCTCGCTGGACTTGGAGATTCTTTGGTCCTGTCAAAGGGAGGCTGAGGGGTTCTGGGTGGAGGTTGGAATTCCTTCTTAAGCGCCTGTAGCACACCAGGCCTGACTCTGATTGTGGGTGCTCAGAGGGTGGGGCTGACAGAATGCCTGCCCATGTGTGGCTGATGGTCAGGAGAGGACAGGCCGCCCCGAGACAGAAGACAAAGTAAACTGTCAAACACGCATCACAGGTCCGTGGGCATGAGTGCTCTGGGAGATAACAGGAAGATAGGCAGCCCAGCCTCAACTGAATCTAGGAACACTCAGTAATATTGCAGTTTTCCGTGAAGCTAGCGGGTGCTAAAGATGTGGTCCCTCAAGAGGCCTGACCATTTTGACAGAAGCACAGTATGGGCTGGCTTCCACCGAGTGTGGTCTCTGCTTACCCAAGGCACGGTGTGGAATAGTTACATGCTCAGAGTGCCTCTCTGCATGAAAATAAAGTAAAATTTAAGCCTTTTATTCAAACTTTATAGCTGTCAGAGTAATTTGTCCTGGTGTTCTAAGCCAAAGCAGGTCAGTACCAGATGGGGCGCCTGCAGCTCTGGGCGGGTCTGGCCCTGCTGCCCAGCCTGTGGGCATGGCCAGGGCGCGAGTGTCATCAGCATCTTCCCCAGTCCATTTTGAAACGTGGAATTTCCCAGAACCTCATTCCTCTGGGCTGGTCCTGAACTCGGGGGTGAGGGCCCAGCCGCAGCAGCAGGCGCACAGGCTGTTGGTGCCGGTGAGGAGGGGGCCCAGGCACGGGGCCGGTGTCTCGGCTGGCGTCTGTCCCGTCCCTTCTGGCCTCCAGTGACAGCTCGCTTCTGCCTCTGCAGAAACACACTGAGGAGATCACCAAGATGCGCAACGACTTTGAGAGGCAGGTGCGAGGTCAGTGCTTCCCGCGCTCTGCTGCGTCAGGCGGCCCAAGAGCTCCTCCTGTCAGGAAGGAACTGCCCTCCAGTTAAAACAGCCCAGACAGGCGGAGTGAGAGGACATGGTCATTTCCAAGGCTGGTGTCCATGGGAGGTGGGAGGCTGGGAGGACGCCCCGTCCCCGCCGCGTGCCCCGCCCCAGCACACAGTGACTCCTGGAGCAGGTCGCCCAGCTTAGGGGGCAACATGCCGTCCCTCCCGTCTTGCAGAGGCGCTGACCTCAGCCACAGTCTGGCTGGATGGCCGTGGTCTGTGCCCGCTGGTACCGGGTGACGCTTGGCTGTCGGGATCCCTGAGGCAGGGACTGATCAGCGGTGCCGGCGACAGGCAGAGGAGGGCATGTGCTGGTGCCACACAGCGGGAGAGGCGCCCCGCCCTGTCCCGCTGTCGGCAGCCTCCAGCCCCTGGGAGGTCTCCCACCTTGGGCACAGCCGCCATCTGTTCTTGTCGCCATGGCACCAGAGGCTCTGCTCAGCTGCTCTGGGTGCTGCTGCCTTTCAGAAATCGAGGCCAAGTACGACAAGAAGATGAAGATGCTTCGGGACGAGCTCGACCTGCGCAGGAAGACGGAGATCCACGAGGTGGAGGAGAGGAAGAATGGCCAGATAACCACGCTGATGCAGCGGCACGAGGAGGCCTTCACCGACATCAAGAACTACTACAACGACATCACCCTCAACAACCTGGCTCTCATCAACTCCCTCAAGGTGCCGCCGGGGCTGCCTGCCACCTCGGGCCCACACCTCTGCTTGTAGACACACCTGGCCTCCAGCGGCCCCTGATTGAAACTCAGAGATCGTCAGTCCCCTCGCATGGTGGGCAAGTCATGCGCCCATGTGCACCAGGGGTGTTGTTGCACCCAAGTACTGGCAGTGAGCACAGCGTAAGCTCTCAGTTTGCATGCAGGCCGCATTACTAGAGAATTCAGAAACTATTCTCCGTGTTTACATACAGAACACATGCCCCAGGACCATCCTTTCTGGGCAGGAGAGCTCGCAGCCTCTGTGCAGGCCACAGCCCCTGGTCCTGCCACCGACCCCCTGCTCCCCCTGGCACCCACAGGAGCAGATGGAGGACATGCGGAAGAAGGAGGAGCACCTGGAGAAGGAGATGACGGAGGTGGCCATGCAGAACCGGCGCTTGGCGGACCCCCTACAGAAGGCTCGGGAGGAGATGAGTGACATGCAGAAGAAGCTTGGGGGCTATGAGAGGGACAAGCAGATCCTGGTGGTGGGTTTCCGCTGCATTCCCAGCCCTCCCTGGTGTGAAGGGGCAGGAAGGTTGGGCAGGTGTCTCACAAGTCCCAGAGCGAAGCCGGCCCTGAGGGCACCAGGGGAGGTACTAAACCCCTCCGTCCCTTGCCTGGCGACCTGGGTGCACGTGGGTTTGGCACGTGTTCTGAGAGCCAGGTGGCCCTTGGCCGCCATGGTGGGGCTCGGTCCATTGTGCCTGGGAGCTGTTCCCTCTGACGATCACCTCACCTGGTCATTCCTTGGGAGCAGCATCGTGTGGGTGCCTGAACTGGGGATGCTTTCTGACCCTTCTCTCCAGTGCACAAAAGCCCGTCTGAAAGTCACTGAGAAGGAGCTGAAGAGCCTGAGGTGGGAGCACGAGGTGCTGGAGCAGCGATTCATCAAGGTGGGCTCCTGGGGCGTCTGGGGGGCTCAGGGACGTCTGGGGGCCTCCTGGAGCATCAGAGTCTCCGGGACATCTGGGGACCTCTTGGGGTGTCTGGGGGGCTCCCAGCACATCTGGGGGGCTGGCAACTCATCAAGGTGGGCTCTAGGATGTCTGAGGGCCTCCTGGGGTGTCTGGGGGGCTCTGGGGACATCTGGGGGGCTCCCGGTGTGTCTGGGGGCTCCCAGGGCTTCTGGGGGACTCCTGGCATGTCTGGGGGCTCCTGGCACATCTAGGGGACTGGGTCCCTGGCTCTGGCCCCTCCCCGTTCTGCGGGGCTGTCAGTGGGGCTCTCAGTGGACGAGCTTGATGTTTCAGCAGTTCCCCACTGCTGTCCCCTTGGGCTGGCCTCTGAAGCAGCAGTGGCCTGGCCCATCTCTCATCCCTCTGTGTGTCTCCGAGTCCTAACCCTTTATGTGTGCATCGTAGGAAGCCTGTGGGTGAAAATGCAAGGCCTTGGGGTTGCACGCTGGTCCTCACATGGCGAGAGCACCCCAAGTTCTTTTAAACTCTTGAGTGTGCTGGTGTAGGACCTTGCTTCCCAGAAGTGGGGGCACCTGACACGCCCTGCCTACTCCTCTCAGCCCGCGTTTCTCTCCAGAGCAGCCTGTGTCCCCTGGTGAAAATCTCTTGTCAGTCCTTGCTGCTACAGGCACACTGTTAGGTACATCTTTGTGCGGTGCGTGACCCTTTTCGGAATGGTGATTCCTAGCAGGGGAATTGCTGGGTCAGATGGCTGGTGTTGAGAATGTGTATGGTCTGCCCAAGGAGTGTTCAGAGTTGTGGCCTCATCCATGGTTTCCCAGGGGGCCGTCCCCCGCCCCGGTCCTCACTGACGGGCCTGGGTGCGTGTGTCTCACTGAATGTGCTTCTCTGTAGACAGCCGCCCTGCTTGCTTGGTTCCCAGGGTCTGGCTGAGGGCAGAGCACCTCGTGTGTCAGCAGTTAGCACCTTTTCCACTGAAACACTCTCGCAGACTGTGATGGTGGAAAAGACCCAGTTCCTCGGGAACATCCCACAAGCAGCTCGATCTGGAGTCACCCCCAAGGGGCCTCCGAGGGTCCTGCAGGCAACAGGGAGACGCTGCTCCTGCTGATCAAGGTGGGCATGAATCGAGAGGTGGTGGCTCAGGCAGGCTCAGGCCATGTAGGTCTGCATTCTCTGCCCCTTGTCCTCCGTTTGCACGTCTACGCAGTACGTGAGAGAGGCAGTGTCCTAGAAAACCAGGGTCATCAGGTTTTTTTTTTTTTTTCTGTTCACAAGGAATTTTTTTTTTTTCCATTTATTTTTATTAGTTGGAGGCAAATTACTTTACATCATTGCAGTGGTTTTTGTCATACATTGAAATGAATTAGCCATGGGGGTCATCAGGTTTTAAAGAGCAGAGGGCCTGGGAGTGGACGGAAGCGGATGTGAGATGTGACAGTGTGGTCAGAAGGATGGGGTGCTACAGGTTTGCAGCACAGTGCTTGTCGCTCCTAGCAGTGCTGTGTGTTTTTTACGGGCGTGGAGAACATTCTGGAAGGAGTCCCAGCCAGTGCTCAGATGGTGGCTTCTGGCAAGTGGGGTTTAGGAGGGTTGTTTTTTCCTGTTACACCCCTGCTACGTCTTGACTTCTAAATGTGCGCAGTTAAAAGAAGACGTGTAAGCATATTGTCTTTGGTGGGCAGGCAGCTGGCTGTAGGATCTGGGGCAGACGGAGTGGACCCCCTCAAGGCCTTCCACCCCAGCATTGCTGAGTCTGAGGCCCTGATCTCCTGTGGAGATGATTGGGGCAGGGTGTGGTCCTGAGCCTGCTGCCCAGACCCAGGGCAGGGCTGGCCCTGGCTTCTTGGTGGGAGGGTCTCTCTGCAGCTTGTCCTGGGGGCCCTGTGGCTTCCTGCTATGCCTCCCAGAGGTGTTTTCTCCTGCCTCCCATGGTGTGGACACTGCACTCCTTTAATTTTTTGTGGAGAGTGGGGCTCGGGCACAGACCTCCCTGCCTGTGGCCAGGTGCTGGGGAAGGCGGGGGCATGGCCCCGGACAGAGCAGGAGGGGCGTCCTGCCAGCTAGGTGCCCCCGCCTTGCAGGTGCAGCAGGAGCGGGATGACCTGTACCGGAAGTTCACCACGGCCATCCTGGAGGTGCAGCAGAAGGCGGGCTTCAGGAACCTCGTCCTGGAACGCAAGGTGCAGGCGCTGGTTGCCGCCGTGGAGAAGAAGGAGGTGCAGTTGAATGAGGTGCTAGCAGCCTCCAACCTGGACCCTGCGGCTCTGACCCTCGTGTCCCGCAAGCTGGAGGTAGGCCTCAAGGGCTGTGCCTGGGGCTCCATCCCTCCAGGGCAGACCCTCAGTCAGCCTCGGGGAGGGTTGGTTGCGGTTTCCTGGCCAGAGCGCCCAGGCCCATGTGCGCCATGGACGCCCAGCTCCAGTGTCTTCAAGGTCTCCCCAGCCCCTCCTTGGCCTTCCAGCCCTCCTAGCCTGCGTCCACTGCCCGCTCCAGCTTGGTCTCTTAGCTGAGGCCATAGTCGCCATCAGCCTGGACACAGCTCTGCTGGAAGAGACCACGGCGGGCGAGAGGCAGGCCCATGGTGGCCTGTGCGGCGGGTGGTGGGAAGGCTTCCCTGGGAGGCACGCCTGAGCACAGGCTGAGCGTCTGTCCCCTCGAGCGTCCGCAGTTGTCTATGGCGTTCCCTTGGGGCAGGCTGTCCTGGGCACCGGGCACCGCTGGGAAAGGACAGACAGGGCCTCTGTGCCCACGGGCCAGAGGGCCTGACCGCACCTGTCAGGGGCCCCGCCCAGAGCTGGGCCTCGACCTGCTGCTTCCTGACCTGGGATGTGTCACAGAAAGAGTGGGTGACGTGGACAGGGGTCTCTGGTGTTGCCAGGGTGGCATGGCCTGGCTCTGGGGTCCTGCTAGGCCTGAGGTTAGGTCCCTTCGGGGTCTGGGGGGCGGACACACACCGGGGTCTCACTCTGAGGCCTTCCCACGGCAGCCCCTCCCTGTGTGGATGTCCCCCTGGCAGGGCCAGGCCACGGTTCCCTGATGCCTTCCTTTCCCCAGGACGTTCTGGAATCAAAGAACAGCGCCATCAAGGACCTGCAGTACGAGCTGGCCCGGGTCTGCAAGGTGCGGAGAGCCCCCCCACCCCTCCCTCACCCGGGAGCCCCCTGATCTTGACGCTGACCCCCCAGATCAGGGTGCTGACCCAGCCTGAGGCCATCTGTGCCCGCCCGGGGTCACTGAGCCTGTGTGTGGCCTGGAGTCTCTGCTGGCGTCTCCCAGCGCACAGCCTGCCTAGTGTCCTGTGCGACCCTTGCTCTGGCACCGTGGTGCTAGCCTGGCCTCTGGGGCGGTTGCCAGGGGGTTCTCTTTGCTCCCCCAGGTTAGCGTCCACGTCCTCCAAGCAGGGGCAGTTAGGGCTCCAGCCTTGCTTGACCACTCTTGGAGAATTCCCGCACAGTTCCCTGACCCTGGTACCGTCTGTGTCCTGCACCAAGCGTATCCAGCTCCCCGGCCGAGCCCACAGCTCTGTCAGGGCCTGGCCTGTGGGGACACAGATGCAGTGCTGCCTGCAGAGAGAAGACACCCCACAAGTGTGACTCAGACACAAGCCCTGGGTCTTGGAGCCCCGGGTGAAGGCATTGCCATCGTGGGCACTGGGCTCCATGGTGACCAAATCCCCTGGCCTTCCCTGCCCATTGGGCCCTCCCCGGGTACTCTGGCAACCCTGATGTGTACTTGCAGAAAATTAGGGCCATGCACTGGGTGTGTGCAGCTCTCGGGAGAACTTCCGTAACCCACATCTGATTGTCAGGAGGGCTGAACCCCAGAGAAGGAGGAGGGCCGGGGCCCATCCTCTGAGATCTCCCGGAGCCCGGTCCTTGCTCGCCCTTCCATCTCAGCTCCCAGCATCTTGTCGTGGTGATGCTGAGGACAAGGTGTCCCTTTGAGCTTTTGTCCTGAGTCAGGCTAGGCTCTCAGCATGTAACATGCTCCCCTCTTCACACCCTTACCACCACCTTGTGAAATGTGCTCTTTGAAAAAAAAGTAGAGGGGACAGAGATCCTTCCTGCATTGGTCCTGCCAGCATCATTGCCCAGACCTTGGCTTTTCTGGGAAGGGGGAAGGGGACAGATACCGACAGACACGGTGGGGAGTGTGGTCCCCAGGAAGGTAGGGATGGTGAGCCTGAGTGAGAAATGACTGCGAGAACCAGGAACTCTGAGTGCACCCCCTCTTCAGCTTCCCCAGCCGTGAACCAGGGATGTTACCCGAGGTCCCACACATGAAGTAGTTGGGTAGTGCCTGATGAAGTTCTTAGACTTGGGCCATACTTGTTCTGGACAGTAGGGAAGCCCCTGGTTATCTTCCAGCTGATCTGGGAGGTGTCTTTGCATGGCCATCACTACCTGCTCACCTGGAACCGCACTTCCAGGGGGTGGAGACTCAGTGACTTCAATCCTCTTGGCTTAAAAGAGTGGCTCCTTCCACGGGGCTTCTCTTGGGTGGGTTTGGTCTTAAGGACACCAGTCACTGGGGTTTGTCCTGCTTGCTTTAATCATCCCCTGGAGAGTCATGTGGTCTGAAAAGCTTTACATGCCTGTTTGCACCACTAACTGCTGAGCAAATGCTCTCCTTAAGACTGGGACATTAAGAAGAAGAGGGGGAATGACAGACACGGTCAGCATAGGCTGAGAGGCCACGTCTCTCAGGCTGACAGCCTGATCAAAGGGGGGCTGTTAGAAAGCAACAGGATGCCCCAGTGGAGTCACTTGTGGGAGTCCGACCAGGGCTTCTGCCTGAACTGACTGCCACCTCGGCCTCCCCAGGAGTGGAGATTCCGACCTATCAGCCTGGGGCTTTCTGGTCAGCACTAGGGAGGTGACCTGCTAAAGACCCCCGCCTCCCTCAGGGAAGGCACCGTTGCAGGAAGGTGGCCACACCCTGCCCCTCCACGCCCACTGAGCCTCCCATCTTGTGCAGCTCCTTGGACTGCCCTTCTGTTTAATAAGTGGCTGTTGCCGACTCAGGAAGCCCCGAGTAGAGCTAGTTAAATCTAAATCTTTTTTTTTTTTTTTTTTAAATCTAAATCTTTAAACTTAAATAAATGTGCATGGGCCTGGGCCTGGCACAGTCAGCACCTGGAAAACGGGGCTGGGTGGCCTGAGCAAGGGTCACCCCAGCTACCCACCCCCAACAACACTGCTGTTTCCCTACAGGCCCACAATGACTTGCTGCGCACGTATGAGGCGAAGCTCCTGGCCTTCGGAGTACCCCTGGACAACGTGGGTTTCAAGCCCCTGGAGACTGCTGTGATCGGGCAGACCCTGGGACAGGGCCCCGCAGGACTTGTGGGCACCCCAACGTAGCCCCAGCCCGGGTGAGGTCCCCCCACAGCAAGGACAGTAGGTATTTGTTCTGTAGACGTGCGTCGTCAGAGAATGAAAGTTTCCATGTGTGCTGCGTGTCCTCATGTGTGGCTGTGTGGAGAGGTGCCCCCAGTGCTCCCCCAGTGCGCACACCTGCCCCTCATCCCCCCAGGGGCAGCTCCCACCAAGCTTGCCTCATGACCGAAGCCACCTTGCAGATGTCAGCAGCAACTTTATTGAAGCCTGAGTGACACCTGGCCCTGCGACATGGGGCCAGAACGTCCCAGGGAGAGTGTGACCCTGGTGCCCATCAGGAGCTTGCCCGCCCCGCTGCTCAGGGGTGGCCCGATCTGCCGTGGCGCCGTGTCCACACCCACAGGCTGGCTGCCGGTCAGCTGCTAGCTCCCTCTGTATGTGGTGTAAGACCACTGGCTCAGTAGCAGTGGCACGTGGAACTTGTGGGTCTCGTTTGTGATGGTGAAAACGACCTGCGGGCAGAGGGGGCACTGGAGTGGACACAGCCTGGCCCAGTGGAGACAGGGCTGTGGGTGGGGCTGGGGTCTGCCCAGAGGAAGCACTCAGTCTGAGCGCCCCTGGGCCTTAAGGTTCCCAAGGGTTAGGACCACCCTGAACAGGTCAGGCGAAGGGGACAGAGAGCTGGAAGGGCTCGGGTGAACCTCTGTCCTCCTAGGCTGAGTCAGCCTGACTGTGGGGCGGCGAGGCGCGGGCGTGGTGTGGTCACGGCCGGGAGCTCAGAGCAGGTGCTCGTTGGGATGGGGGGGCAGAACCAGCCTGTGGGTCACAGTGCATCTCGGGCCTCCACCCGTCTGGCCCTCACCTCCACGTATGGGTAGAAGCTCTCCTGGCCCCTCTTCTGCCAGTAGCCCTTGGTGTCAAAGGACAGCTTGTAGGTACCCGCCTTCATCTGGCCTGGAGGGAGGAGCCCAGGGCAGCGGCCGTCATGATCTGTGCAACTGGGGAGAGGGGCGTTGCTGCAAAGGGGTCCCCGCCTGGTCTCCCGGGCCCATGTGCCCTGTGGCCTGACTCAGACCTGGGTGAGTAGGGCCTGGGTGGCTCTGCAGCAGGGCAGTGTCCAGGACCAGGGCTATGTCCCCTCACTGTCCTTAGGGAACCCGAGAAGAGAAGGGAAAGAACCTTCCCTTCCCCCCACTTCATATCTGGCACAAAGACTTCACATTTTCTCTATGCATAAGTGTGCTTATTTACAAATTAAAAAAAAAATAGATTGTACTAGCCGTACTGTTTCATAACGTGTGCTAAGTCGCTTCAGTCGTAACCAACTCTCTGTGACCCCTGAACTGTAGTCTACCAGGCTCCTCTGTCCATGGGATTTCACAGGCAAGAGTACTGGAGTGGGTAGCCATGCCCTCCTCCAGGGGATCTTCCCAACCCAGGGATCGAACCCACGTCTCTTAAGTCTCCTGCATTGGCAGGCGGGTTCTTTACTGCTATCGCCACCTGGGAAGTATTAAAAACCAAGTACTTGCTGTTTACTACATTGCACTTTCTGGGTGAGTAACTGTGTCCAGGCTGGCATCCGCATGCCATCCGCATGTTTCCAGCTGCAGCGCTGGAGGCTCTGAGGGCCTCTGCTCATTGAGAGGCCATGCTCTCAAGTGTCCGTGCTGTGATCAGCATCAGCAGCATTTACCAGCATAGTTTAGGGGTTGGGAGTGGCTCTGTGTGGCCCCATGTGTTCCTGCACGCTCAGATGTGACCTGCACCCCCCTTTAATGAAGGGCTCCATAGCCTCAGGCCCCAAGCCTTTGAGGTCCACCAGGGGCAGGGGCCTCCTGCCTCACCCTCCACCTCCTCATGTGTGGATGGGGTTCCTGTGGGGTCGGCACACAGGGCACTGTGTGAACCTAACAAGCGTCCAGTGCTCAAAAGCTGCCCAGCACAGGTCACCCGCCAGTCACGGTGATGACCAGGCCTTTCCGATTCCTCCTCAGGCCTCAGCTGGCCAGTGGACAAGCAGAGACAGAGCCCTGTCCCAGCGCAGCGGGCACTCGGGGTGTGAGCTCTGCCAGCATGGTTGTAGCATGACCAGGACTACTCAGCCTGTTGAAACAGAGGCTCTGAGAGTCTGCAGGGAGACCGTCTGCAGGGAGGCCCTGCGACTTGCCGGCCGTGCCCACACCCCTTGCCCTGGTGCAGGGCCCCTTGCGGGGATGGGTGGGTGAGGGGTGTTCTGGATTTGAGCCCTGCCCCAGACCACCCTCCTACCTTTTTTTTAGCTCAGTCCACTGCTGGCCACGGTCCTCGAGCCTGGACAGACAGAGGTAGAGGCCTTGGGCCGGGAGCCCTGAGGCAGTGTCCAGCACGTGTGTGGTCAGCGGGCTGCTACCTGGCTCCATGCCTCTGCCCTGGGCCATGAGAGGGGCAGGGATGCGCTTGTGGGGCAGACCTTGTGTCCACACCCCTTGGTAGGAGGCAGTGCCTTGGAGTAAACAGCCTGCGGATCAAAGTCCCAAACTGCCCTGGCTGGGGTTGGGTGGACAGGCTGGGGGTGGGAGTGGAATTGGGTAACACACTGCCATACGGCAGTGCTGATCCCTCCCCCTCCTCCCGGCACCGAAGGGGTCTCCACACCCAGAGCACCCTGCCCACCTTCAACCTCGTCAGGGCCTGGGTGGCCTCAGGGGCTTCTCTCTGAACCCAGCTCTGTCCCCTGATGCACGGGCCACCTTACCTTAGCCCCAGGTGGAGGAGAGATTTGTCCCCCTACCTCCCGGGAGCCCACGTGTCGCTGGAGTGTCTGCAGCCGCTGGGTGGCCCCAGAGCTCATGCCGGCAGACCTGGGGACTGGTGAGGAGGCCAGAGGTCACACCACACCACCGCCCCCAGAACCTCCCCGGGAAGCGCTGCCCTGGCACCTCCCACATGTCTGGCCAATCTCGGGGAGGAGTGGAAGGTGCCCACCCAGGGGGTCCTACGGGGGCTTCTTGGTCGTGGTTGCAGGGGGCAACAGAGCGAACCAGCGCGCAGACCTACGGAGGCTCCTCAGGGCGGAAGTGGAGTGGCCCTGCAGCGTAGGGTTGGGAGTAGGAGTGGGGTACGCGGGGCGGGGCTCAGGGACAAGGGGGTGGAGTGCTGGGCAGGACCGGACGGGGAGGGGAACAGCGCCGGGAGGGGGCGGTGGGGAAAAGGCGAGTGGCGCAGCGTTCCAGCTGGGGTCCACGCCCGCCACTGGGAGCCGCGCAGGGTGAGCCCGATCACTCCCAGGGCCCCTGCACCGGTGCAGTTTCTTTTCCTTCCTTGGACGGTCAGGATCTGCTGGAAGCCCCGACAGGCTGCATGGAGGTGCCTCAGGCAGGACTGACCCCCGGTTTGAGAGTGACAGTGCGGGGTGACACCCTTGTGGTTGCATTTTACCCGTGCCTACCTGCTCTGCCCCTCGACCCCCAAGGTGCAGGGACCCGGCACACTGACAGCGTAGGGTTAGGGCTGTGCAGAAATGAAGGAAGAGACAAGTCTGAGCACACAGGTGTGAATCCCATCGTTGTATTACAATATCACGTGAGGTGCACATGGAACAGATTTTATGTAACAGATAAAAATAAGGGCATTCTGTATTTACAGTCTGCCTGAGGTTGCCTGACGTGTTGTGTTGCTCTGGGTGTGGGGTCTTTTTTTTTTCTCGCTAAACTGCATGTTCTAATGATCGGACAGTGAGCGTCCTCAGTTTGAGCCTTAAGGATCAGGCCCCTCTGAGGTGGGGAAGGAGACCTCCGGCAAAGTTCCTGCATTGATTACAACTGCTTTGGAGGTAACCAGGAAATGTGTGTTTGAGATGTAAATATGATGAGGTTTGGCAGGGCTTATGTTTTTAGGAGGTGACCCCACAGAGACATACACACCTGTTTAGACAAACTGCTATGGGGATGGGACCAGAAACAAACTTACTTCCCCCACGAGGGATAATTAAATCAATGAACTCCTCTGCACACCGGCAGCTGTTGCAGCCCAGTCCAGAGAGTGAGCCCAGTCCAGAGAGTGAGCCCAGTCTAGCCCAGTACAGAGAATTTAGCCCAGTCCAGAGAGTGAACCCAGAAGAGAGAGTGAGCCCAGTCCAGAGAGGGAGCCCAGTCCAGCCCATCCAGAGAGTGAGTCCAGTCCAGAGAGTGAGCCCAGTCCAGCCCAGTCCAGAGAGTGAGTCCAGTCCAGAGAGTGAACCCAGAAGAGAGAGTGAACCTAGTCCAGAGAGTGAGCCCAGTGCAGAGTGTTGGTGTGTGGGGTGAGTGGTGAGTAGTGGCTGGTGACCAGGTGAGAGGCAGCTCTAGCTTCATGTTTGAATCTGCAGCAGCTTTCACTCCATTACTAGCGTTCGCTCACCTCTTCACCGTCACAGGCTCAGGGTGTGGCTGTCAGAGTCTGTGTTGCAGAGGACGAAGCTGACGTGCAAAGGGGCTGTGTGCTGGAACATTGGTGTGGGACACAGGAGAGTGATGCCAGGACCACGTCTGGGATGAGCAGTGTCGACGGGCTGGTCATTTTCACTCTATAACCTTTCTTTGTACACTACAGTCTCAAATGTCAGAAGCAAGCTAACAAAACAACAATCAAACCTTTTTTGGTGGCTGCCCTGTCACCCCCTCTGTCTAGAGCCCTGACGTCTTCTCTGCCCAAGAGAGAACCTAGTCCTGGGAGAGCGCTGCGCAGGGCAGGGCATCGCCACAACTGCTTCTGTGGTCTCACCAGGGCCCCTGCCCAGCCTGCAGGCTTCACCTGGAACCTGAGAGGGCAGCAGGCTGACTAAGAGCAGGCAAGGGGTCCAGCCAAATAGTGCTGGGGCCAGCCATGCCACATTCACCATGTGACCCCTAAGTGGTAGCTGCCACACAGCACCTTAAGGCTCCTGGGAGCAAAGTGCAGCTCTGCTGGTGGGCCTGCCAGCCTCCTCACACTCCCTTCTGACTGTGTGATGTGATGCTGGAGGTGCAGCAGCCCCCCAGCACCAGGAGGCAAGACTTATGCTAAGGAAGACATGAGACCACGAGGAGGAGACAAGCAACTCCCTTTCTGGTGTTGCCCCTGGGCCTCCTGGCAGGTGCGTGGGGCCTTTTGTGTCTGGATTGTGTTTTCTTGAGTGACCTTAACACCCCTTTTGATTGTTCCAAGCATGTAGCCCAAAGCATTCTGCCTGAGCAAGTTGAGATCATGCAGGTAAAACGTGTAACAGCACACAGGGTGCTCAGTACCCTGGAACTGACAGTCCTTCCTGGGCAGCCACGACCCTGAGCAGTGACAAGAAACTCTCCCCATTGTGGTCCCAGGGAGAAGGAAGCTGATCTGCCTGCTGTCTGGGTCCGAGCCGGTGCTGGGAGGTCCCTGTCCTACCCTGACCACTGGAGTGGCCCAGGTGGGTGCAGTCGCTCAGGCTCCTCTGAGCCCTTGCTTCACACCTGTCTAGAGAGTCCTTCCAGGCCGCTGTGATGGGGATTTGTGGTGAGAACTCAACAGAAAGGGTGTGAAGGCAGCTGGGACCTTCCTTCACCAAGGACATAACATTGCCAGGTACACTGAGGTGATGCAGGTGTTGGGGAGGCCATTTCAGATGGCGGTACGTGCTGAGAAGGACACAGGGCATCGGGTGCCAGAGGCTGCCGAGACAGTGAGCCCAGAGAGTCTCCTTCTTGGAGGAGGGGAGATGCTCAGATAGAACTGCAGCTGCAGGCTGGAGTTTTCAGGAGGGCCGGCCGATGGGCTGAGGAGGACGAGGCCAGGGCCGGTGGCTGCAGGAAGGGTGCATTTGGCCCCTGGTAGAATTCCTGCTCCCCAAGGACTGAGGTTATTGTCTGTCTCCTGACAGCTGTTCCTGTGCCTGGAACATGACCTGGCCAGAGGCAGGTGCTGAACAAATATCCTTTGACTGAATGGACAGTCTGAGTGTACAGATGCACGGGACAGGCAGCGTCAGGCTGCAGAGTAGGGGTAAGTAGATTAGGAGGCAGAGAGAGGCATACGGGGTTTCTAAGCCCAACCTCCCAGCCCCCATAGGGCTCAGCTCCACCCAAGCCTGTCTGTTCCCCCAGACACTCTTTTTTTATGGTAAACTCCCTCTGGCCTTCGCTCACCTGTGTGTCCTGCTCTGCATGTCTTAAAAAGTGGCTCTGAGTCTGTTCCCACCACCTGTGCCTGAAGCCTCTTTATTCTTAAGCCAGGGAAGCCCCTTCCCTGCCTGGGGATGGCTGGACCTTGTCCGTGCCATGGACTCTGCTCTCTGCACTGGTCTGCCCATTCAGGTAGCTGCCTCATCCAGGACTGGGAGCATTGATGGGTCAGTGTGTCCCCGCTGATTCTAGCAGTCCACCAGGCTGAGTCCCGCTGGCCCGCATCATGACACTGCTGCTTACCAGTGACACAAAGGCCACCCTAGAGCACAGGTCATGGAATGTGTACTGGCTTCAGCTGGACTTTGCAGTTGGGCCAAAAGCCAGAGGGTCGATGCTGTCGGTGCCTGTGTATTTCTTGTTTGGAGACATGTCTGGTTAGTTCTGCCCTTTTTCGATTGGGTTGTTCAGTTTTTGTTGTTGTTGTTGAGTTGTATGAACTGTTTGTATATTTTGGAAATTAAGTCCTTGTTAGTCACATTGTTTGGAATTATTTTGTCCCATTCTGTAGGTTGTCTTTTTCATCTTATTTATGGTTTCCTCTGCTGTGATAAAGCTTGTAAATTTGATTAGGCCCCCTTTGTTTATTTTTGTTTTCATTTTTGTTGCCTTGAGAGACTGACCAAAGAAACCATTGGTATGATTTATGTCAGAGAATGTTTTGCCTGTGTTGTCTTCTAGGGGTTTTTACGGTGTCAGGTCTTTCGTTTATGTCTTCATTGCTGTTGCCTGTTCTCATTGGCTGGTGTGTCTGTCCCTCACCAGTTGGGACAAGTGTCGATTTGGTAGCTTCACTGGGTGGCCCCCTGCAGACCCCTGACTTGTGGGCCCATCCAGCAGTGGGCATGCTGGTGGTCTCTATGTGCTAGCTGATGTGACACGACACCGAGGGGTCTTGGCTAAGGGTGTCGGCGATGGCCGAGTTGTCTGTGCTGTCGGCAGTAATTTGCCACCGATGTCCAATGCTGAGACTCACATCACAGAGGTTCTTGCGGGGACAAAGGGGAGGGGAGTTGATAGTCTCAGCCAGTGTGACAAAGCAAACCAACATAAAATCTAAAATCGAATGTGTCCCTTTTTAGTCTACTCATGATGGAGATGATAAAATGATATCAAGTGATACAAGTTCCAGTTCAAATACTTCACCACAGTATTTTAATAGTTTCCACATGGTTTGTTTACTCTTCCAAAAATCTTTAGGGCATCCTTCAATGTGACTGTCACTATTGGGGGACAGGTTCCCCTTGACATGATTAACTTCAGGGACTGGGAAACTGTTAAGTGCTGAAGGGGAGGTTGGCCCTGGAATGGCCAGTCAGATTCCTGTTTTGAGGGGCAGGAGTTGGAGCATGAAGGGGAGAAGGGGAGGGTGATGCTCCACACTCCCACTTTTCCATCGTGCACTGCTCCCTTCTCCCCACCCTTGTTAGGGGAGTCTTGTCTGGACACTGGCCACGGGGCTGGAGCTGGGCTGAGCACATGAACCAGAGCGGGAGAAGTGGTTGGTCGGGGCCGGCCCGACAGGTTAGGGGCATGTGTCCTGGTTGTTAGAACTGAGCCTCTTCTGTTTGGTCCACTGATGGCCTGAGATGGCCTTGGCCTCACATGGGTGATCAGAACATAGCTCGTCTGCCCGCTGGACAGCGTGGGGGCAGAGGAGGCAGCTGGTCCATTG